CCGGGAGCCACGATTACAGTGTGAGATCATTAACTGTTTCTGGACAGGGTGACAGTCACCACAGCAGCAGCAGCAGCAGCATGTCGTCATCGCCGATGCCACTTCCTAAGGGGCGTCTGGTATGGATGCGATCATACGTTGTCCTAGAGGCTCTATGCGGCCTCCAGCGATCTAACTCAATAACTAATGAACAGACTTAGTGAGGGAGGGAGGGAGGGAGGGAGGGAGTGAGTGAGTGAGTGAGTGACGGCATTGGTGATACGCAAACGAAGGCTCGCGTGCGTCCAGACTGCTCACAGAGTTCACCGTCACGTTACATTTTCGTGTTGACGACGAAGCATGGCATCAATGTGGCCCGACAGGATCTCATGCAATTGCGTAGAAGCTCATTTTCGTACGAGTGCCCTATCCTATTCTCATGTCTCATTTTCATTATGGCTATGGCCTTTCTCAGTCTCTAGTTGTAAGCCCCCGTCGTAAGACATCAAGGGCGGCGCTTGCTCTCTCATTCCCAAAAAAAGAAAGAAGGAAAAACAATAATTCTTTACTGTTCCTTCTTTCGTGCCTGTTTTGCATTTTTGCCCCTCGTAGTCCCTTTCCTGGCACGCCTCTGGGAGAACGTACTTTTGTCCTAGCTAGACGACATTACTCTCTCACCTATTCAGTCCCTTAGTTATTGTCTTCCTTGTATTCTCGAACCCCCTGTCTAGGGCATATTCCTCCGAGAAACCCTTTAAACGACGAAGGGATGACTCAAAACACCAATTAGGTAAAGAAATGCTGCCACTGTGGGCCGGGTATCTAGCGAAAACGACAAAGAGCGAAAAACATTGCTGTGAGAGCATGGCGACGCGGCGTTACTTGCGCTGGTGGTCGCACTTCTGCTAGCGGGTGACGTTGGCGGGATGGTTGTTGCTGTAAACACGCCGGTTGGGAGGCTGGTGGGAGGTTGTTGACCTGTCGGATGTTCTCTAGTACCAGCCCCTGAGGGCGAGTTCCTGGTGCTGGTTGTTGTGCTTGTGGTGTTCAGATTTGATGTTTGGCCTTCTGTCTGCGTCATGCTCGTTTCTGTCGTCGGGGGGCTGGTGACTATGCTGACCGGCGGCGTGCCAGGCGATCCAGCCATCGTGGTGATCCCTGGATCTGGTGGCTGCCACTCCGCAGCATCGTCGTATAGAATTCCGTTGATAATAACGCCGACATTGTTCGCGATCATGTTCTTCTGGTCGGTGTTACAGGTCGTATTGACGGCGCGAAGGTAGCACGTCGGTTCCGCCATTGGAGGTGCGACATTCTGGTATGAGGAATTTGCGTCACCAAACGACGAGTAGGTCGACAAGTCGGCAGGCATACCCATACTAATATCTGTCCCCTCAACGATACGCGAAAAGATCGTGAAAGCGGTCTCTGGCTGATAGGCAGGCACCAAGTGGCCTGCATCATAGATTCGGCTGAAACTCAGGTTCCCAAACTCTCGAACAACACCGCCGACGTATGTGCTATTTGCCACGATGGGAGCGTATCCAGCAGCGTACCACGGTAAATAAGATGGACCCGCCGCACCGGCTACCGCGAAGGAAGCTGCTTCTCCTCCTAGCCAGTTGCAGATGTAGTCTCTGTCTCCGTAGATGAGCGCGACTCTGACACCAGAATTGAGAAGATCAACCAGATCTTGAATAATGCCATCTCGCGCATAGTCTCCTGTGATATTGAAGGCAGTAAAAACAGCCATCGAATCTTGACTATAGTTGACTGGAACACCAAGCGCTTGTTGGACTGACAGCTGATTCAGATATTCTAAATAGAGCGCCCCAGGAAAGGGATCGAGCACATTTTGAGAAATGTCGTAAAGAGATCGCCCAGATGTAGTGTATGGGCCGACGACATAGGATTCGCAGTACGATTGCGCTTGCGAACATGCTTCATTAACCGCATTCACGTTTCCGTAGCCCATCGGGTCGAGGGCGGCTTCTTCTGAACGGCAAAAGGCAGTTTGCTGCTGGCAGCCGTCTGCGCTGCCATAGGCGCTTAGAGCGTTGAGTTCTTGCAGTTGCGAGATGGTTTCAATTGCATAGGTGTTCTCGTACGCGAATTTTGGATGAAATGGCGTCTGAGTGAGAAGATCGATCCAACCATTGATGATTCCCAGTGATTTCAGCGTAATATTGATGGTCGTGTTTGCGAAATCGAAATCTGTCTGACGACGCTCATTCTGACTGCCGAAGAAGGCTCCAACAGCGGGCCCATACTTACCTCCGTAGGATTCTGTGAAAAGGTGGACCTCCGACGTGGGTTTAACGGCTTGTGTGCGAAGAGCAGTATTGTACTGCGGGAAAGAAGTGAGAAATGTCTGCAGGAAATGCCATAGCGATTGAGCAGCAATTTGAGAGGTATTGGCCGTGAAAGATGGATTTCCCGATCCGAAGGTGCCATTGAGAAAGGTGTAGGCGGGTTGTGAGATGGGTATCATTGTTGGCGGAACAACGGTGGTTTCGTCGAGCAAATTTAGAGATGTGTTCGTCAGGACATCGTAGGAGAAGCCAACCTGAACGGGCTGGTCAATGAAGATAATGTTGCTACTGCGATCCCAACCCCAGTCTCGCGCGACTGTGCCCAGCCGACCATTGGCAATTTCCACAACTTGACAAGGTCCAACTTCTTGAAAGAGACCAACCATGCTGCTGGAGCCGGGCCCGCCATTGATGAAGACTACCAACGGAGCTGATTCAGGCAACTGTCTCGCTTCAATGAACCAGAAAAAAGTGTTGATGGTGTAGTTTCCCTGACTAGGATCCAAGACATTTGGCGGCAAAGTAATGTAACCGGCGAATTGTTTTTGAGTCTCAAAAACTGTTGTACAAGTCCCAGCAGGGACGCTTTTGTAGGCGAGCGAGACATTCGGATTGACTGGAGAAGGAATTATGATGAGGGAATCATTGACAGGCAGGGGAGGAAACTGGGCCAGGACGATAGAAGTGTGTGCAAAGAGGCTGACAAGCAGACTGTTCAGCCATCTCGTCCATGGTGCCATGCGATGCGAGAAAGGCAACAAAGAATTCTTCGAGCAAGCCCGTCTTCTGCACGATCACATCTGCCGATCCTTTTTTCAAGAATCCGGGGTTGGAGGTCATCACCAAGAGTGCGAAAGCCTCCTGACGACTTGATCACCACCAAAATTTACCGACAGCGATACCAGCTAGACAAATTGAGGGCCAAAAGCTCTTGGAGGGCAATCTTTCGAAAACATCCGACGGTAAGCTGAAAGTGCCTGCGTGACTTGAAGGCAGACGTTTGATGGCCGGGTCTGGTATATGTGTCGTTTGCGACCAGTAGAACTTTGCTGAGACCACCAAACCTGACTTTCTCACAAGATTTAAGACGAGCGACAACCCAATGGTGGAATTGAACAACTACAGCGTGTACGTAGCGATCTGAACGAGTGTGAGATGTTGATGAAAGCAGAAGAAAGAGCAAGAATCGAGCATGGCCCTACACATTTTTTTTCGCTTCCCTCCTCGGCTCCTCCCCGCAGTCGCCGTTGACGCCATGCCGATAGATGGTTATTTCTTGGCGTGTTGAAAGTGGATCAAATGCCGATCGTCCAGCCTCGCCAGGTACCGAAAATCCAGAAATGTACACCTCAGTCACGTGATATGCCTGCGACTAGCACGTGACGCAGCTTGATCTCGAAAATTGTCCCCTGCGCGCAAACCCCAAGAATTTCCAGCGACTTGTGTCTTTGCCGCATTCTTGGTTGATTTCACAACAAAGTCGATGGTGAGATCGTCTCAGCCCCCGATTCGTGCAGAGGCCTATCCATCGCCTTGATTCAGGTAGAGGGAATAGCCATGGCTTACAATGGCTACAACGGCTTCAACGACGATGTTATGGACGGGGTCGAGGCCTCAGGTCCCAAAGTCACTGTGAGAGAAGTAAGTCAGCGACTCGTCAGTTTGTTCTGCTCCTGATCTGACCCGCGACAGGTCGAACCAGATCGGTGCGATTTTGTCCTACAGTCATGCTCTCTCGCCCTCGCCAACTCGCTCCGCCGCGCCATGCTTGCTGAAATCCCCACCATTTCTATCGATCTCGTCGACATTACTACAAATTCTTCTGTTCTTCCTGACGAATATCTCGCACATAGACTGGGTCTCATCCCCCTTGTCAGCAAAGGCGTGGACGAAAACCTGAATTATGGAAGAGACTGTGATCGCTGCGATGACCATTGCGAATACTGCTCCGTTGTCCTCCGCCTTCACGTTCGATGTTCTCAAGCAGGCACGATGCTGGTTCATGCGAACGACCTCATGGTAGTGAATCCTCGCCAAGACGGTATCGGTCGGCCAGTCATTCGTGATGCTAACGGCGCCGGGGCTCTGATCGCCAAACTGAGGCAAGGGCAAGAAATTCAGCTGGAATGCATCGCCAAAAAGGGTATCGCAAAGGAGCACGCGAAATGGGCACCCACTTCGGCGGTGGGCTTCGAATATGACCCGAACAACAAGCTGCGCCACGTAGACTACTGGTATGAGACTGACGCCAAGGAAGAATGGCCGGTGGACGAGCGCAACGCCACGTGGGAGGGAGATGAGTCGGCTGCCGATGCCGCATTTGATCCTGATGCTGTTCCAAGTGCATTCTTCTTCGACGTCGAGGGCATCGGTACCCTCGAACCAGATGACATCGTCCGCGGCGGAATTGAGGTGATCCAGAAAAAGCTGGCTGAGACCATCAAGGTCCTTGGAGGCGCTGAGGCTGCCGGCGTCGACGGAATGAATGGCGTCCAAAGTCCAGATGGGTACGAGCCGGCTCCCGCAAATGGAGCATTCAGTTCATACGGTGGACTCAGGGGGGGCACGACGCCTTATGGTGCGACTCCATACGGTGCGGGTGGCTACGGTTCCTATTAGGCCAACGTTCCTATTAGGCCAAGGATGTATCTGCTTTTGCATAGCGAGGCGTTGGAGGTTTGGCGGCAAGGCCGATTTGCCAGAGGCGAGCATTCATCAGGTCTAGTCAGTCTGGTTTCACTCTACTTGTATTTCCATGGTATGCCACGTTTCCAGGCGTTGCATTCGCTGCAGCGATCAGTCACATCCTCCAGGAAGAGGTGACGGTGGAGCTTCCCAGCACCTTTTTGCTTTTGTCCTTGACCTTGAGAGGACATTTTTGGGCTTCTTGTGACGAGATGACAGAAAGGAAAAGTTGCAGAAATGATTTAGCTGCACGTGCTGGAAAGCTCGACTTCTCTCCATTCCTCTGAAGCAGCAAGAAGAAGCTTATTAGTCAATCTCAGACAAGCAGAATGCCCACCGATTGCCAGCAGGCCAACTTGAATGGGTAAGTGGGAAGTGCTCTACTGACTGGGCCTTTTGAAACGTAGTCAGCATTGCGTGGAACGATTGCTGCCGTAATCAGGCCCTTGTGGACATGCATCCTGTCCTGCCGCCATGAACCATTACTGTCGCGAATGTCGATTTCTTGTTTCGTTCTTGCTGTTGCATTATACTGTTGGAGGGGTTGAGTACACGCACTGCTGGCTGCGGAATATTTAATACTGACCGGATCCCAGGAGCCCACAGAAAAACCTGTGAGAATCTTCTTTTCCGTTGAGACCCAATAAACCGCCCAACTCGAACCAACAGGGAATTCCGGAAACGCGAACAGGACGAAACAGCAGCCTGAAGCGTCGGAGCAGAAGCCGCTCGCCAGGCGCCACCAGTCAGATTCTGTCGATTTCAGGGTCCCAGTAACCCCAGCGCCACCCCAGCACCACCGGTGACTTCAGACCACAGCTGCCGCAGCCCCTCGACTGCCAGACTGCGAAACTGCGAAACGTCAAACTGCGGAACTGCGACTGCCCCGCCATCCCTCCTGGTGACAAACGAAAGTATTAGCCTCAATTGAGCAGTTCCGACAAGTCAACAGCTCAGGCTCGTCGTTCAATTTTTTTTCCTCAACAGCTGCTGCACAACCCTCTAGACCTGTTTTCTCTTCTCCATTCACCTTGCCTTCCATCAATTCTCACATCAGTCTGTCACAATGGGTTACTCTGATCTCGATTGGAAGGCTATTAACACAATCCGACTGCTTGCGGTACGGCTGTTTGCCCCTCCACCGCCATGTCCAAATCTCCTGACTGCTCTTCATCCAGGTCGATGCCACTCTCAAGGCGAACAGCGGTCACCCTGGCGCTCCCATGGGTAGGTCAGCCCAATTGACTGATAGATGGACCGACTCTAACGATTTTTCTCCTAGGTATGGCCCCTGTGGCCCACGTTCTTTTCAACAAATTCATGACCTTCAATCCCAAAAATCCCAATTACATCAACCGCGACCGATTTGTCCTATCGTGAGTATCACCACATTCAGTTCATTGACATCAAGAGAGGAGAAATCGCATACATGGTTAAGAGCAGGTCACAGAGTGGTCGCTTGAGGTCGCCAATGGATCTTCCGCCTGATGTTGAAAGCCTCTTCTAACCGGAAATCATGAGATGATGGTTCTCTTACTGACTTGGCTCAGAAACGGACATGGCTGCATGCTGCAATATGCCCTACTCCACCTCTTCGGTTATGCCGTCTCCATGGACGACCTGAAACACTTCCGAGTCTGTTCTCCCCTCCTCGCTCCCCTGCCGGGCCTGCTGTTGACTAAAGCTAACACGGAGTAGCAAGTTGACAGCATCACTCCTGGCCACCCTGAAGCCCGTGATACTCCTGGAATTGAGGTGACAACCGGCCCTCTGGGCCAGGGTTTCAGCAATGCTGTTGGTTTGGCCATTGCTCAAGCCCACACAGCCGCTGTCTTCAACAAGCCTGGGTATGACCTCATCAACAACTATACTTACTGCTTTTTCGGTGATGGCTGCGCTATGGAAGGTGTTGCAAGCGAAGCTGCTTCCACTGCAGGACATTTGCAGCTAGGCAATCTGATTTGCATTTATGACGACAACCATATTTCCATCGGTAAGACAAACTCTTAACCGACTACGAACCTACAGTCACTAACAATCGTAGACGGTGACACCAAGGTCGCTTTCACCGAGGACGTTGCCAAGCGATTTGAAGCCTATGGCTGGCATGTTCAGCATGTCAAGGATGGCGATCACGACCTTGATGGTATCGAAGCTGCGATCCAGAAGGCCAAAGAGGTCAAAGACAAGCCATCCATGATCAAGTTGACTACCACTATCGGCTTTGGCTCCAAGCTGCAGGGCACAGGTGGCGTGCACGGCAACCCCCTCAAGGCTGATGACGCCGCACAAGTCAAACAAAAGTTTGGCTTCAATCCTGAAGAATCTTTCGTGGTTCCCCAAGAAGTATACGATTTGTACCACAAGCACGCCGCCGAGGGAGCCGCTGCCGAGCAGGCTTGGAACGATCTGTTCAAGAAGTATGGAAACGAGTTCCCGGAGCTGGCCAAGGACTTTACCCGCCGTCTCTCCCGCAAGCTGCCCGAGGGCTGGGAAAAGAGCTTGCCGGTGTGGAAGCCAACAGATGCTGCGGTTGCCACCCGCAAGACTTCTGAGAAGGTCCTAGAATGCATTCACGAAGCCGTCCCCGAGTTATTGTCGGGCTCTGCAGATTTGACTGGAAGCAACAACACCCGATGGAAGAACGCCGTTGACTTCCAGCCTCCGAGCCTCGGGATCGGTGACTGGACTGGTCGCTACCTGCGATATGGTGTCCGCGAGCATGGAATGGCTGCTATTATGAATGGTATTTCTGCTTATGGCACTCTGATCCCGGCTGGTGGTACGTTCTTGAATTTCGTGTCATATGCTGCCGGAGCCGTCCGTCTGTCGTCTCTCTCGCACCAGCGAGTTATCTACGTTGCTACTCACGACTCCATCGGCCTTGGTGAAGACGGCCCTACACATCAACCAATTGAGACCTTGGTCCACTTCCGAGCTCTTCCAAACATGATGGTGTGGAGGCCTGCTGATGGCAACGAGACGTCGGCCGCATACTACATGGCGCTGACTTCGACATCTACCCCCTCCATCCTGGCTTTGACCCGACAGAACTTGCCCCAGTTGGAGAACTCGACTATAGAGAACGCCATCAAGGGCGGTTACGTTGCCATAGAGGCCCAGAACGCCGATATCACCATAGTGTCCACGGGATCTGAGGTCGGAATTTGTATCGATACAATCAAAGTGCTGAAGGATCAGCACGGGATCACTGCGCGCGTTGTTTCGATGCCATGCACGGAAGTCTTTGACGCTCAGCCCAAGGATTATCAGCTGAAGGTCATTCCCGGTGGTATTCCAACTTTGTCTGTCGAAGTCATGTCCACCCTCGGATGGGAGAAATACTCACATGAGCAATTTGGTCTCAACCGATTCGGTGCTTCTGGCCCTTACAAGGAGGTTTACAAGGTTCGTTGCAAGTTTTTCTTTTCTTTTTTTTTTTTTTTGGCTACCCGGTCACAGTGACTGACAACATTTTAGAAATTTGAGTTCACTCCCGAGGGCATCGCTAAGCGTGCTGTTGCTACCGTCGAGTTTTACAAGGGCATGAAGCCTCGATCACCCATCAACCGTGCTTTCCAGCAACTTATCTAGAAAGCCGAGTTGAATCAAAGTACTAGGAGACACACGATGCGAGCCTGCCGGATCGGACAAGGAGGACGTATCAGTCCTGTCTAAGGGAGGGTTGACAGGTGTACCATCCGAGCCAGCACCGGGGGGCCTGTGTATGATGATTCAATACATGAATTTGATGCGGGTTAGATAGAACAACGCGGGAAAGACAATAAAATATGAATGCAGAGGGACGTCTGAGACAAGGCTCGCCAATCCTCTTGTCTACAGGTCGGTTGAGATAGACTCGCATGAATATCAGCTTTGGGGGTGCTGACCTCGTACGTACCTGTCTCGCTGTGTCAGAGAGCGCTGAAGTCGGCTCGTCGGGAACTATTTTTCGTTTGTGAGGAGAAGGAGGGGCGGGGGCCAGGCTTCTTCACCGATCTGTCAATGATGCCTCCCTGCCCCCCCCCCCCCCCCACTTGGCCCCCAATAGGAGTAAATGTGCAATGGTGATAACGGTCTTGGTGGTCCACTAGACGAGCCCTGCATCTGTCGATCAACGCCGCGGCTTTTCGCTTTTCCTTTTTCCCACTTGGACACGGTGCGAGAGCAACTCTACGCGCTGATGGCGTTGATTCAGGGGGATGACCGTCATCTTTAACCGGTGGCTTGATCTCCCACTCCTCAACCCTGGGCGGCGTTTTCCACAATTCTTGATGCTTCCAAACCATAGACTGAACGGTTTCCCCCGGCCAAGGGCCTCTGGTGTCCCAAAAAAATAAAAAAAAAGAGGAACAGATGCTCTCCTTCTCTAGCAAGCCATTGCAGGGAATTAATTTCCATTCACATCTGTCCATGTGATTTCCGTTGGGCGGTTTCTTCCTGGATGCCAGCCATCAACGGGGCCGCCACTATTTTCCTACGTCTCAGAGCCTCAGTTCTCGAGACTTTTCCGTCCTGTTTCTTTTGACGTCTGTTGTCTCCGCTGTCGGCATGTGCACCTCTTCGAAATCATCCAGACCCCGCAGTTCTCATTTCTCTTCCTGCGCACCCGTTCCTTGGATTTGATACTTCGTGCGATTGCAGCTGCCCATGAGCCAGTGAGACTTAGAGAGATTATCGCAGCCAGCGCCTTTCCATTGAACTCACCTGCCATATCCAACCGGTTTTTCACGTGTATCTAGACATGGCTCCATCCACATGGGTTGTGATCGGAGCTTCCCGGGGCATAGGTCTCGAGCTCGTCCGTCAACTGCTCGATCAGGGGAATCAGGTCATCGCGGCCGTACGCAGTCCAGAGACCGCCAACCACATCTGGCAGTTGTCTGCTAAACAAACGAGACCCGCGGCCTGTCTCATTGAACAGTGCGACGTCACTGATGAATCGAGCATTGATGTAAGTCGTGGCCACCTCAGTAGGGCACACGTTTGAGGCGCTATCGTTCACCGATACTGACGCAATGGATAGGCATTTGTAAGCGCGATGGGGAGGCTGGTTGCGAAGGGGATGCGGCTCGATAATATTGTCTTGAATGCCGGCATCTTGAAATATCCTAACGTACGAGTACATGCGCATTTACGCGCGTCCAGAAGAGCTAATGATAGTATCAGAGAGCTACCGAGATGTACGATCCAGAATCTCCCAAAGACCTACTTCCGAAAGATGAGGTACTGATAGCCAGCTGCGCGCAGATCCTTTGCCGACTTCGCGCAGCACCTACATACGAACACCATTGGGCCTATCATCATTGCACAGAAATTGGTAAACCTGAGCAGCACAGCACCTCCGTCCAAGGTGATATTTATTTCCTCCGATTCCGGGTCCACAGCACTGTTTAGAGAGCACGAAGACGGATTTGGCGCCTACGCGGCCAGCAAGGCTGCGCTGAATCAGATGCTCAGACATATGGCCGCCGAGCTGAAAAGGAAAAAGGGCAAGTACGAGGATGTCTGCGTGTTGGCCATGCATCCTGGTGAAGTTCAGACGTGAGTCTCAATCACCACACCATTTCCGCCGACCAAGTGATGCTGACATGGTTGCCAGTGACATGGCAAACATCGACCTCGACTGGGAAGTAGAAGGAATCATTACCCCTGAGGAAAGTGTAACGAAGATGTTGAAGGTCATTGGAGAGAAAGGCAAAGATGACAGTGGGACATTCTGGTGCTGGGATGGAAGGGTAAAGCTGAAACACGCCAATCTGTGAATTCTTATTGAGCTAACAACGTCTGAAGAGGCATCCCTGGTGAACCGTCGAAGTGCTTATGGAATGAGCCAGTCCCTTGGAGGGATCGAGGGGTGGTACTGCATCTGGAGTGCAGGTATGGCAAACACACAGGAGCCGCAGCACGAGGCGTGCGGTCCCCATGCTCTGGTGTCGCCGTGTCAGGTACAGAATGTTGAGGACTGTAAGGAGTAGCGTGGTCCAGATGCATGTTGCCCCAACTGCCTCCGCAGAGGATGTGACAAGCGAAAGAGACCCAGTAGAATCAAAACTTGATTGCAGTGTCGGTTGGGATAGCGCGTGGCCATAGAAGCTTCCAGTGCATGTCAAGGACCTACTTGTAGGTAATGTAGCGGCAACAAGGCTGACAGAACATGGCCACCTGTTGACAAAGAACGGGCGACTTGCAGGCCGCAAGGCACAAGTGAAGAATTCGTTCGGCGGCGGCGGCGCTTACCGCAACGGGAATAGCGTGCCTGCCGCTCAACTTTTTGATTGCCTGACTTTTTGGTCTGATTTTCGACCGCTTCCCTCGACCACCACCACCAACTTTTCCCCTACAAACCTTCCACCATCAGCTTTCCTCTCTGCGTCGTCTGCTATCCTTGCAGTCGATTGCTATTCTCCCCCTTTCCCCCATAAAATACTCGTGAAGTCACCAAAAAAAAGTGAAAATCCCCCTCAAAAAACCCAGAGTCGTGCGGTAAGTCATCTCGTGGCCCTTTTGCCTGCGCAACCCTTTTTCCCTCTGCACGGTACTCGGTGCGAGACCCAGAGGTAAAGGCGAACAACATCTGACGGACATGGCAGTGCTCGACTTTAACAACATATCCCTTACCAAGGCATCACCAAGGCATCACCAAGTCATCACCTCCATTGCTCAGGACAAACTGTCAATCCCTCGTTCTCGTTACCTCTGCAACCAAGCCCGGAAAGGTCAAACAAAAAAGTGAGCGCTCTCTTTGCCCCGTTGTCGCCGGCCGACGGGCGTCGGTCCTGCAACTTTCCTACCTCCGCGGCCTTCATCCCAATATATTCTGACTGTGTCTCACAGCGAAAATGTCTGCTGCAGACGTCTCCAATGCTGCTCCGGCCGCTGGCCAGAACGGCACTCCCGACGCTCCTACCCAGAACGGCGCACCTGCCATCGATACCAATGTTGCGCCATCTGGTGCCTCGGGCGATGATGTCCCTACACCCTATTCTGCGACTCCCAACACCGCGCAGCACTCCGCCTCGCTCTATGTCGGCGAGCTCGATCCCTCTGTCACCGAAGCCATGCTTTTCGAGTTGTTTTCCTCTATTGGCCAAGTTGCTTCCATCCGTGTCTGCCGTGACGCCGTCACCCGCCGCTCCCTTGGGTATGCCTACGTCAATTACAACAATACTGCTGACGGTGAGAGAGCTTTGGAAGATTTGAACTACACTAGCATCAAGGGCCGCCCGTGTCGTATCATGTGGTCTCAGCGCGATCCCGCCCTCCGTAAGACTGGACAAGGTAATGTCTTCATCAAGAACTTGGATGCCGCGATCGACAACAAAGCGCTCCATGATACTTTCTCCCAATTTGGCAACATTCTCAGCTGCAAGGTCGCCCAAGATGAGCTTGGAAACTCAAAGGGATACGGCTTCGTCCACTACGAGACCGCCGAGGCTGCCAATCAGGCGATCAAATCTGTCAACGGCATGCTGTTGAACGACAAGAAAGTCTTCGTTGGCCACCACATCGCAAAGAGAGATCGCCAGAGCAAGTTCGAGGAAATGAAGGCCAACTTCACCAATGTCTACATCAAGAACATCGATGAGTCGGTCACTGACGAAGAATTCACCAAGCTGTTCGAGCCCTACGGCACCGTTGTCTCGGCCACCATCACTCGCGACGAGAATGGCAAGAGCCGTGGCTTCGGATTTGTCAACTTTGGCAGCCACGAATCCGCCGCCAAAGCTGTTGACGAGCTCAACGACAAGGAATTTCACGGCAAGAACTTGTATGTTGGACGCGCTCAGAAGAAACATGAACGTGAGGAGGAGCTCCGCAAGCAGTATGAAGCTGCACGCATGGAGAAGGCTTCCAAGTATCAAGGCGTCAACTTGTATGTCAAGAATTTGGCTGATGATGTGGACGACGACAAGCTTCGTGATCTGTTCAGCGGCTATGGAACCATCACCTCCGCCAAGGTCATGCGCGACACAGCTGAGCGTACCGCATCCCCTGCTGCCGACAAGGACAAGGAGAACAAGAAGGAAGATGCTGAGAAGGGTGATGATGAGCAGAAGACTGAGAGTGAAGGCAAGGAAGAGACCAGTGACGAGTCTAAAGAAGCCAAGAAAGAGGGCAAGCCTGGTCAGAAGATGTTTGGCAAGAGCAAGGGCTTCGGCTTCGTCTGCTTCAGCAACCCGGATGAGGCGTCCAAGGCAGTCTCTGAGATGAACCAGAAGATGGTCAACGGTAAACCGTTGTATGTTGCGCTCGCTCAACGCAAGGATGTTCGCAAAAGTCAGCTCGAGGCTAGTATCCAAGCACGGAACACCCTTCGTCAGCAGCAACAGGCTGCGGCTGCTGGTATGCCGCAAGGCTACATCCAACCCACTGTTTTCTACGGGCCGGCTGGACAGCAATTCCTCCCCCCCGGGGCGCAGCGTGGAGGTATGCCCTTCCCTGGTCAACCTGGTATGGTCATTCCCGGTATGCAAGGCGGCCGTGGACAATTCCCTGGCGGTTTCCCACAACAAGGCCGTGGCATGCCTCAAGGCCAACAGCTTCCTCCGAATTTCGGTCTGCCTGGACAGATGCCATTTATCCAGAATCCTGCTCTGGTCAATGGTATGTACAATAACCCTCAAGCCTTGGCCCAGATGCAAGCTCAGATGGGCCGTGGCGCCGGTGGTCGTGGTCAGATGCAAGGCATGCAGGGTATGCCTCCGAACATGCAGAGCATGGCTGGCGTGCGTGGTGGTGGTTTCCCGCAGGGCGGTCGAGGTGGCATGCAGAACATGGCAGGCGCCCAAGCAGGCGCTCGGTTGCCTCCACAGGGTCGTGGACAGATGATGCCCGGCCGAGAAGAGGTACCTGCCAGTGGTCTAAGCAACCTTGCTTCTCTGCCCCCCAACCAACAGAAACAAATGCTTGGTGAAGCGATTTACCCAAAGATCCAACAGATTCAACCGGAGCTTGCTGGCAAGATTACTGGGATGCTTTTGGAAATGGACAACTCCGAGTTGTTGGCATTGTAAGTTATTATTGCTACAGCAGGATATTTTCGTTGATGGCTAACATTTCTTGCAGGATTGACGATGACAGTGCTCTTCGTGCCAAGGTGGAGGAAGCCCTTACTGTCTACGACGAGTACGTCAAAGGCCGTCAAACTACCGGTGATGGTCCCAACGGCACGAAAGAGGAGGATGGGTCCAAGGCTGAAGGCGGCGAAGCGACGGCTTAGACGACCTGGCCCGGACTACTCTTACTGTCTTAACACAACTTTTTCAACCCAAATTGCACGATCACTGTACTCGACTTGGGCAAGATGCCTTTCTACCAAAAGTTCTGATACTGCAACATGTTAGCTGAGTGCTCTGCAATGGGGCCTCCGGACCATGGAGCTGGACTGGATTGCAGTGGCGGTGGCAGGCGAATGGCGTCCTTTCTCCCGAGCAGATGGCTCCCAATTGTGCCCAAGGTGGCTCGGTGATTATGAGCTTCTCTTGTTGTTTGAGTGTATGATAGACAGGCGATATGCCCCCCCTTTTCTACATGGACCTATGCACTACGCAGTATCTCTCTAAGATACTTGCTTGTACTTCGTGTACCCGGGTTCCCCTGCTGGAAAACCGGAGATAGGTTGCATCTTTGCCATGCGTAGATAGATTCCCCCTTAATGAGATGGCTCCTCTGTTTGAACTTGTGCCTTGCAGTCTTGTTTGTTTTGTGACAATGCGGAGTTGAGTGTACGTGGCGCAACAAAAGCATGGGGTGACTTCGCCCCTTGCAGGTCGACAATATGTACCTCGGACTCCGTACTGGGTACTCTGCACCTTGTCGACGTTCGCCTATACTCATTGTGCACGACATTCCTTTTTGGGGTTCCCAATGATGTCGACAGTGTCTATCTTTGCGCTGTGGAGCATTCGGCCTGTATGGCGATTATTGGGGTGGAGCGCTGCCGTCGCCTATACAAGTCGACAACTCTTCGACCCGCGTCCCAACTTTCCTTCCTTCCTTCTCCCTCCCGCTGACATCTTCAACACCCTTCAATGTCGTATTTGCTGCATTTGAATCTCCGCTTCCACCATTCTTTCATCCAGATCTGCTTAGTTGCTGCTATATTGGATAGATCCCTTCATGTTGTCAGTAGAATCTCCACGAATTTACACCTGGCTTTCACACCAAGGTCTGCCACAGAAATCATCCAACAACAACTTCGAACCCCCCAAAGAAAAGAGCAAGGAACATATTTCCTCACTTCCATGGACCCTTTGTCCGTACACCTATACCTTCATCTCAAAGCGTGTCAGGGAACGTCCGACAGTCGACATCACAATTTGAGCGCTTGCCCTAAGCCGTGCCAGCACCTCGCAGGTTTGCCAATTTAACAATCAACACATCATGACATCGAGCATGTTGATCTCCATAGGCTGCATTGATGGCTTTTTTCGTACGCATCAGCTGTGGTCGGCGAGCTGTCGTGCGGCTAATTTTCCACATGATCCCAACCAAGACCACCGAGGTCATGATCAAACCTCTCTTTGAGCACGGTAGGCAAGAGATATTGGACGACCGATGGGTTATTACATTGTCAACCGGGCCCAGCGGGCCTCGCCGACAATGTTGCCGCAGTCGTTGGTGGAGGCATGCTGAACGAGAGATCATGAGACGGAAGACTCATGCATGACCTCAGCTGATATGGCCAGGAGAAGCCCAAACAATCTTTGTGCACAAAGGAACCTTGGAAGCAAACACGCGAGCTTCTTCACCTCCCGCCAAGTCTTCTGCTTCAAATGCAGAGCCTCGCTCCGCTTGCATGAGGCTGCGAGGCTGCAGGCCCATGTCAACGGGTACGGCAGGAAGGAAGAGAAAGTTTGAGAATGTTCAACGCGTCAAAATGCCTGCGGTATCCATCACTTGCTGATAATCTCACAAAGCCCCCTCCTCTTTGCATCGATCCTCATACCTACACATACTTACACGCCAGGAGCCCATCGCTACGGCAATGTCTAGAGACGACAGCCCCCTGTTTCTCCCTTCTTCTCCCCTTCCCCATCTATCTAGGAGCCCTGATGATGAAGTCCCGATCCTGGTCCAGAGAGCGCAAGGCGTTGAAGCTCTGAGCCCGGCATTTGACAACTTCCTTGTCTCATACAATCACGCATTTTTTGATCTCGTCGAGCGCCAAATCGAACTGATCAAATCACGTTCGCAGGCGTTCGAAGATGGTCATGTCAGTGTCTTCGACAAGGTGTTGTTGATTCTCACACAGAATGGAAACAATCTGAACAACCCAGCGGCTATCAGTTTCTATTGCAAAGAGTATCTGAACGTCGATATCGGCGCTTCTGCTCAGGAAGTGACATCAAGGCTCCAGCAGACCGTGGAAGTTTCACAGGCGTTGCAGCAAGGTATGCGAACTCCAGCTTCGTCCAGTGGCTGCTTATCTGATGAACCTGTTTCCAGAACCGTCCTCGGATAAGACCAATATGGTTCGGAGAGGATCTGGAGCTGTAGGTCAAACGCCTGCCCGATTATTGCCCGTCAACCCAAACCTACGCAAGGACATGGAACCCAGATTGGCAGTGTTGTGGTCCGTATATGAAACTGCCCGAGCAGAGTATCTCGCCGTACTCGATAAGAACGACAATGAAATGGCAATCAAGAGAGCCAAATTCCTCCGTGACACGGCTGAAAACATCCTCTTATATCTCGAGAACAGGAATGCTGATCCTCTGATGGTCGCGGAGCTCGAAGGGACATTTACCCATGCCAAAAACACCGCTGTTTGCTTGACTGGTGGCAAGAAACGCAAATTCGACAAATCAGAAATGGACCAAGTCAAGGGCACGCCGCGTGGACCAAGTCTGCCATTCAGGAAGCTGAGATCCCGTGGGGGTGGTGGAGTTGGCGATGCAGCTGCTTACAAGCGTTCTTATCGTCCAGATACCTCAAGCGGCCATACTGGTGAGATGACAAGCTCTTGCGGATGGGGCAGCTCTGATCTCCCCAGTGGACACACCCAGCCATACCGGGCAAGATACCCTGACCCATACCAGTACCAAGAGCACGACCCACATCGTTCCGAGTATGCTGGCGCACCGGCAAGAGACTACGAACGCGGTTATGACAATGACGAGGCAGGATACAGCTTGGGTATTGGCTCATACAATGCCGCCGTTTCCAACAGCTACCGGGATCGCGGCGGGGTCAGCGGCGGCAGCGCAACTAGAAACCCGTCAGACGAACGCGCCTCCTCAGAGTATTCGGAGTATCTGGACACGATTGAACGCGACCGGGAGCAACAGCATGGAAAGAGGACTCGCTCCAAATCAGCATCTCGAAAGCGCGACCAACCCCGTCGAGAAGACCAAATGCGAGACCAAAGCCGTCATCGTCGCCGCTCAAGGTCGCCAGCAGATGATCGAGAATACTACGACCACCGAGCATACCCCCGCGACCGTAAGTACGACCACGAGCGCGACAGAGACCACCACCGCTATCCCGGCGACAGGATCGAGGACAGGGGCCACGGCCGCCTAGCCAGCACAAGCATTGGCGGACGTCCCCCCAAGTTCCCTCCCTTGACCACCGGCCATGGACATGGGCACAGCTACGGCTCGGGTCTCTACGGCTACGACTATGCCAACGCCAGGGCCAGGCTGGTTGATTCGTACGTGCCTGCCCGAGATCGCAGCCGTACTCGTAGCCGCAGCCCCAGCTACACTAACAGCCAGAGTCGAGGCCGTGGTCGACGTCGCTCTTAGCGCAGTTGAAAGTACGAGGTGTGAGGTGTGAGGTGAAATGGTGTAGTTGAGCTTCCTTAAACGAAAGAGAGATGAACAAGAACAAGAGAACTGAGGAGGAAATCAGCGAAACATCATGCGGAGACGGAGAGAATACAGATGTCTTAGGATAACCGAGTGAGTATTGTCTACTACGGCGCGAGTGCTCACGACTGACCGCGAGGGTGAGGATGTTCTAGCTGGACGTTACGATGGGAACGGGGCTCGCAGGGGATCATCCATTTGTGTGTGCATGCGTGCATGGGCTGTCACAGTCCGAGGAGAGAAATCATGTATCAACATTGCTGACATTGGCGCTGACGAGAGAGAGCAAGACGGCCAACTCGAGCGAGACGAAGAGAAGGGCTACAAGCTCCAATGAGCTCGGAAGTACTGTACATAGCTCGATGGGTACGGTACATAGCTCAATAGGCGGTTCAGGTCTCGCAACTCGCTGCTTTTTATCGATTCTCGTATGGCGGTAAAATGAGGAGGTCAACTTAGTATCTGACATGGTATCTAGTACAAGACGAGAGACAAACAACTCGAAATACAATCGACTCATCGGGAGATACTTGTATCCTTCGAGCTCTCCTCGAAAGGCTCGAAAGGGGACGGGAGCGCCTGCTCTAGCCTTGTCTACCTACAGCTGCCTGTCGTAACCCTCTCGACAAGGACGTGCAGGGCAAACTACATACCAGAGCCTTGTCTTCGTATCGTCCTGGGCCACTATTCGCTGGGCTCTTAAGCATAGCCGCTCTGAAGTGGGGCCCATATGGGGCCATATGCCATATTCTGGATTTTTCGAGGAGGTATTTAAGTCAACAGCCTCCTCCTCAACTTGGCCGATGCTTCTCGTCGGAGTCAATATCTACAAGGTAAACATGGAGGGAGGCGACCCCCTATTATCATGTTTGACCGCCACCCGCCAAACACAAGATCAGAAAACTCAAGACCTGGAACAGAGAGGTCTGGGCAATACCACACGCCCAATCCACGAGGTTGCTTGGATTCATGCCAATACCTTTTCTTCTGAGGAATTCAATGCCGTTGAGACCGAGGATTCGATGAATCATTGGCCACAGCATCCACTGCACACCTAGCGCACGTCGCTCACGTTGTTGGCTCGATTTTGTTTTGTCAACTTACTTCTTGCTGCGCCAACGCGAGCCTGAAGGTGGAAGTTGGCTTGATTGGGGGTAGATAGGTCCAATAGTCTTGTCGATTCTTGATTTTAAGGAATATCCTGGATCCTCGTAGCTCCTATGCAGACTCTGACGGCTGAGATGACCGATTGCTGCACAAGGGCAAATGGGCGTTTGATGTCGAGCTGATTGAAGCATCAGCACCCCTTCCTTGTACTCTGCTATGGCTGACTGGATTCGAGACGGATCAATTCGAGGCAGCAGGACTGCACAGTCTGATTTTGTGTTGGACAAACCTGTGTGGGAAAGAAAAGGCATCGTTGGGTCACGCGCCTGAGATCAGGCTGAAGGCTGCTCAGCCCACGAGGCACCTGTGGTAGTGTAATATAGCCTCTCCTTCACTGTTCTCGACCACCAAGCCTGATCGATCCCGGTTTACGATGACAGCACGAAGATCCAATCGGCGCAAGGCAGGCCGACGACTTTGCAAGGCACAGTCATCGCATTTACTGCTTGCTGTTACCGTCCACACCTCGGCCGCAAGGCGGAAAAAGAAACAGAGCCAACGTTAGTTGACGCACCGGGCAGCGCCGGGCGGCCACGCAATCAATCATGCTTCAAGTACCTCGTACACTAGCAAAGAATCACAGCAACCATGGAAAACGGGAGAAATCCTTCTCTCTCCATCGTAATCCATGACACGGGGGCCTGCTCACCCCGGCTCGCGTGAGTCAGGGTCAGCCAGGGGTGAGCTCGGTGTCGATTTGCCGTCTCTTGGCAACGTGAACGATCAGTACAGCAACTCGTCGCAGATATCATCTGCATCCCCATTCCATGCCTCTGCCTCTCTGAAATGGATGGTAGGCATACTCGTACATGTTTTGTTTTATCATTGGCGATCTCACCATCATGAAAAAGATGCCCGACTGAAACTATGAACACTCTTGGATGGATGGCTCCCTTCTGATGACTTTGAAATGTATAGGCTCGACAGAGACACCGCCATTTCAAATCTGACGGATGACATCCACGCCCTGTAGACAATGGCCGTCATCGCTGAGCGGGTCTGAAAGTCGACGGTTTCCTATCCCTGGACCAAGTTGATACCCAGCCACGGTTGGCGTGTGAGGCAAGGGCGTATTCGTGGCTAACATCAACATGACGGAATCCTGGAGCGAGCTCGTATCCACGACTCGGCCACCGTGTGCTTCGGCGAAGGACAAGGTGGGCGTGTCCGATCTGCGGCGCCGGAAGATCGATGAGCGAGATGGTTGGACCTGTGACTCGCCCGACTCGGAATTGTCAGTGCTCGAATTTGTGGAGGCAGAATCTTCGAAGTGGGCTCGGGCCAGAGCTTTGCGGACGGTTTGTCGGAAGCCGCTGCGCGTTCCAGTTGCGGGAGAGGGGTTGTTATGGTGGGGGTATGTTTCAGTGCTGGCTCCCGTCAGGTACGCTTCTCTCGTACATTGATATTCGTCCTCCGCATCTCGGTGGTCACCGATGATTCCAGGAATGCTTTGAGTGGATTGCAGGCTTGCAGGGTTGGTTTGAGCGTAAAACCGTGATCGAGAGAGCCTGGGCAGTCCGATACCAGCCACGATACGTGCATCAGACACTCTGCGATTTTGCAACTCCCAGATTGGTGGCAGTTCGAATGGACTGTTCAGGACCTCTTCGAGAGACTGGTAGGCGCGCTCACGGTAGGTTGGGCGGCATGTAGGGCAGATTTTGAAGCCACAGAGCTGGACATATGGTAGCCTGGGCTGCTGCGGGAGCGGATCGGCTGGGGTAGATGGCTTCGGTCGGGGCGCGGGAGGAGGGAGTGATGGCTCGGACATCCAGACCTTCTGCAACTCTTTCCAATCGTAAGCCGCCTTTATTTCTTCGTCGAGCTCGGCCGAGGAGTTGGTTGAGAAGGTGGTGCTTTGCGGCAGAGTGGAAAATGTTCCATGGTCGTCGGTGGATGAGGAGGTGGAAGCGGTGGTGAAAGTCGAGGCTGTGGCGGGTCTGCCCTCATCTGGCTCAAGCTGAGAGAGGACGAGATCCCTCACCCTTTCCTTCTGCTCCATCAGTTTCTTGACCTCTTGAGGAGTGTACTGGCCTTCTCCAATGGCCTTGATGATTGGACTGCTGAGGGAATGACTAGTGACCTCCTGACCCAATGCTCGGCCTCTTGGGAGAGCAGGCTCGTCTGTGAAGTCGGATTCGGGCAAGAAGCCGCCGGTGTCTTGGGTGCAGCGATAGAGCCATCCGATGTTTGGGTGTTTGTGGCAGAGCGAGCATTTGAAGGAGCCGTAGGGATCATACAGACGGGTCATGGTCATGTGGGTGCACGGATTGCGTCTCTCGGGACCCAGAGTGTTCCTGCGTAGGAGAGGCATGGTGGGAGGGATGGGAAGGAGGGCGATTGAGGACGGTGGGAAGCATGACATTCGAACAACAGACCGGACGACAGTGCGAGAAGTGAAGTGAGAAGTGAGAAGCGAATGGGGGTGAAGTCAATGGGGAGGGAGAGCGAGAGAGGGAGAGAGGGAGAGAGGGAGAGAGGGAGAGCGTGGGAGGTGGTAGTAGGAAGGAGCACCTCATCTTGCCTGCGGTCTCTTCACCATGTCTTCTCGCATCTCCTACATTTCTCTTTACAACATGTTCTCCTCTTCTCCTCAGTTACCGTTCATCGACGCAGGCCCAGGCAGGTTCGTGTGCCGCGTATGGCCCACCACTCTCGCTCTTTTGTGTGCCTGCCTGTCTGTTTCTTCTTTCTTATACCGAGCATACTGAGGCGATGTCACTGCCGCTTGAATGTACACCATCACTGCACTCGGTATACGCAACCCATGTCTCGACGACGATGGTGTTTACCAGTGGCTCAAGTGAGCTGACACAGGCTTGCACAGGCTTCACAGGTCAACTGGGTGTGTTTATGTCTTGGCAGCGCGGGACGGGCCTGACTGGGCTCGATTGGGTTGGCGCGCCTGCATCGAGATTGCCAGCTTGCCAGCTTGCCAGGTCACTCAATGCTCAACTCTCACTGCTGCCACCCGCCGACAACCACCGACACCAACTGCCTCAGCTGCCTCCAGCCTCCAGCCTCCAGCCTTCAGCCTTTAGCCTCCGCTGCCCACCGAGACCCCCAACTGCCTGCAGTCTCCCTCTGCTCCCTTTCGACTCCCTCCTCGGTCCGCCCATTTCTAGAGAAAACTCCAGAGACGCGTTGCTCCCCCCCGTCTTCTCAAACTGCCCACCCGATCAGAATTCTGTTCACCGGCCCTTATCAATCATCTTCATATCACTCTGTACCCCAGTAAGTGTCGCGTTCCCTCTCCCGTCCCAACCCTCCGCAAGTCAAGTCTCCCAATCCCCACCACCAATCCGTATCCCGTAACAGGGCCTCGGCATCCAGGGTTACGTCTTTTGTCAACAACACCCTCGTCAGCCGCTGATTGTGCCTACTTTCATCTCCCATCTATCTTGCTTTACCTCGACCGCCAAATCTACTGACACAGCCTGCTGCAGCGTTCATTCTTTCCCCTTCTGAGCCCCCTGCTTTCTGAGCGGGCGCCGCCATGTCCGTCAAATTCGAGCAAGAGAAGGTCCGAACGACGACGGCGCCTCTCGCGCCCGGTGGTCGCGATGAGAGCACCGCCCACAAGATTGGCGAGGCCTTGACCGGTGGAAAGCAACAGACAGGTTATCTGGCGGTCCGAAATCCATCCCGCACTTTCTCTCGTTGAATGCGCCGCTCATTCTTGCGCAACAGGCATACCTAAGACAGCTTCAATCCAACCCTCTGCGCACAAAGATGCTGACCTCCGGCACACTATCTGCACTGCAAGAGTTGTTGGCTTCATGGCTGGCCCACGACAAGAGCAAGCACGGTCACTATTTCTCCTCCAGAATCCCAAAGATGGCTGCCTATGGCGCATTTATCAGTGCTCCAATGGGCCATGTCCTTATCGGACTGCTCCAATGGGTTTTTGCTGGCCGCACCAGCTTGAAGGCCAAGATTCTTCAGATTTTGACGAGCAATTTGGTGGTGCGTTCACAACTCTGCCTGCTTCACTTCCATCGCTCGGCTTCTCATGACTTCTAACTTAGATTGCGCCAATCCAAAACACCGTTTACCTCGCCTCCATGGCCATCATCGCCGGTGCCCGTACCTGGCATCAAGTCCGCGCCACCATCCGTGCCGGCTTCTGGCCCGTCATGCGCGTCAGTTGGATTACCTCTCCGCTGGCGTTGGCATTCGCCCAGAAATTCCTCCCAGAGCAGACCTGGGTGCCATTTTTCAATGTCGTGGCTTTCTGCATTGGCACCTACATTAACACTCACACCAAGAAGAAGAGACTCGCTGCGTTGAGGAAGAAGGTAGCTCTGTTCTCCACCTTCGTACTGTGCAAGGTGTGGCTAATGAAACTTGTAGCATTACGGCGACGGACGAAGCTCTTCGGGACGTCCAGACGAGCGCTACTAGATGCAACACCGCCAACCAAGCTTATCTAACCTTTGCGACCGATCAAGGTTTAGGGATAATGGCACACCACCATACGTCGGTTGACACGCTTATATGCCAAGGGAGATGCGTAAAGTGATGAGGGATCGAATTGAAGCGAGTTAAACAGGAATCAGGGCCGGAATCGTCTGCACTCACCTCGCGGAACATGTAGGAGTTTCGGGCATCTGTGCGTTCCAATGATCGAGTTGAAGTTTTGAGCAGTATCGTCTGAAGGGGGGGTACCTTAATGCTTTTTCGGGGCACCGCTTGCGCGCGTGTCAAGTTGCCTCGTTTTGCCTACGTCCATGTCCGCATTTTCTTTGTAGAAACTCTTGGCTCCGACGGTTATCTACATAGTGACATACTATCCATCATTTATGCAAAAAGCGAGTAACCACGGAACCAAGCCATCTATTATGGATACTTAAATTCCACCCGCGTTGATTTGTCTTTATGTGCGGAGCGAGTCGGGTCTCGTCCCGAGGATCGCGAGTTTGAGAACTTCAGAACTTGTCGGTAAGCGGTTGGGGTGCGATCATGAATTTGTCGTCGTGACTAGTTCGCCTTGTGCTACCGCGATATCTACCTAGGTACCTCTTAGATACGCCCTTTCTCTACATGGCTCTGGGCTGATTATGCCATTGAGCGCGTGGCGTGGTGTCTCTTCCTTTCTCACGCCACGTAGGAGTACGTGTTGCCCTCTTCCCTCTCCATGTAGTCCTTCTCTATCAACCTGTACACGCAGCACAGTTAGCACTCGAATCGGATCCCAAGTTAATACAACCAGTCACAAGCCCCGATATAGGAGGAGGGAGGTAGTTAAAGTGGCCGGAGGGGAAAGGAGGTACTCACTTCTCGATGTTCCGCTTAATGTCCGCCTGGTCCAACACGCCCCTGCTCATCGTGGCTTTGATAACCTCAACAATCAATTCGTTATGCCCAATCTTCTTCCGGCTCTTCATGATCCTCACAATCGCTGCTTGGGTCTCGTAATGCCTGTCCGCCGCTACTCTGATGTGTGTTTCCTTGTTCTCCTCCTTGGTCTCCTTGAGTTGGATCTGGTTGATTTTGATGCGCAGCTTCTGGTCAGAGAAGGATTGTGAGAATGTAAATGTATCGGTCTCATTAACGTCGCGGCTCCTGGGATGTTTGCGGAGGACCTGATACTTGGCGCATGCAAGGGACTGAAGTGTTCTCTTGAGTTCGACATCAACCAAGCCGGAGGCGGCTTTGATCTCGTTGTATGTGAGGTGTTTATCAGCTGGGATGTCGTTAAAAAGCAGGAGCACGACGGCCTGGAATCCTGACACCATGAGCTCCTTGTTTCCCTTGGGAAACTTGGCGCGTAGTTGGCAGTGTGCCAGGGAATGCTTCCAGGTTAGTTTGCGACCAGAATGTTTGGCCTTGTAGTGCGCCTCAAAATCTGACAAGACTTTGGCAATATGCGGGGGGATGTTCACTGCCACGTCTGGGTAAGTCGGCCAGGCTGCTGCGGAGAGCACATTGACATGCAGGTCCGGCAGACCAGGAGCCCTGCCCCCACGGTCATCTAGGAGGTGATTGTACGACATCATCTCTTCGCGAGCTAGGTCCATGTCTTTGAACATAGATTCTAGATTGTGCGTGAATGCGGCGCCGCACTCATTTTTCAAGCGAGTGAGCATATTTCGTTCGGCATCGAACGACGCGCTGCGACCCAGGAGTAAACGGCGGGCTAAGTCTTTCTTGTAGAAGGCTTCGAACACGGCTTTACCGTGAACGAAACGAAAGAGATCTAATGCGTCGGAGAGGTGCTGGTTGATTTCGGCATCTTCGTCAGCAGCTGCATCGTCAAAATCGTGCTCTTCTTCGGGCTTGGAAGGATCGTGCTTGTGCGCTTGGAGACGGGGAATGGCTTTCACGCCACCTTTGAGCAGAAGATCGACGTGCTTCGCAATCATTTCTCCAGGTTTGGCGTTGTCTGTATCCCAGTTTGATTGTGATTTCTTGGTCTTGTTGATGAACGTCTCGATGGCTTTGTGAAGGGCATTTCCCAGTGCCTCATTGCCATGAAAGCAGTATTTCTGATAATGATCAAGCCGCCGTTTGAAATCAAGCAGCCTAATCACCATCTCGGATTCCCTCTTCTCGTCAAAGACGATCAAGGATCCTTCCGTCTCAACGTATTTGCTAAAAGTCGGCGCGATTAAACCTCCGTGTCTCTTGCGTTGCAGCAAAGAGTAAAGCCGTTCCAATTCCTCGGATCTCTCGTCTTCCAGAAGATCCAAGATGCCGTCCTCTTTAGTAAGCGTCCCCAGCGCCTCTTCGACGAGGATCTGGTCAAAGAGGTGTGATATCCAGATTCTCGTGTTGCGCTCTAGTGACAAGAAATCGCATCTCGCCATTTCCCGGGACAGAAGATCAGTGCAGTTGTTGACATAATCACCCAGCGAATCCCCGTTGGATTCCGTATCTCTCCACGCCCTGAAATATTCTTCAGTGGTCTCGCGAAGAATCGGTTCAAGGTCGCTTGTGTAGATGCTCAGCTCATGGAACGCGTCGACCGACTGACGCAAGAGCCTAGTGTCGCTGTCATTGAGGTTTCCTCTCCTATCAGAATCGATCAAAGCGATGACACCTTGGAGGGTCTTTTGTCTGATGAACGGATCGAGAAACAGTGAATATCTAAACTTGATTAAACCCATTTGCAAGACACTCGTCTTGTCTGGAGTACGAAGGCAATAGGTCTGATCCATGTAAAAGAAGATCTGCCGAACTGTTTGCAATTGCTTTTGCCAGTTTTGCCAGGCATTGACAAACGCTCGGACAACGTCGATATCTGAGGAGTTTGCCTCTTCCCGCCGGATGCGATCTCTGACGTTTTCATTGAGATTGATCTCGCATTTCCTACTCAGGTGCTCGTAGAGATCCGCACTGTGACCGTGCCGGCAGGTATGCTCCGCACCTTTGTATAGTTCTTCCAAGGAGTATGGGTCCTTCTCGTTTCTGAATATGGCATCAAGAGCTTTGTCAGTCTCTCTCCATGTCTTTTCAAAGTACGCCCGAGTATCCAAGCGAGTGGCGGCCCGCAAGTTCTTGACGACCAGCTTCTTCGGGCCTGTTTGTGGATTGAAGGGAATTCTTTGGTTTGCAAAAGCAGGTCTAGGTTTGCCATTCTCGGGAACAGACTCTTGATTGTTGAGGGTCTCTTTCTTCAGCCTGGTTGAACTGAATTCGTACATACTGGCGAAGGCATCTTTCGGACTTCGACTGCTGGCAGACTGCATCTTGTTACCTAGTCCCGATTTGCCCTCTCCCTCAATCCCTTCGTCTCTAGACTTGTCATTCGAATTGCTGCTTTGCTGGGGCGGAAGCAGATCGGGCACAGAGATTCTGTGTCTTTTGGAAGGTCTAACGGAGGGACTGCCGTCGCTAGCAGCTGCTGGTCGTTTTGGGGAGTGGAACCGGGGTTGAGACGTTGTTCCTCGATCCAGAGCTTTTCCTCTGCGCAATGTAGTCATCTAACTTGTGCTTTAGTTACCAGACAAGAGTTGAGTGGAATGATTGAAATACTGACGGTGCGTACTTGCTGCGGGATGGACGCCGCTAGATGGCCAGCCTTGGTGGAGTTATCGTCAAGCGGCGGCCTTTGCCTCTCGGAGATTGGCACTGAGCTGCATCTGTACGCGACCGAAACGCCACGGTGCCGTTTCTGGAGGCGAAGTGCAGACGCGTCAAAACCGCGTAAAGTGATTTTGGGAGGGGCCAAACGTCGAAGAGACCGAAGATTCAGCATAACAACGCAACAACATCAAGATGAATTCCATGTCAACACCTCGAATCCTCCCTGCTCATCTTCATGCATTTGCCCCCAGTGCCACCTCTCATAACACAGTGCGTATGCTGGGGATTATAAGCCATGTCAACGGCGATCAAGCGACATTAACCTGCGGCTCAGATGCTGTGACAATTCTTCTGGCGAGGTATGGACCGGGCGCATTCACATTTATCTACAGCTAGCGAGCCCTTGAAGACTGACCGAGACTATGTAGAGATTCTCACCTCTCAGTGGGCTCAATGTATGAGATCGTGGGCAAAGTCACCAACACGGACGGCGGCCACGGCTTGGGCGTACGAGTTCTTAGCAGCACTGAATGGCCTCGAAATGAGAACGGACAACTTCCAGACTTGAAATTATTCGAGGCAGTGGTGGATGTAACTCATCGTTACAAGAACATCTTCTACGGCGATTCCGAGGCTGGTCTAGATGGCGGATATTGAGATGAATATGGGATTAAACCATTGGACTGTCAAGAATGGACGCTGTGCTCAGTTGGCTGCATGGCTGATTTGTCTTATGACAGGGGCATAGGTCATGCTGAGTATTAAGCTCCTACGCTGGCCACAGCGTACTTGAGACTCATACGATAACGCGAGGCGATGGGAATAAAGGAATTGAGGGGATGCGAAGCCTATTCAATCAGGACATGAACGTTCAAAAAGATGAATTATGCGAGTTATTGAGTCAGCCAATTCTGGCCATCCACTCTGTATGCTGAGAAGACCACAACGACAACATCACCAGTCTATTCAGTGAAACTCTGCCTGCGTATCATACACGTCATAAGCACCTGTTTCAAAGTTTCCACCCTCAGCGGGGTGGAGAAAATGCAGAATGATTGTTGCCACCGTTTCACCAACGCAACCATGTGAACTGGCGTTGTGAGGTTGCACTTGTACCATAATCTCACTTCGCGTTCTGTCTTCTTGGGCTTCTGCGCACCCCTTGGACAGCAGTCTCTGGAACTGTCAATGCTTCAGGGTCAGGGTATGCAGATTGTCCAGTATGGTAAGCCACATTCGCATCAACGAGACTCTCCCACATCGAGCTGACGCCATTGTCCATTTCGGTGGTGTCGAGATACCCGAAAATCCCCGTAGGCGGCGAACTGGTCATCGCAGTAGTGGCGAAGGGATCAATCAGATCACTAGTCAACTGATCCGTTGTCATTTCCGAGAAGGCGAAGTTCATCAGCTGGTCACCCGACATTGGAGAAGAGTTCTTGAGAGATGGCAAATCGGGAAAGTCAAATGAAATGGCCTTTTTAGGTGTTTCTTTTTTCTCACCGGCCCGCAAGATAGCTTTGTCATCCTCCGTCAGATTAAGATCCAGGGCGTGGTCGCCGGTCAATGCTTCATGAATAGAGCGAGAGAAAGGTGTCATCTGCAGCACGTCTTTCGGCACTGTGCCAAGCAACGCAGTAAGAGCAGGATGTTGATCTTGCCTCGGCTTTGGTGTCCGGAAATGGGGCAACTGGTCAGCATTAGGAGACAATTGGGCACCAAATTGACGTTGCGGTGTCTTAGAGGGCGTCTTGAGTAGAATACGCTCAGATCGTCTCTTGGGCGTCGGAGTCGTGGGTGGAAGTTCAATATCCGCGGGAGCTTCCTCGAACAACTCTGCAAGACCATCATCAACCACCGCCGTAGCAGGGGCCACGTTCTCCTTTCCATTGACGTCCAGTTCAACCGCCGCTGTCGATACTGCAAAGAAATCCCTGGTTTTGTTGAGTCTGGGGCTTCGTCTGACGAAAGCAGGCAAGGAGGTATCGGCAGCTGTATGGGGCGGACCAGAATCCAATCGTATTTGCGATTTGTCTGGCGAAGGGAAGAGCTGTCTTCGCACAGGCTTCGGTGTTAGATCGATCTCTATAGGAATGTCTTCTGAACCATGAGCACGTGTAGGACTTGATTGCACCTGTCTGCCACCGGTCTGTTGACGAGTCCGTGCTTGTAGACCTCTGGTCCCCGGACCTGCGCTGTTCGCCCGAAACGAGCGTGGGATCGGGGGCAGCTGCGGCTCGCCATCGTCAGCAGCAGCATTGCCATTTTGAGAGATCTCAGTGTCGTTCTCTTCTGCATCAGGAGCATCCGTCGCCGAGTCACCCGGAGAAGAGTCGTCGCTAGGAGGGCTCTGGGCATCACTTCTGGGGTTAGAATTCCCATGGGTCTTTCCAAAAGGTTTTGGAGGATTCCGCTTGCGCTTGCCCTTCTCTTTGGGATCTTTCTTTTGCCATTTTGAAGCAGGTCGAGGGCATTTCTGCTTGTGAAACCATAAGCCGCACGCTGAGGAACGTTAGCAATGCCTCACACACAGTTCGAGGTGACGTACGATTGCACAAAGTTATTGCCTCCCAGTCGTCTGCCTCGTCACCTAGTCGCTTGTCTACTTTGTAGCCTCGGAAAGTTTTCACTGTTCCATCGGGATTGTGATCAATTGGCTCCTTGAAGCAGCATTCACCATGATTGAGGGATGTTTCGACATCATCCCAAGGGCAGTCAAAAACCCTGACATAAGCTCTTCTCCACGCGGGTGTTTCTATTGCGCCGCAATTGTCACAGAATGGTGGCATAACTCCATTTGCGATAGCATTCTCCAATCTTGCCTTGGTCTGCTCCTTGCCGACCTTCTTCTTGGATGCAGCCTTTGCCTTTGCCTCCTCTCCTCCGGGAGCATCTGACATAGGAACATCACTATCAGGTGCCCATGTTTGCGCTCGTTGCAGGACCCTGGGAGCGGGATCACTTTTCGGTACCAGGGGTGCAGGAGCTATTTTGCGCTGTTGCTCACGTTGCTCTTCCATGAGTTGGCGAGCTCTTGGAATAGGAGCCGGTGCCAGTCGTGGAGATGACATGCTGACTCGTGGTGCCGGTGCCGGGGTGTACGATTGTGCTCTAGCCAGCGGCTTTGATGCAACAGGAAGCGGTGGGGGCATGATATTGTAGCTCGGGTGTGGGGGTTGTGCCTCTTCGACATCATTGCCCTCTTCAAAGACCGGAGGATACTGGTCGGTCGCAGGCTGCTTTTCCTGACTAGCCTCATCCATATCAAGGTCTTCTGGTTTGTCCACGATGAAGTCGTCAAATTGCAACAAGTGGTCGTCTCCAAACAGGTCTTCGAGGTTACCACTCATAAACCCGTAGTCGTGCCCAGAGGTATCAATCACAGGGGGAAGTACAGGACTGGTAATCGCTGGTTGCCGAAGTTCTGGCATGACAGGCGGCGACGACGGGATATTGGCGGGCGTGCTGCCGACACTTTGGCCTCGAGTGTCCTCGGGCGAGGCGATGGGCACGGCAAGGAGCTCAGGCTGAGGACCAACATCTGCTGTTGGGGAGGACTCTCTAACCTGGGATCCCTGTGCCAAACTGCTAGGAGGGTTCTTTCGTGGTCGGCCTGGTCTTCCTCGTGGTTTGGCTGTTTTCGAAGCAGGAATCGGGGTGGGTGGCCTTACAGATTGTTCGTTTTGAGAATTTGCCTGAACGGCTGCAGCAGGGTTAACGGCGATGGGGCGATGAAGTCGGAGGCTTGATGCAGCACTGGCAACGACTCTTAGCGACTCGGGTTGTCGTTCGATATTGAAATTGGACTTTGTCGGCAAATCAACTTTGGTCGTCTTCGCTCTCTTTCTTGCCGGACCTTCTTCCCCGATTTCATCGCCACTGTAATATCCTGACTGAAATGATTCACGTCTCCCTTCAGAACTCTGACGCATTCCTGCTCTTGAACTAGGCCGGGACGGATGGCCAGACTGCCGTGCAGGATGATTGAGGTGCTGCGTTCCTATCGGTGTGCCGGGTCTGCTGCCTGATCCTGACCCCTGCAGGGTCTCACCGCTCAGCATCCGCTGCATCGTTTCTAGGCCGGAAGTATCGATTGGCGAAGCTGATCGCTGCAATGACAGTAGAGAAGAGCCATTGCTCCAGTGAGGCCGCATCCCGTCTTGTGAGCTGACACTGCCTGAGCGATACCTTGCCTGTGCAAACGTGTTGACCGGGGTAAATCGAAGTTTGACTTCCAACGTCTCTTGAGCATTTTTAGAGAACAAGCCCATAATATTTTTGGAGATCTTGCCCGTGACCATTGTCTCGCCATCGGTGCTAGTGCCTTGAGCTTGACCGGCTAGCGCTTTCGACAGCATCCCTTGTCCGACTAATGGTGTATCAGGTTCTGAGTAATCATATGCATAAATGGTGTAGTCATTATCGACAAGAGTGGTGAGTTCAGGGCTAGCAGTTGTGACAGCTTCCAAACAGATCCGCAGATCGATCACGCCGATCAGATTTATGTCGTCAATGAAAGCAGTCTGCACTTCTAAAGGGTGGGGCCATCGTGCGAGGTGGTTGTCTTTTTGCTCGGAATCAAATGTGTACAGAACTTTCAGTCTGATGGTCCGTATGGAGACGCCGTCTGCGGGCGACGTCGCCATGCCGGTGGCGGCTGCGTAAGAGGAGCAACCTGTCCAGGCCTCGAGGAGCTGCTAACGCGAGTGGTAAAGTTGCGGTGCAGAGGATCGGAGCGCGTGAAGGCTGTAATTCGGGAAGAGAAGACGAGGAAGCGCTCCTCAGGTGATTAGGTCGAAGAAGATGGCTCAGACTGGTAGAAGGTGACGATGAGTTGGAACAAACTCCGAAGCAATTTCTTCTAAGCTTTAGAACAAACACCGGCGTCGTTCATGTGAAACGCTACAAAAGAATAAAAGAAAGCAAGACTGAATGAACCGTGAGGTTGGTGAGGAGGTGCTTGAGGTTTAGGTGAGGACCGGATGTCGAGAAAGCTGCAGGTGTAGGAGGTACTCGGTAGCGCGAATCGGTCGCGTGTTTGCGGATGGCTCAAGCTCTTGAGGCGCGACCTGCATTGGCCTCGGAGAACGGAACAGTGCAGCTGGAGGATAATGTCAATTGGCGCTAGCCTTAATGAGCTAGGGGTGCTTCAAGGCTACCAAGGCTCTGGCGCTATGCTTCTTTCGGCCACTTCCAGAAGCCCTGGCGAAATAGGCAACTCAAGCGAGCATAATTCCTCTGCCAGAGAAGAATGTAAAGAAATTTCCTCGCTTTACACCGCATGGGAATCGAGACTCCTTAAGTATTTTGCATTGCGACCATGGCCGACGCCTCCAAGATCCAGTATGTCCCTTCTGACTCATACCCCTGTCCCTGGCCCAACCTTATCTCCGCAGCGACCTGCTGTCGGCTTCGTGCTAGAAGCTTGGAAGGAATCTCCTGACCTTTTGGTGTTCTTTGGTGTTAGGGACCTGCTGAACAAGCCGAGGAATGAATTGACGTAGGTGGAATCTCCCGCTACCCCCCATCCTGCCTGTTCTACTGTGTTTTAGCTCTTCTACGACCACCATTCCTCCGCCCACCCCCTCTTCGAGGTGGATTCCGCTCCGCCCTCTGTTTCCACTTCCATCTCTAGTCTTCAGCCACTGTGCCGCCAACTACAATGCATCCATCCATGCATTGTCAATTTGATGCGCGCATTCATCATCTCTATACATTCTCAGTCTGCGCTTCCTTGTCATGCGTTGATTCGCATTCTGGGGCAACTCCATCCTGTCAACAACGCTAACACCCCATTTCTAGTGAATATGAAGTCTCCCTTGTCGAGGCCCACGAATTGTCCACGGGCCCACTCTCGATTCTCATGACTGCTACCCGCACACACACCCAAGTACTAATCTCGTGTCGAAACAACCGAAAGCTACTCGCGCGAGTCAAAGCCTTTGACCGCCACTGCAACATGGTACTGGAGAATGTGAAGGAGATGTGGACGGAAAAGGGTAAGGGGGGCGCCAAAGGAGTTAACAAGGACCGGTTCATCAGCAAAATGTTTCTGAGGGGAGACAGTGTTATTTTGGTATTGTTGAGTTGAATTCGCTTAGCGTGGAGGGGAGCGCATGGAGATACCGGTAATCCGTCGCAACGCAAGGCATCCACGATCACGGAAAAGTTCTGCTAGGATGGCAAGTCGCTCGATACAAATCATGATTTCTGGGGTGGGCAAGGAACGAGGGAGGGTTCGCAATCAACCCGAATTTAACACCTGATACTTGGTATGGCATTGAAGGAAAATACTGCCCGACGCAAGCATCAAACGGTGCGACGGAGGAACGAGTGGCGAATCATCGATACAAAGCATCAAGCGAGCAAGATACTGTCTGGTTTTCTCCCGGTTACGTGGTACGAAATGGCTGCCTAGACAAGAAAGCGAGTTGGGTTTTATTCGTCCAAGAAACGTGAAAGAAGAAGGATGTCAACGTGCCGACACGCTGATTACAAGGTCTGCGGGTACAGTGCACCCCTAACAGGCACCGGCCAGCCCGATCAAAAACTCTTGCAGACCCCAGGCGCCCGGATCCGGGATCTTGCCCATCCACTCATCCTCTGCACCGACGTACACAGCTCTTCCTAAACTGGCTTTCATGCTTTTAGTCTTCTCCGCTCCTTCTTTGGCTGCTTCAGCCGCCTTGTTTACATCCCCTGTGCTGCTCAGCGTGTCGACAAATGGCACAAGCGCATCCATCAGCGTCCTGTCACCAGGCACTGCGGGCGTGTATTTGCCCAGCGCTTGGAGACTGGACTTGAGGGCCGCGGCCCAAACTTTGGCGTCCACGGTCGTCGAAGACCCGGAGTCTTGTTCTCGAAGACCGTGGGCCAAGGCATTGAGGAAGATGGCGTAGATAGCACCGGACGTTCCGTCCATGGTGTTTTCAACCACAGGAGTGATTTTATTGACAAAAGCGACGGCGTCGCCAGGCAGGTCGCCGGATGAGAGCTCCTTGAGAACGGCTTCTGCTCCTCGCTTGAGACCGATTCCGCAGTCGCCATCTCCGATGATCGTGTCGTACTTTGTAACTTCTGCTTCTGCGGCAATCATCTTGTCCAGACCGGCCTTGAGGATCGCGTGTGCTTGGTTGGGGTCGAGTTTCAGATTGGACGATATGCCTTCCGCTGTGGCGCCTGCGTGGCCCTCCATAGTTGCCGTGTTGTCGGCTTCCCAAGTCGACGTCCGAGTCGCGGCAGCCCATCCGAAAGCCTCCGCTGGAGCGTCGAGAAGTTCGAGCATTGACTTGCCTGGTCCAAGACCGGTGTCCTCCAGCTTCAGTATGGACACCGAGAAGCCCAAGCCGTTAAGCGAGGTAATGAAGGTACCGGCGATGACGCGGGCAGGAACAATGCCCCAGTCTTCCTTGAGTTGTTTGTGGACCTCAGCTAAGATGCCTCCTATCTCCAAGTTGCTGACACCGCCTAGGTTGTTTATTAGCAGGACAGTCTTATCGTTCTTGGTAATGTCGACATAGTGTCTGTCCTTGTCATTGGGATCTAGCATCTGCGCCAGCATGGTCTTGATCAGTTCAGGGAGTGTTGCGGAGACACGATGACTACCCGGCTCGTTGTGAATGCCCATACCGATTTCAATCTCCTCCGTCGGTATGATTTCGTCAGAGTTTGGGTCTGGTTTCTCCCGTCCCGGAACGTGGACATGTTCCATTGACGCTCCCACAGACACAAGGTTTCCGGCAACTTGTTTAGTAAGGTTGTAAACTTCCTTCAGACTTCCACCGGCTTCAGCCAGAGCTCCTATGATCTTGAGAACCAAAATAGAGCCACCAATGCCTCTCCTGCCGACCTTGCCTCCTTTTGCCCGGCCAACGCCGACATCGTCGCCGATTGCAAAGAATTCGGTGTCCACTCCGGCGGCCTTAGCCTTCTCGGCAGCCATGCCAAAGTTCAAGACATCTCCGGTGTAGTTGAAAGTCACAATGGCAACTCCTTTTTCTGTAGGGACTCTTGTAAGAGCAGCACGGCGAACTTGCTCGGCGGAGGGACTCGCGAAAATGGTGCCTGCGACAGCAGCGGTTACGAAACCCTTGCCCACGAAGCCTGCAAATGCCTGTCCAAAGATGAAATTGTACAGTCAGCATCCTCATTCTGGAAATTCAGGGTTCACATAAAGAACGTTCTCAAGAGTTGGGGACGCAGGCTTCCCAAGGCCTAGGCTCGCATTCCAACCTCGCCATATAAACATACCGGTTCATGGCCAGAGCCTCCACCGGTAATAATGGACACCTTTGGATTCTCTGTCAATTCCTTTGTTGGTCGACGATATACGATTCGGTTTTGCGAGTCAAAGGCGACCGACGGGTTTGTGAGAGTTAAACTGTGCAGAGAAGTCTGGACAAGGTGAGTCGGGTCGTCAATGAAATGCTTTGCGGACATCTTGGGTGGCTCCCTGTGTAGTGTCTAGATAGGATACGGGATCTCAGAGGGTCGGATAGCAGCGTAGAAGGAGAGAAGTGGAACATATAAGACCTGGGGGAGTCAGTTGTATCTACCGCCCTCGCCGCCTGCCCGTCCCTCACTTCGTCAAGAATCAATGCGGGGAAATGACCGTTCTCAAAGCTTTGTTTCGGTGGGGCTTAGCTGGCGAACCCGTGGAGAGACTGGGACAGACCGGGCCACTATGGCTGGTGGGCTTCCATTCAGCCATTTGCCGCTTGTGCTCGAGGAGTCTTGAGAGATGAGACGGAGGCACTCCTGGCCGCCTCCCACACATGCACTTCGGTGCGAGTAGACCCGACAGGAGAACAGAACGCCTTGAATAGCCGGACGTCACTCTGGAGAAATGCTCATTTTTCTCATTCTTTTTAACTTCCCGCATCCGGCGGGGTGTCCAGGAGCTCTCTCACAGAGGAATTGTCGCTGAGCTTCACGTCGTCAGATTGAACTCTCGGCGGTAGAATCTCCATCTTCGGGTTTCTCCTTTGGGCAACCCGGCAAAGGTGCCCGGGAGGGTCGTGAATTATTATCCCGTGCTTTTTTCTCCGCCTCGACGCTCTGCGTATCTGCCAGCCCAAGTTGTGTCCAGTCCAGTGGAGCGAGGCAGCCGGAAAGATCTTAGAAGAGAGTGAGCCTGTAGAGCGTCCTCAGGGCAAACATCGGTCAGATCAACCGGTGATACCGAATGCCAGGAGTCGGTGGGCACATCGGGAACATGCCGATGTGCTTGCAGCTAGTGAAGGGCGGGATCCAGGCGGGATCTCACCTATTGGCGTCTTTTTTAATTGAATGGGACATTGCCTAGCCAGAAAATGAAAATCAACCTGGACAACGGGCAACAGACAGCTTGTTGCTCGGGTGAAAATGGGGGGACTCCTCTGCGTGTGGGGGTCCTGGCTTGGCATTCCCGGGCAATTCATCTGAAGTTTCGTGGGGGTGGATGGCTGACCTTCGGCCCTTGGCATGACCCAAGTTCTGGTCAGTGGTCACACAATGTCAACTCGCTTTTTCCTTCAGCCTCAGATAAGATTAGATCAACCAAACTCAAGGTCGCAGAATTTTGTTCGTGATCCCACACAGGTTGACCTGGCCAGTTCTCTCACCATTTCGGGAATGGCAGTCAGATATCCTGATCTCAAGGCATCATGAAGCTAGACACCAAATCCCTCCGATACCTCAACCCTACCGACTGGCGCACTCTCACCGCGGTTGAGACGGGAAGCCGAAATCACGAAGTCGTCCCCACCTCACTGATCGCCAACCTATCTAAATCCAGTCTGGGCGACGTGCAACGAAGTATTTCCTTGCTGGCTAAGGCCAATCTGATTGCCAAAGTCAAGAACGCGAAATACGACGGCTACAGACTGACCTACGGGGGCCTCGACTATCTGGCGCTGCACTCCTTACAAAAGAACAGCGCTGTCTATGGTGTGGGCAACCAGATTGGAGTGGGCAAAGAGAGTGACATATTTGTTGTCAGCGATGAGAAGGGTGAACAACGGGTGCTGAAAATCCATCGTCTGGGTAGAGTGAGCTTCAAAAAAGGAGTGCGGAACAAACGGGACTATGCCAGAACGAAGGCTCAGAAAGAGAGGGGTGCTGGGAGCTGGATGTACATGTCACGCTTAGCTGCCGTCAAAGAGTTTGCTTTCCTGCAAGCCCTACATGATGCGGGCCTGAGTGTTCCTATTCCACTAGGCCAGAATCGACATCAGTTGGTCATGTCATTGATTGACGGTTTCCCACTACGACAGATCGAAAAGGTTCCAGACCCAGCGGGACTATACGCGGAGCTGATAGAGATGCTGGTGCGCTTGTGCTCTTTGGGCCTGATACACGGAGATTTCAACGAATTCAACATCCTAATCAGAGAAGAAGAGCAAGGGGAAGATATTAAGTTGGTCCCAGTCTTGATCGACTTTCCTCAGATGGTCAGTGTGGATCATCCAAATGCCGAGTTTTATTTCGACAGGGACGTGGAATGCGTGAAGCGTTTCTTTGCAAGGCGGTTTGGATTTATCAGCACCGACAATGGCCCACTCTTCAAAGATGCAAAGCAGTTGGTTGGCAAAGACGGGGTCAGGCGACTTGATGTTGAGGTTGAAGCGTCCGGGTTCTCCAGGAAAATGGCCAGAGAACTTGAAGCATACATGAAAGAGCACGGCGTGGACGGTGACGCCAAACGAGATGAAACAAACGATATTGATCCCAGCGGTTCCGAGGACGAAGAGCACGATGATGACGAAGACGATGACAGCGATAACCCCGCATGCAATGGTGTGGCCGACACAGGTTGATTTCGAACAAATTCGCACTATTGAACATCATGCGTTCGAGCGACGAGCATAAATGATGCCCCGCGTTGCGTCTGGCCAGAGCACCAAGCATGAAGTGCTCAAAGGCCAGGGAGGCGAAATGATCTGCTGGGCGTATCTCCATCCCCGTCCCGTCCCGCTCGGCCTGTCCCTTTTGAGGAAAGATAGGATTCCTTCTGCGTCCAGGGATTGTTGGAGCGTACCGGGTACGCTGCTCGATCCTCGAAACTGCTGCGAAAGTGAAACATCACTCGCAAGCGAAGCCGCTCAATTCCTGAACCCCGCATCTTATCACAGGTCTGTCAACAACAACAACAACAACAACAACACACCATGCAGCAGAGCCGTCTCTAAGGTTGGTGACAGAAAAGCATCCCTGCTGCATTATGGGCGACCTGCTCCCATGATAGTTATCGCTGCTTCGAGTCATGAACCGTGATGGTCGAGACTGCTTCAAACTCTATTATGCCTGAACTTCAAGTCTTCAAGTCGGGATACTCCACGTGCAAGGCCACTTGTTTCACATGAATTTACTACGAAGAGTTGACGTCGACTAGTGTACTCCGTACGAGGAGTTGAATTGGACACTGGCTCCGCAAAACTCAAAATACGAGTACCGTATGATTCCAGCGTCAACGTGCCCTCATTGTTCCCATGGACAACTGCATGCAGCATGGATCACAAACGAGATGTAAACAAAACCTCGACAACTCATTGCTTGCCGTGCATGCCCATCGGTGTACGAGGTAGTTTGAGGCATATTGCTAAAGGATCTCACCATTGAGGGAAGTGCAGGATTGAGAAATGTCTAGGCCTTGATACTGTCGGCAAGACCGTTGAATGCACCAGCTGAGCCTAAGCCGAAGCTTGTTCAGATAAGTACCTACATACCTATACTCGATACTCCAAGACTTGTTCCTTTCCGCCGCCGTGAGGAACATTGTAACGGATGTCCAGGACAATTTGAACAGGACGGAGTACTCCGTACATGCTCCATACCCAAGTACATACAAGTACGGAGTACATAATGATCAGGTCCAAAGACCATGGCTTGATACGGGTTTGGTCTCCTCAGACCTGAATTATCAAGTGACAGGCATGAAAAGTTCATGAAAGAGGGCGAGAGATGTGCTTTAAGCGAGGATGGCAACCAGAGGTCCCCTGCAGTAGTGACTACACCGGCTGAACCGCCCCCTGAGTTAGGAGTAGAAAGAGGCACTTGTGAAACGCGGACCCTAGTCGTGGTAGCTGGCTCGGGAAGACGGCCAAATGTGCATCTCGCCGTGAATGGTATAGAACAACAACTTAGCCCCAATCGTGGTGTGGAAGGCAGGCCAAGGAAATGCAAACCGGCATGAACAAGCTGCGATCCAGCGAACAAGCCTCGAAGCAGAACAGGCTGGGCACAAGGAGGATTAGTCCCGGGCGCTGCTCCAGTGTGAGAAGAGCCTATAACCAGCTGGGAATCAAGTGCCAGCTGGCCCCCCCCCCCCCCAGCAGTCCCCAGCCACCTGCCCAATGGGCATACTTTGACATTCCACACCCTCCCAAGCCCATTGCTAAATAAACCGCGACGTCCTCTAGCCTGGTCCACTAGCTGACTTCCGCGCTCGACGGAGATTGATTCTGCCAATTACTGCCACTTTTTGGGGAGGCTTAAGGAGGCTAGGTACCTGAAGCCTTGCCTGGGTAGGACTTGGTAGAAGGAGGCTTAACCGATTCAGGGATCCCACAACGCGCGAGAGGGCCGCGCATGAACCCTCCTCACCTCGACTTTTCGACAACTCCTGACTGTTCATTTCACACGCGGGTGCGACTTTTTTCCCTCTGTGTTTATGGTTCACTCTCCCCAGCTGTGATATCGCATCTGCCGTCCCTCTCGACGCTCCCCGGCTGCTTTCGTTTAACCGCGTGGACCATCAACAACAGGAAAGCGTGGCCATCAGGATCAGTCCGCCCGGTCCTCTCCGACTGTCACTCCTGGTCACCTTCAACGGCTAAAGAACCAGACCGTCGAACCGCCAAATACTGAGCCCGCCCCATACCTGTCACGGCCTGTCCAGTCCTGAGGTGGAAGATTGTTCACCTTTCACCCACACCCTCCTCCGACTCTCTCGTCGATAATTCCCTTCTGGAACCCGGACAAAAAGAAGCTTAATGGTGACTAGAACGCGTCCCCGTCAACTAGAAATCTCGAAGCGTTGGGTTCTTTGACACACGTCGGTTGATGCCATTTCACGGGACAGGAGCGATCGCGCGATTGGCATAAAATCCGAAGAGAAGCGCACACAGCGATGGTCTCGTCCCCTCCAGCATCCCCTGACGGCGCGCGGCAGATGCGGCCACAGAGCATGTACACAGCTTCCTCTCCAGATCCTTTCCAGAAAAATCGGCCGCAGAGCACAGCTCCTCGCCCTCCCAGAAGCAATAGCCGTATGAGCCAGAGCAGCAACCACATCGGAAGCAGAGCTTCGGACGAAGATGCCAAAACTTCGGTCAAAGTTGGTAAGTCCACCGCCCCAGATAATGAGTGGGTGACGGGAAGACTGATGACCTTGCAAAGTGGTCCGAGTCCGCCCTCCTTTGGGCCCTTCAGATCCCGGATTTGACTTGATTCCACAAAGATTTCAACGTTCAATGGTACAAGTAAATACAAATACCAGCCTCGCCGTTGAGTCACCTCAAGGACGGAAGATTTTCATCTTCGACCGTGTCTTTGGTGAAGATACCACCCAGACAGACGTGTGGGAATATTTGCAGGACAGCGTCGATTCATTCTTGCAAGGCTACAATGTGTCTTTACTCGCCTACGGCCAGTCTGGCGCCGGCAAAAGTTATACCATGGGTACATCAGGTCCTGTAGAACAATTTGATACCACTATGAAAGGTGAGAAAAGCCCAGTCAGACCTATTGACTCGTTTGACCTGTTGTGCTAGGTGTTATTCCTCGAGCAGCGCAACACCTGTTCGAAAGTCTCAATGGTGGTCCTGCACATAGCAGACACAACTCCGGCCTCAAATCTCCAACCAGGTATTCAGTCACAAGCTTAAATCAGGTCATGCAAACATCGAAAGCCTTCATTGACAGAGGATGGGATATGTCGGTGACTTACGTTGAGATTTACAACGAACATCCAAGAGATTTGCTGCTTCCAGAAGATGCACCGTTTACTGAAAGAGCCAATGTGCAGATTCGAGAAGATCCTCGTGGTCGAATATTTGTAGAAGGCCTCAACTCAGTACGCGTGTCTTCCATCGAAGAGCTCATGCGTGTTTTGAATCATGGATCTGCTATTCGACAGACGGATGCAACGGCCATCAACGCCCGGTCTTCGCGTTCTCACGCCGTTTTCACAATCAATCTGCGACAAACAAAAGCGCAAGGTTTCCCTACGGCAAAGGATAAACGGATATCAGTCCCAATTGATCAATTGTCTGGAGGCGATGCACCGATGACTGTGGAGAGCAAGCTTCATTTTGTCGATTTGGCAGGTAGTGAACGACTTAAGAATACTGGTGCTACTGGCGACCGTGCGAGGGAAGGGATATCTATCAACGCAGGATTGGCCAGTCTGGGCAAAGTGATTTCTCAGCTGTCATCAAGAACTCCAGGAACGTACGTGTCGTACAGAGATTCCAAATTAACGCGGATGCTTCAAGACTCGCTGGGCGGAAACGCAATTACATATATGATTGCTTGCGTCACGCCCGCGGAATTCCACCTCAGTGAGACACTCAACACTGTGCAGTATGCGCAGCGGGCTCGAAACATCCAAAGCAAACCCAAGATCCAGCAAGTCGATGATGGAGCAGACAAGCAAGCTGTTATTGAACGATTACGCACCGAAATTGCCTTTCTGAGGCAACAGATCCGAAGCGCCGAGTCCACCGATCGTCGACCGGGTATGATGTCTGAGCGAGGAGATAGACCCAGTGATCGAGAAAATGAACTGCAGAATCAGCTGTTGGACATTCAAGAGAGCTATAATGCACTCAGCCAGAGACACGCCAAATTGGTGTCGGAACTGACCAAAACCACTGAGCCTATTGACCAAGTCAACATTGTCGGGGAAAGTGCAGTGGATCGCTTGAAACGTTCTCAGGCCAATCAAGCAATGATTGAACAAGTGGTAATGGAATACGAAAAGACGATTCAAAGTCTCGAGAACAATCTATCAAACACACGATCGTCTCTCGCCACCACCGAAAGCAACCTCCTCGAGAGAGAAACGAAATGTGCATTCATTGAAACGATGAACCAGCAACTAAACGCCAGAGTCCAGAAACTGATGGATCGAGAGTCAAACACCGAACAATATCTCCACGACCTGGAGGCGAGGCTTGATGATCAAAGTTCTGGAGGCGAAAAGAACGATGTCATCATCTCTGATCTACGTAAGGAGATTTCGCGGATTAGAGAAAGTGAAACAAACGCCGAAGATTATATCTGTACTCTAGAAGAGCGGCTCGCCGAGGCGGATCAAGATATGGAGATTATGCAACGCGAGATTGAAAGACTCCAACACCTTGTTGAGCGCCAACGAAGTCTCGGCAAGCTGGACAATTTGCTGTACGAGCTCGACCACATCCAAGACAAAGATGGAAAGGCCAAAGCCGTCAATTCACCTCCCACAAACGGAGCAGCTGAGGGGCCTGAGGAAGCCCTCCAAACCGCGGAGGAGACCGAGTTACCGGCACAAGAGGAAGGCGAACTCGATGAGCATGCCGAAGATTTGGCAGAACAGGCACCCGCAGAAAGTGACCAGGCAGGTCTTGAAAAACTCGAGACCGCCATCGCTCAACAGGAAGGTCTCAAGGCTGAGCCAGATCAAGAACCTCTTCCAAGTCCTGCACAGTCGAAGTTCATCACCGAGAAGTTCGAGGCAGTGAGTCAAGAGTTATTTGACCTGCGACTGGAACACGAATCAACAGTAAATGAACTGGATCTCCTTTCGGCCAAATACCAAGAAGCACTTCGAACTCTGGCGGAAATGCATGAGTCGATCGATCAGGAACGCCAAGGTACAATATCCTCGCAGGAAGACGGAGCTAATGGAAGTACTCACGATCAATCTTTTTCGGAAGAGGCGGAGGAGCCCCAAGACGACGAGGATGGTCAGCATTTGCCTTCCTCGCGGTCGCTCTCCTCGGAATTGTCCATGGCTGGGGAGTCAACGACTTCAACGGATACCGACATTACGCCGGTGTCTAAGAACCTCCAATCTGTGGAGGTCCAGTCGCAGGAGATTGAAAGACTGCAAAAACTTCTTACGGAACACGAACAGAGCATGAAAGACGTCACTGGTCAATATACCCAGCTCCAGACCGATCACAAGGAGGCCTTGACTACTGTGGAGCGTCTGAAGTCGCAAATCAAACAGACCAGACCTGCATCACCTGGTACTCCGGGTATGCTGCGACGCATGACTTCACAAAGCGGAACTGGAGTTGATCGAGGCCAGCGATCTGTTACCTCTCTTAGGACGCTTCTAGCCGAAGAGTTTGAATCGAAACCTGATCGTATGGAAACCGCTGAGGTGCACCTCTCAGCTGCAAACAACGAACTTCAGGTACGCTTGGACCGAATCCAAGCTCTGGAGGCCGAAGTCAAGAATGCAAAGAAAGAAATGGAAGTCAAGTCCACGATAATATCCGGTCTGACGAGAGAAAGGACCAGCATTAAGGCGGGATCTCCCGTCGACCTTAACATGGTGTCTCAGTTAAGAGACCAGATCATTCAAAAAGAAACCGAGTTGAAATCGCTGCATGAGGGCTATGCTCGTCGTGAACAAGATCTGCAAGAGGAGATCCAGAGACTGCACGATGAAAAGGCTAACCTACAGGCAGCCCCGCTGACATCCGAAAACGAGGACAAGATCAATTCTTTGAATCAGCAAATAGATGAATTGAAGTCAAAGCTCGAGGCAGCACAACAAGCGGTCGAGGAGTCTGAAAAGAATTACGTACGCACAAAATCTGAATTGGAAGTTGCTTTGGCAAGCATCGCCACCTTGAAAGCTCAGCAAGCTTCTGGAGAAGGGGACGAAGCCACTGGCCGAGCCGCTGCTGCCAACGCAATGCAAACCGAGCGTGACAACTACGAAGGACTTATCAACAGCCTCAAACAACAGCTGGAAGAACAACGAACGCTCAACGCTGACTTTTCAGCCAAGAACTCCGAACTGCGTCAACTTCATACCGCCCTCAGCAAGGATTACGATGCCCATGCTGAGATTGTGGCGTCTCAACGACAAGAAATAGCTACACTGAAGGCCGAGATTGAACAGCTCGAACAAAAGGTTAAGCTTGCAGAGGCGCAAGTTGAGACGACTAAACAAAGTCTGAAAGCTCTTCGCGAAGCTCACAGAAATGACGTTGAGGAGATGAAGTTGGCTCATGCCGGTGCCTTGGCCGGATACGATGACCAAATGTCTGAGATAACTGCTAAGCACGCGAAACTTGAGGCGACCTACAAGGCGGATCTTGAGCACGCCTTATCGACTGTGCAGAAAATCGTATCCAATGCTCAAGCTGCCCTTGGTCATCCAACAACCGCAGATATGCTCGCAAGTCATATTCAGGATCTGGTAGAGGAGAAACGTCATATCGTTGAGGCTAATGTACGACTGACTGGCACCAATGCGGAACTTGAGCGGCAGCTTGACGGCAGACAAGGCTTGCTTGAATTGGAAGCAGAACTTGCAAACGCCAATGCCAAGATTGGCAACTATCAGGACACCATCCGAAGCCTTGCAAACGAGGTCGGCAATCACGAAGAAACCATCCGTGAAAAGGAAAACCTGCTCAAGAAAGCAGAAGCAAATCTCCAAGCGGTTGAATCAGAAAAGGCGAAGAAGCTGGTGATTATCGAAGAACTGGAGCAGCAGTTGCAGAATAGCTTTGATCAACACCACAACCGACTATCCGTCATCCAAGCACAAGGCAACCAAGCTTTGATTGAAGCTCAACAGCGCATTGCTATTCTGGAAAAGGATCTGAATCAGCGCGCGTCCGTCAATGAGGCAGGGTCTGATAACGGCTCTCGCACCAACACGATGAAGTCACAACAGCGTCCGCAGTCGCCACAAGCCGAAGGAGTCCCACGTTCCAACTCAATGACTTCGAATCTGAGAAAATCCGCATCGATCACATCCTTACCTTCACCGCCTCCGGCCATCCCTCTCCCTCCGATACCTGCTATACCGGGAGCTCTTCAAGTAACATCCCCAACGCCTGCCCCTAGCAACCCTTCGCCACCTCAGTCTCGCCATGCCTCCAAGGAAGTCGCTCTCCCCGTGACCCCCGTGTCCGGCACCGTAGTTTCCACAAATTCCCGCGATAACCGCCGGCAGTCTGCGCTGATTGAGGAACAAGAAAACCGGTTGCGGACCATCGAGAAACACCTTCACGCAGAGAAACAACTCACCGCTACATTAGAAGAAGCCCTTGTCGATCTTGAAACGCAATCCAACAAATTAAGGGTTGATGCGGAGTCGTGGAAGAAGAAGGCGTGGGCAATGGAAGAGGAGCTGGCAGGACTTAAAAAGGAGAGAAGATCGGAAAGACTCAGTGTGCAGGCTGTGGAGGAAGAGGTTAAGAAGAGGAGAGAGGCCGAGGCCGCGAGGGCGCAACTCGAGGAGAGAATGAGGTTGTTGACGGTGGGGAAAGATGGGAAGACGAAGAAACGCAAGGGAAGTTCGTTGAATTGTTTCTAAGCCACGGCGGGCATTAGATGGGAGCATCATATTGAGGGGTTTGATTTTGGCGAGCTGAGCCTAACGAAGCTGGCGGGTGGAAGTTTTTCATGCGTTACGTGAGGTGTTCTGTCCCTTGTGTCTCATTTTTTTTTCATTTTTATTTTTGGTCGATATGCTCGAGCGATCCGAATCAAGCGAGTTCTCTTGGGTGAAACGGGGTTTTTTGGGACTGTAAAAAAAGGAGATCTGGCAACAGATGAAAGGATAAGAAGTTTTGGATTTGTGAGTATTACTCCATACTCACTCCTCCATCCACGCCATTCACTCAAGAATGTGTTTTCTTTTTTTTTTTCTTCACACCCCGACATGATACGTACACATAATGAGCTCTAGAGGATTTTGTCTGTCTTTTTGCACGTCAATCCTCCTTGTCACAGATGTCTAGGTGGCGGCGGGCGCCAGATTGCATACGCCGTACATATATAAAATAAGTAGAAGCAAGCACATAGGAGAATGAGAATGAGAATGAGAATGAGAACGAGCTCTTAAAAACAGCCGACAGTTAAAATACCTCCGTTGGAACTGCGAAAGGGGAGGGAAAAAAAAGCACGTTCCTATACACAGTAGTAGTAGTACGAAGAAGTAAACCCATGGATGTGGAGCACATCCATCGAACAGAAATCAAAGAAAGGGAGGAAGGGAGGAAGGGAGGAAGGGAGGAAGGGAGGAAGGGAGGAAGGAAAGGGGTCCGGAACACCTCAAGCCAGAGCAAAAATCAAGAGTGAAAATGTTCAAAAAAAAAAGGGGGGGGGAGAAAGAAAACACGAAGCTGAATGGCGGTCTTTTCGTCTGTCTTCATGTCTGCCTCTGTCTGTGTGACGAGCGTGGAAATAGTTCAATCGAGTCGCTCGCGTCGAGTCGAGTCGTGGAATCTGAACGAGAAAAATGATAAGAGAAGAGAGGACATGAGGACATGGGATTAGTACGGAGTACAGGGTACGTATGGGATAATGGGAGGTATCGATGCAAGAGGGGAATAAGAACGCATAAGGAGGGAAGGAAGAAGAAAAGAAGGGAGAGATGGAGGCCGCGCCTCCTTTACTCTTCGTGTTTTTTTCATTTTGTGGGCAGTTGAGTTGATGCCTGCCGTTCTGTGTTCCCTTTCGACTTCGAGAGCTATCAAGCATTAAGCCCCCATCTCTCACTGGCTGACCGAATAACCGACTGATTGACTTGAATGACTTTGAGAGCATGGTGATAGGCAAGTCCAGCTTATTCTAGACCAATTCAGTCCATCCGTCCATCCATCAACTCAAGCTTCGTCATTTGCTTCAAGCCCAAAAGTTCCTGGGCCCAGGTCCGACAAAACATTCCTTGCTGGAGAGAGGCATAATGCAGTCATTCCAAGATCTCGACCTCAAGTCTCAATCCACCCTGGCGGATTTTTTTCCCTTCTCTGGGTGGCACGATGACCAACTTCCCATCTTCGTCTTCATCTCCAGCCGTGCCCATCTAGCGAGTTGAACGCCAATTCCATCACCAAGATGCCCTTGGACAGGAATCAAAACAAAAACATAAAACATACTCTGTCTCGCGCGCAGCAGGGGGTATCATCGAAACATGTTGAATATCGTCAAGACGTAACCCGCGCCGTGTCATGAATCTTTTTTTCGGTAAAGCAAAGGGGAAAAAAAAAGCACGCAAATCTTTTCGCTTTCTGTGAGCACCCTATGGCTGGCAGGTCCCGGGCAATGGATCTTGCCCCATAACCTGCCATCCTTTTTCACATGCAGTCAAGAATAAAGACAGTTGAAGAAAATCCCGACCCTGGGTCTGTTGAAAACCAGGAAATCGGAACAAATCTTCGCCGCCCCTCTATCTCTCTCAAATGTGAGACACATGCTCGCCCATGGATATTTACTCCAACTGACAGACAAAACCAACAGGATTAAATGGAACGCCGGTGTTTTGTGATTCTTGCCATGATCTTCAATGTTGGCAGGGGAAACAAACAAGGAAATCTAGAATTTAAGAGGCTTGGGCTGTTCCCAGGTGAAGCTCTGGTCGGTGAAATGACCGTTCTTGGCAGTTCGGAAGTAGATGGGGTTGGTGAGGTTGAGTTCCTTGACGATGACACCAGGTCGGAGATCGAAGTTCTTGTAGATAATGTCGACGAGCTCGGTGCTAGATTTGTCGCTGGTGCCGTAAGTCTCGACAAAAAGAGAGAGTGGCTCGGCAACACCGATGGCGTAGGAGAGTTGGACCAAGCAACGACGCGCGAGACCTGCGTTAACGAGCGATTTGGCAATCCATCGGGCCAGGTAGGCAGCAGAGCGATCGACTTTGCTATAGTCCTTGCCAGAAAAGGCGCCACCACCGTGGGCTCCCCAGCCACCATAGGTATCGACAATGATCTTGCGGCCGGTGAGACCCGCGTCACCTTGAGGACCACCGATAATGAAGAGGCCAGATGGTTGGATGTGGTAAATGGTCTTGTCGTCAAGGTATTTAACGGGAATGACTTTCTTGATGATCTTTTCCATAAGCTCCTTTCGCACCTGTTCGGTGGTGATGTCTTCGGAGTGTTGAGCGGAGATGACGACAGTGTCAACTCTCAAAGGTTTGACAGCACCTCCGTCATGAGCATATTCCACCGTGACTTGGGTCTTGGTGTCTGGTCGGAGCCAGGGGATTTCGCCTGATTTGCGGGCCTTTGTCATGGCAGCGTTGAGTTTGTGGGCCAGTTGAATGGTCAACGGGAGGAGTTCGGGAGTCTCATCGGTGGCGTAACCAAACATGATACCCTGATCGCCAGCACCCAGCTTTTCCAATGCTTCATCATAGTGCAGACCTTGGGCAATATCGGGAGATTGCTCTTCGATAGCGACGAGAACGTTGCAGGTTTTGTAATCGAAACCTTTCTCTGAGCTGTCGTATCCAATATCCTTGATGGCATTACGGACAATCTTTTGGTAGTCAAGGTGGGCTTTGGTCGTGATCTCACCAAAGACCATGATCATACCTGGAAAACGTTAGGGGAGAGGGGGGGCGCGGTTTTGGATCGGACAGATGGCGTACCGGTCTTTGTGGCAGTCTCGCAAGCCACTTTCGACAAGGGGTCGACTGCGAGGCAGGCATCGAGGATTGCATCTGAGACTTGATCGCTAAAGGCAATCGTTAGCCGGGACACGTTACGGGCAGAGAAGGATAAATACATACGCAATCTTGTCAGGATGACCCTCACCGACAGATTCCGAGGTGAAGAGGAACGTGTCGCCCTTGGGCACTCCGTTGACCTGGCCGTTCATTTTCGCAGTAGTCACGGTGACTGTAGAGATAGAGGAGGTCAGGCAAGGGGGGAGAGAGTGAGTGTGTGAGAGTGAGTGAGCGTGGTGGTGGAGAAGAAAGATGAAGGACCAGTATTAAAACACATGGAGGGAAAAGGGAAAATTTTGGGAGCGGGGGAGGAACAGAGGGATACGGAGACAGAGAAACGGTGAGGAGAAAAAAAAAAAACAAGACGATGTCGTTATCGGCATCAAACAGGACGGAATGCACCCACCTGCACCAGCACCGGCATCGGCAGAGCTGGTCCCTAAGGTAGTTAAGGGCTTGGGCTCCAGGAGCCCCGGCAGTCTCAGCTGGTCGCGCGGCACTAGGTACAGCACAAAGCCCACTAGGCACACAACCAACCCCAACACCAGGTGGCCCCATGCCGGCAGTCTGGTTCCCCTTCTCCTCTGTTGGTGCTCTCGAGCGGGCATTCTTTCTTTCTTTCTTTCTTTCTTCCTTGGGCGTCCAGTGGACTAGCAATGACGATGATGGCGGTGAGCTGCACCTTCTTTGCCTGCTCTAACGTCCCTTGATCTGCTTCTCGTGGGAGAATGGCGCAATCGTCCCGGATGTCAAGGTCAGTCGTTTGAATGCCGCGGCGCGACGCCCCTCACTAACTGACTGGGGGTAGCGATGTTGTTCGTCCCGAGAAAAAGTTTCCGACTGGTCCAAGACAAACAAGGTCCCCGTACACACACGAGAAGGCGGTGGCAGAAAGATGGTCGACAATATTTGTACAACTTGTTCCCTCGTATATGTCGAACGGAGGTGGTGATATATATTTACAGAGAAAGAACTGAACACGACTGGTGATACCGAAGGAAACCAATTCCCACAACTACAAGTGCGAAAATTGTGCCTACAAGAACCGCCAAAACGGCGCTAACGCCTTTGGGCAAGACCTGTCGTATGAGAGTGGCATGAGGTCCGACAGAAACCCATTCGACGACACAGACAGGCATTCACATCTACGCTCCCGACTCCACGACGTCATTGCACACGCAACGAGAGAGAGGAGGACAGGAGAAAGAGGAGGAGAGAGGAGGCGGGGATAAAGAAGAAGGGATAACAGAGGTTGAGAGACCGAGAGGGAGAAGCAAACATATTCATCAAGCGAAAGGCCTGGACACGGAGGATCTGGGAGAGAAACAGACAATATCATTCGCACTTGTCGCGAACCACTTTTTGTCTCTCAGGCAGAAGTCGTTCTCTTCTCCTGCGCCTACTTGAGCACGATATCAGTTCGTCCTCCACCACCGCAACTCCTGTACCTCCGACCGGCGACACAAACCATCAGGCTTCAAAACGCCCGACAAAAGGGGACAAAGCCATGTCAAAATTCGGAGTCCTCGTCACCGGGCCCGCCGGTGCCGGCAAAACAACCTTCTGTACCGCCCTCATCACCCACCTACACCACAGCCGCCGGTCCGCCTTCTACGTGAACCTGGACCCAGCCGCCACCGACCTCAGCTACACCCCGGACCTGGACATCCGAGACCTGATCTCGCTCGAGGACGTCATGGAAGAGCCGCTTTCCCTGGGCCCCAACGGTGGGTTGATCTACTGCTTTGAGTTCCTGCTCCGAAATCTCGACTGGCTGGCCGAGGCAATCGACCCGTTGACGGAAGAGTACCTGATCATATTCGACCTCCCAGGCCAGATCGAGCTGTACACCCACATCCCCTTGTTGCCCGAGCTCGTCCGGTACCTCTCGCGCATGGGCCCGTTGAACATCTCGCTATGCGCCGCCTATCTCCTCGAGGCGACCTTTGTGGTCGACAAGGCCAAGTTCTTCGCCGGCACCCTCTCCGCCATGAGCGCCATGATCATGCTGGAATTGCCCCACGTCAACATCCTCTCCAAGATGGACCTGGTCAAGGACCAAGTCCCCAAGCGCGAACTCCGGCGCTTCATCGATCCCGATGCCAACCTCCTCGACCAAGAGGATACCGGCCGCGGCGAACTCCTGCCCAGCTCCAGCTTCAACCCCCGAACCGGTGGCGGGGCGCCAGAGTACACCGCATTGGACGTGCGCAACGCACACGAAGTCGATAACATCATGTCCGGGGGTTCGTTCAAACAGCTCAACCGCGCCGTCGCCCGCCTCATCGACGATTTTAGCATGGTTTCCTTTTTGCAGCTGGACGTCAACGACGAGGAAAACGTCGGCGACGTGCTGAGTTACATCGACGACGCCATTCAGTTCCACGAGGCCCAAGAGCCCCGGGATCCCAGGGAGCCCGAACTGGAAGAGCCCGCTTGGGAGGACTGATTTGGGATTGCTCCTCAGCCCGAGCCTGAACCTGAACCTGAACCGGAATTGAATGGGGCTGAGCTGTGGTCAGCTGAGAGGGTGACATTCCTCGTCTTTTTCGGGTTTTCGCAGGGATGGATGGATGGATGGGCCTTCTCTTCCTTCCTTTCTTTTTTTCTCCAGCGTTGGCGTCGGCCGGTCGGCTTGTTTGGGCTGGGGTTCGGGGCGTGTCAAGGCCAAGGTCAAGGGGCAGAGGCAGGGCTAGGGCCAGGGACAGAATAGAGAGATACCCAGAATGAATAGCACTTTTCGGTGTGATTTTCGATCCTTCGCTTGCTTGATTGCCTGAACCCACAAATGCTGTTTGAAAAGAAATGCTCTTTTGCAAAAAATGCCACCCGGAGTAGCAAGCGGTATGTAACCCACTGCTCTTTCACGTCCATCCATAGCCATTTCTTCCCTTTGGTCGTCCTCGCGAAACAGGAACCTGTTGCCTTGCACCACCAGCATACGCGCTCCACGGACTCTGACCTCGAGCTGCTCCATATCCCGCGCGTCCACTACTACCGCCGCTGCCGCCAGCGTACCAACCAGTCCTATTAATATCACTCCCGTCTCCCGCCCGCGTATTGTTCATGACCTTATCCTCCACATACCCCCAGACAATCCCGAGCGCCCACTCGGCATCACTCAAAGCCTTGTGCCAGCCGTACCGATTGACGTAGAAGACGCATTGCAGCGCGATGAGGAGGAGCGCGATCTTGGCTAGGAGGACTACCCAGCCGATCACCGAGCGGCGGATGTAGTCGGCGATCTTGAGCGTCAGGTAGACTGTCAACAAAAACGCGGCTAGGGAGACTATGTCGCCGTCTCCAACGGCCGAGAAGACCGCCGTCACGAACGGCGTGATGTTGTTGGACAGAGTTTGCACCGACTCCGGCAGGCGGGGGAGGATGTACCCGCTGTACAGGTCCGCAAGGTGCCATAGGAGCGAGGGCAATGGAGGAGGTGGAGGTGATGGCGGAGCCGACGGCATTGTTTTCGAATCCGGGGTGATTGATGGTTTTGGTTGTTGGCTTGGCTTGACTTGTTATTGAGCGTTCGGTGTCGCGTCGTTCGTGGTAAAAGCGACTACGCACGCAGGGTTGGGTGGGAGAGGAATATGACGACGTGGTGTCAGTATACCAAGGCGAGAAGTTTGAGATGGAATTTTGGATCTTCAAACTGACTGTCTCGTGGGTGGTTCAGTTGCGGTCGCGGTTGTGGTCGTATCACTCATGGTAGGTAGGTGAAGCCAGTTGTCATGTTCTCTCCACGCAAAGACACCAGGAGCAAAATCACTGCTTGTGTAGAGGGTTCCAGACAGGTCTCATGAGTTTCAGCAGAAAGACACGATCATGACCAAGGTCCTGAGAACATGTGGAGATGATGTTTGGAGGTGAGATCAAATGCTCTTAGAGGCCTGGGCAGGTGAAATGAAATGACGCTTGGACACGAATCGCGGGGAAGTTGTTTGGTGCAAGTCATTGGACAAAGTAGAACAACGATATCGACATTCAAATGCCATGTTCTTAGATGTACATTCCCTGTCTCACGCTGTTCCTTCAGCCTCGCATGAACACATGCACTTGTCTTCAGGCAACAAGGTCCAAGATCTCGCTATCCAAGTCCAATGCTCCTCCCCGTCATCTGAAGCTGTAATTAGTATACTTTTGTGATTCTGTACAAGGGTCCCCTTTTCAGCAGTGGCTTCAAATGCCACCTGATGCCAGACAACAAGCCCCCGGAAACCCGATGTCTAACAACCCAGAGTCGAAGCTCCCAGACCGGCCAAATGTTCACTGTACAATCAGGAGACGTCAAATTCGTCAAACCAAAACAACAATAATGCACAAGACCTCCAAACCCATCGCTAAATATGCGTCTTGTCCAAAGAGTATGCGACACGATGCAGAACAAAAAAGGGTAAAGTTGCCGAGGATCCCCATGGACAACTCTCCCAGGAAGGCGTCAGGAGGCAGCCCCCTAATAATCTGAGTTGTACCCCCCATAGTTAAAGTCGTCGTTGAGAAGGGCCTGCACCTTCTCTCGTTCCGCAGCGATGGCAGCTTCCAGCCGCCGTGTTTGGCGAAGAGCTTCGTCTCTGTAGATACAAATCAGTAATTCGTCCCGGATGTCTCGATTCAATGATACTCACCTTTCCGATTCCAGCTCAGCAACCCCCATCTGAGCCGTGTTCATCCGTCCGACTACCTCTCCCATCTCCTTCTCCGCCTCTGAGAGGGCTTTCTCCAGCTCGACGACCTTGTTTTCCAGATACTCGGTCTTCAATGCTTGTTGCAGCGCCATGCCAGGGCCCGAAGTCGTCTGATTGAGACGGGGGCTCTTTTTAGAGTTGACAAACATTGGTGACATCGGGGACCGGGGCGTCGGGGTCAAGTATCCTGGTGTCTTACGTCCCGACTTCGTGCGCATCAGCTGGATATTGTGGCTAGCTCTCAGAACGCGGACTTCTTCCTCATGCTTCATGACTGCGGTTTCTGACTGCATTTGAGCGACGTTGATAACGTCTTCCAGTTTGCGAAGCTTGGTCTGGAGTTCATTGATTTGTTCAGCCGACGCTTGTTGATTCTGCTCGCCGTTCTCGACAGCTGTTTTGAGCCGATCCCTCAGGGCGGCATTGGCTTGCATTTGTTTTCTGACCTGGGCGGCCAACGACTCAGATCGTTGCGCAGACATTTCCAATTCGGCGGCAAGTTCTTGTTCATGCTTCAACGAGCCAAGGGATTCCTGCTGTCGAGCTTGATCCCGCTGTTGTTCCAGTTGACGGAGGGCCTGCTCAAGTGACGATGAGAGGACTTCTGGTGCACTCTCGTCGCGAGCTTGCAACAGTGTTTGTAAACTAGTAGTTTCCTGCTTACTTCGGTCCAGGTCCATTTTCAACCCCGAAAGGCCTTTCTCACATTGCCACTTCTGTTCGAGAGCGTCATCCGCCCTTTTCCGAAGTAGGTTGATCTCCGAGCGCAGCGTCCGGACTTCCCGTTCATAGCCTCCCTTTTTGGGCCCGTGTAAAGAAGCAGCCCGATCTCGTTCGGCTTCGGTAAGCTTGAGTCGCTTCTCGAACTGTCGTCGCTCTGCCTCTTGTCTTCTTAGCAAATACTTTACGGTAGAGTGCAAGGCATTCCTTTGTTCTGTCACATCCTTCAGTTGATCGGCAAGGGACTGTTGACTCTCTGGAGCAGCGCGATTAACAGAGTTCGACCTCGACAAGGAATTTGATCGGTTTGGCGCAGCTCTCGAGTTCGACCTGTTCAGAATCGTGTTTGATCTTTGCAGACCAGAAGCACGACTTGGGATCATTGAAGTTCGTGGTGATTCAACAATCTCGCCTTCTTCAGCGATCGATTGAAATTGCATGTTCATCGCACGGGCACTCTGCAGGGCGGCATTTTCATCTCGAAGACTCTGCAGCTCCTGCTGCATTCGCGTAAAATCATAATCGGATTTCTGTGATTCGGACAAGCTCGTCTCAAGACCCTCGATTTGTGAGCGCAATTGCGGCACTACTTCGTCTCGCAAGTTGTCTCTTTCGTTCCGATGATGCTCCAAGTCGACGCGAAGTGCCGTCAACAGGTCTTCGAAGTTCTCTTTGATTTGTCTTTCCTCCATCAGCCGCCTTCTGGCATCTTCAAGGGCCACTTCCAACTCCTTGACCCTCGCAGAAATATCGGCAGACTCATTGTTGTCTCGACGTGACAAGGAGAGTTTCTGCTCAAGGATCTGGATGTGAGATTCAAGTGCCTGCCGGCTCGACCTTTCATTTTGCCATTTTCGCGACATTTCGACCTTGAGCTGTGCTCGAAGCTGCTCTGATTCTCTCTTGATCCTTTGGATTTCTTCCTTAGGATTCCCTTCACTTGTCGATGGCCTAATGGAACTCGTGCCGGAATCCGAAAAATAATCACTCGTGCGATCAGTCTCTCTAGTAACAGAAGGTCCCTCCGTCTGGAGCTGTTCGACTAGGTCCTCCAGATCCATCTCTCTTTTGATCGAATTAGCAAGTTCGGTGCTGATGTCGCGAAGTTCGGCTTCAAGTTTGGAGATTCTGTTTCCATCGTTGTTGACCAACGTCTGGGCGTATGAGCTTCCGTCAAAGTCAATTGAGTCTTGAGAAGGTTGTGATGTTGGGGGCCTCGGAACAGGGGGGAACGGATATCCTTGCGAAGAGTGTGCTGAGGCACGGGGCGAAGGACCATAGGGCGATGGCAGGGGGGATTTCCGATCCGAAATATCTGTGACTGAAGATTCGGTGCTGGGCGAGGCGGCGGGCTTGCGGCTGAAGAATGAAGTAAATTTGCTGCCCGGAGTCTGAGGTTTCTTCGCGTCAATTACTGTTAGTGATTTTGTGGAAGACGTCGAGTCCGTCCGCAGAGGCGGAGGCCTCGATCCAGGTTTCAGTCCCATGTCTTCCTCTACAATGACGCTGTCTACCGAGTAACCATTTGATCGTTTCGACGTGTGACTGCGCTTTGGGGAACCTGTTATGCTGCCGCCAGCAACTCGAGGCAGAGAGGCGTCTGTGATTGTCTTGGTCGGATTGCTGTCGTTTGTATTTCTTTGGTTAAGCGTGGGCGAGGTTGTAACGGGGGTCCTGTCGTGGTCAGCTGGGAATCTGTGCGCTAGCGAGGCTGGGCCAAACATACCGTTGGCCTACAACATCCGAGGGGACTCTCTTCCTCTGTATTCTGTATGAGGGCGAGTCCACCCGGTTCTGAATCGTCCGTGCCTCGGGCGACTTGACAACAGGTGAGACGTTGGAAGGGAGAGGTTTTCTTCGGACTGGGGAGGCTGGGGAGGCTGGGGAGAAAGGTTTTAGAGCGGCGGAGATGGCATTGGAAAGGGAGGGCAGGCGCTGGAGAGGAGGATATTCTTTCGGAGGTGGAGGAGGAGGAGGAGGAGGAACAGAAGCGAAGCTCTGCGCATTATTGTCGTCCATGATCGATAGTGGTCATGGAGGCGATTGGGGGAAGGGTGTTGTGGATGGTGCCAGTTGCTGGTTGCGGACGGGTGGTAGACAGGTGGAAGGGCGGACTCTTTGACGCTTTGACGCCCGTCTAGAGTAGCGACATTGTTAGGGCCGTGGTTTGGGCATGTAGATCAGCCACATGCAAATAGCAATCCGAGAAGGGTACTGGAGGTGCACCAGTGGAGAGAACAGAGAGGTGAGAGGATGGTCTAGGAGAGGATTGGAGAGGATCCGCGTGGTTGATGGTGGTTGATGGTGGTTGATGGTGGTTGCTGGTGCTTCCAGGTGCGTCCTGAAGCGGTTTAGTCCGGCGCCGTGGGTGGCCTCCTCATTGGATCAGCCGCAGATTGCCCTTGATTGCCTCAGCTAATTCTCGACAAGCGGCTACAGACTGCGACACCGTCTCGACCATCTCCTGGATCTGTGCTTGATGAGTGAGAGGAAAGCGAGATTGTTGAGTCTCATTTTCATTCAAGCGGTTGGCTCGAGTGGCTGCCTGCTTGGCCATTGCTTGTATGGAAGGGAAAGTGCAACTCGGTAAGCACATACAATCCTATCCAACTGAAGTCTCACAGCACACATCATGGACGAGGTACCGATTACTGTCTCCGTTACCTCGTACTTCAGGTTCTCGCAGCTCCTCGACTTTATGTCGAACCCAGTCACCATATTGACCCGCCTCTCATCTCATCCTTGGCCAAGAGAAAAGAGAGAGGGAGAGAGAAAGAAGTAGGTGATTGTTCGGCTTCAGCTCCAGCTCAGCTCCCAGCTTCTCACCTATCCTTTCCCTATACAGGGTACAGAGTACTTGGTATAGGGTACTGGGTACAGGTACGGAGTATGTACTCCCTGCTCCCCAAGTATGTGCATACGACCGCACTTCCCTCGTCTTTTCCTCTTCAGTCACTGCTTTAGACTTCGCTTCAGGTTGGTGCAGGGGTAGTACATGTCTATGGAGTGCCCAGTATATATCAATGCATCGGGCCAGATGTCTGCATCTCTGTCGATCACATCTCGGAGCATGCATGACTGGAGACATCCACTTACCTAGGTAAGTTACGGAGATGCTGAGCGCCGGCCAGTGGGAGACTTTTCTGGTGACAAGTCCGGCGCCCCTTGGCAGGGGGGATTGCCCTTCTTTTTTTTTTTGGATCCGGGCACAATCAGGCTAGCTCCCTGAGGTATCGCAATATCTCACTGTCCTTTTCTTTTTCCCAGGATCCTTTTCCAGGTCAAAACGTGATTTCGGCTACGAAGGTTGAAATGCCCGCTTAAGTTTGGTACAGGTACAATGACTGTTTGAGTCAAGCACACGGGACCGAGCACTGTGCAGGCTGTGTGATATTGGTGTAAGTCTCGAGGTGCATGAACAACAGCAACACCGACTCGTCTTCAAGCCCGTTGAGGGGACAATCCTCCGTCCATCTCAAGCTTAAGGCAAAAGGAATCGACAGTACGGGGTACAGTAAGGGGTCAATAAGAGTTCCTGAGCAACTAGGTACTTCGAAAAGTTCTGTAGAGCATTTCATCCCAATTCTCTTCTTATACATCAACAAAAAAGCGACGCGTCTTAGCCGCCACAGACCACAAACTCTCGAGATAAACCATGTCTCTCTACCGTCAACCCGTCCCATGACCTCGCTCAGCGGCAGACCTGGTTGGAAGGCCCAGCCACTCACTTATCAAACGTGTATCTCATCCAATCTCCCACAGCCTTGAGACTCTCCCACCTTACATTCTCGTCCGGATCACCCATCAACTCCAGAAGCCGAGCCTTGAAGCCCAACTTCTCGAGCGCAGTCCGCTGCTCCGGCACCTGCTTCACCAGGTTGCCCACGTCATTGCATCCGACTGCCAACACTTGTTTGTCCGATTCCCAGCTCTTGGAGAGAATCTCAGCCAATTTCTTAGGGAGTTCGCCATTTTTGTCTTCGAGGATCCTGCGTGCATTTTCTCGCCAGAATGTCGGGTTGCGATGCGGTGGTGACCAGCGAAGATGGCCAGAGTTTACCTCGTCGGCGTATTCGTCAAATGTCGTCTGATTTTTTGTGTATTCTTCAAGCATCGTCTTCAGGCCCTCCAAGTCCTCCAGTAAGTCAGGATCGGTCAGATGGCGACTGCTCAGATTGTTCAGCAGGGCAGGAAGTCTGGCAGTTGTAGCAGTCGCAATCAACGTCTCCTTATTGGTCGAAAGGAGGTTGTTCAGCGTTGCCAGCAAGAGCCGGGTGGTCTTCTCCTTTGGTGACATCCGCAGAAGCTGTGTGTACAGCGGCACAATCTCCTCGTCCCTGGGTAAACGTTAGCCCGGCCCATTCCTTGACCTCTCGATGGGAACTGCTCGTCCTCACTTTTCAAGACCCTCGCCCACCAGCTCGCCCTCGAAGCTGAGCTGCCATATTACCAATAACACATGATACATCAATTGTAGGCCTACGCCTTCGCCAAATCTCGTGTCACTGCTTCGTATGCTGGCATTGCCACTCCACAGCGTAGAATCATTGTCTTTTGCTGCTCCAGCGGCTTTTCTCAAGATGTCGAATAGGGGATCGACCGTGTCCTGTCTCTGGTTCCAGAATAGTTCTTTTGATCGCTTCGTTCGCAGCAACTGCGACATGTGCTGTACCCCGATATCTTGTAATCCACTGTCCTGATTCTTGACCAATTTGGTCAGGTATGAATAGAGCTGCGGAAGCGCCTCGTCATCTCGCCTGGCTGGGCGCGGGGAGGCCGTTATAGAAATGGCAATAAGGTTGACGAGAAACGTAGCGGAGAGGAGGGGAATGGGGTCCTCTGGGCTGTTTCCCTGGTTGAGAAGAGACAAGTAGTTCTTGTATGGTTCAGGGTGCTGTAGGATGGCCTTTGCAAGATCAGGAGCATCTAGTTCACGTCAGTAAAGCCTGCCTTTTCTGGTGTAGAGGGTGTAATATCGTACCGTTGATGAGGTCGGTCGCCAACACCAGACTGTACTGGATGATGTCGCTACGCTTTGAGGCCTTTTCGAGCACACTGCCGCCATCTTTGCCGCCGACAAGCAGGATGCTGTAGCTATTTACATCTTTCTCGATAGTCTGTTTCCGCTGCTCTTTCCTGACCTTGTCAACCGATCTGATTCTCTTGAGCTGGTCTTCTGTTAGATTCCCCGCTCGAACAGCACCGTCCCAAGGTATCTATTGGGTCGTTAGATGTTAGCTTCGAGAGTAGAGGGCGATGCGCCTACTGGGCGAGCTCTGATATTGCTCTGTAGGGTACTGAGATAGGCAGGCGGACTCAATGACATCTTGCCGATGGGCACAGCGTAGGTGTGCTGCCTGCGAGATAATCTGTGGAGTTCCGGGTCAAGCAACAAGGTCCATGGAATTTCGCATGTAGACTTGTTTGATTTGGAATATAGAGTCGAGAGAAAATTAGTGTCAGTTAACTGCGTCAATCTCTTGATGAAGCTCAGATCCAGGTGCGGGAAGCTCTTTCTGTCGAAGGGCTGCTAGCGGGACCTGGAGGTACTGTATGACATGCCGCGCTGCGGGACTGCGCCCTTGACTGCGGTTCGCCTATTTCTTTCCCCGTCCGTGGCTCGCACCCCGACAACTTTGTCCGCATCGAAGACGCGTCAACGTTGTTAAATGGTGTTTCTCGACCAAATTCTCCTGTTCTGCTCTGCAATGTCATCTCCTTGGTACTCCTCAATACTGCAAGTGCTCGTAGGCCCTGCTTTATAGTCGTTCTAGCTACGACAGTTGTGCACTCGGTATTTGGCTGTGGAACATGACCTCCAGACCAGGTTCGAGATGGAATTTCCTACAGCAGGCTGTCGCATCTGTCGAGTCGAGACTGGACGATATCCTCGCCGAAGAGAGTGATCGTCCCAAACGGACGCTTACTCCCGCTCACAACAAGAAACGTAAGGATTCCTCGCTAGGAGCCGCTTTCATACGGCTAACGTATTGGTAGCCTCCTCCGACTTGTCTCGAAGCAGCAGCACTGCCTCTGCCTCCAATGATCGGCTCCAGGAACGCCTCGCGCGAGCGATGGCGAAGAAGAACGTTAGTCGTACCGAAAGTCCTGTCCCTCCCCAGGAACGATTGTCAAGACCAGCTTCGCGAGGGGAAGATGCGTCTGCTTCCCCCTCAGATATTGCGAAGGTTGGAGATTCGTCCCTTCCGGATGGCGTCCAGGCCGATATAGAGATACGGACTTCCAGTGAAGTGGCCGAGAGACTGAAGCAGGATGCTGGGGTGGACAAACCAACCTCAGGAGACACCGTTTTGGTTGAGCCGGAATGCAGAACGGCATCCACGATTATAGAACAGCCAGATCCCAATTCAGCACGACCTTCGACAGAAATCCTAAAAGATAACCGGACTATGTCAAGCAGGCCGTCAGAAGATATGCAGAGAACTAGCGAAGAGAATGGATCAAGACCTAGTAATGACGAGTCAACGGAAATACAGGATGAAATGAATGCCTATCTCGAACGCATCGATGCACTCCGAAGAAATCTTGAAAGACTAGGACAAGAAGTCGCTGAGTCAGCCCAAGAGGCTGCCGACTCTGCTAAGCAAGCTGCTGCCTCAGCGGAAGCAGGAAGCTTAGAGCAGAAGATCTCTCGAAAGGATGAGGAAATAGCTGTCCTGATTGAAGAAGGCACCAGATGGTCAAAGACCGAAATGGATCTTCGGGGTATGCTGAAGAAAGTTCGAGCCCAAGCATTGACCAGTGCTAAAGAACAAGAAGCTGCAAGACTACGCGCAGACCGGGCTGAACGTGCCCTCAGAATTATGGAGGATCGTGCAAGAAAGGCAGAGGCAATAAGCAAGCGTGCAGAGCAAAATCTCGCTGCAAATACCATTGCGACAAAGGACATTGAGGCGATGCGAAAAGAACGAGATGCATTAAACGCCACACTAGCGGAAATCAAACTGCAACTGTCCAAAGCCAATTCGCGGGCTGAAGCAGCTGAGAGCAAAGCACAGTCGGAGCAATTGGAGAAAGAAAGACGGAAAATCGTCGAGCTGCAGGATGATTTGACTGTTGCTAAAGTCGAGCGGGAAATCTCAGAGGAGAAGCTGCGGAAGGAGATCCAAAATTTGCAAAGCGAACTGGAGAAGGAGAAAGAGCAGGCGCGTGCCATGGAGAGCGAAATGTTGAATGAGCAGGCCGCTCTGGAAAGCAAGCTCGAGTCTTTCCGTGTTCGAGCTGAAGAAGCTTCCTCGGCTGACCACGGCCACGCACAAGCCAAACTCCTTCGACAGATTGAGACATTGCAGACTCAATATACCACTGCGAGCCAGAACTGGCAGGGGATTGAGAGTTCCCTTCTCGGCCGGATTACCAGTCTGGAAAAGGAGCGTGATGAGCTTGTTGGGAGAGAAGCAGAACTACGGAAGAAATTGCGAGATGCTACGCTGAAGTTGAAGAACGCGGAAAGGGAGCTGGATAACGCTCAAAGTAGCTATGCGGACATGGATAAGTCGTTGGCGGATGCGAACGAGGAAACGCGGCGACTACAACGAAAAGTGACCCAGCTTGAGACGGACCTGGCAAATGTGTCGAAGGAACTCGAGGAGCAGAAGCGGAATTCCGAGAGGGAATTGCAACGGAGGATCGACGAGGAGAAATCAAAATGGATAGCGACTTTGCATATCCAACGCACAGATTCCCCCGGGACATCGGTCCGCAAAAGTTCAGGCCTTGGGTTCGACATTAATCATCTCATGAGCCCGATTCAATATGAACGGGCCGGCAGTCGGCGACCCTCCATCATGCCCAACACATTCGACTCAAACACTCCGCCTCATCAACAGTCTACGACGTCTTTCCGGGGTCTCGCAAACGGCTCCATTGCAGAGACGCCCTCTGTGGCGATGTCCCTGGACCCTGATGAGTATTTTGCCAACGTTCCACCCACGCCCATGACCACAAGCCACCACTCACAACGCGGTGGCTTGAACGATCTTATCTCCACTTCAACAGTTGGCGCTGGCCCTTCTGTGCAGCTGGTGGAACGCATGTCGGCCAACGTTCGTCGACTCGAAAGCGAAAAAGCCGCTTCCAAAGACGAGCTCGCCCGCCTCACCACCCAACGCGATGAAGCAAGGCAAGAAGTCGTCAGTCTGATGCGCGAGGTCGAGGCGAAGCAGAAGATCGAGGAACGGTTAGAGGCGCTCGAGAAAGAGCATGCCAGTCTAAGTGCAAGGCACCAGACCACACTTGAATTGTTGGGGGAGAAGAGCGAGCAGGTAGAAGAGCTGAAGGCCGATATCGTTGATGTGAAGCAGATGTATCGACAGTTGGCGGACACGATGAAATGAGGCCCAATCCGGAGAATTTTTATTTGAACATCTCAAATGCTCTCTTTTTGTCGCATGAGTTGTTGTAGAGGTCCGTCTTCATCAATGCTGAAGCCGTCTTTGTTCAGACGAGATCGATGCCTTCCCTCTCTGCCGCTTTCAAGATATGCGACCTGACCTTGGCATCCGGCGCGCAGTCGATCGCCAACCTCCCTTCATGATCCTTCTTGTCCGTCTCAGCTCCCGCTTTCAACAGCTCTACAGCCACATGGCCATGCCCTTCACTTATTGCGTGATGTAGAGGCGTGTGTCCGTCCATGTCGGTGGCGTTGATGGGAGACTTGTTCTCGAGCAGAAGTTTCACGAGGGGTACAGATCCGACGGCTGCGGCGCGGTGGAGGGGTAAATGGCCGCGCTTGTCCTTGACTCTGGCACTCGCGCCGTGTTTCAAGAGAGTCTTGCAGACGTCGAGGTTATTCTTTGATACCGCCAGGTGCAGAGGTGTGACGCCTGTGTTCGTGGCGATTTTGGGGTCGGCGTCTTTAGAGAGAAGAAGCTCGATGATGGGCAGTCCGGAATTGTCCTTTAGGGAGGCGGCGATGGCAAGAGGTGTCCAGCCCGAGCCGTCTTCGGCGTCTGGGTCAAAGGAGCGAGTGGATGCGAGGAGCTTGACAATGTCTAGGCGGGCAAAGGCACTGGCCCAATGCAGAGGAAGGCGGTCATCTTGGTCGCGGAGAGAGGCGAGTTTAGGATTTGCATTCAGGAGAGACTCGACCACTTGCGTCTTGCCTTCTCGAGCAGCTTCGTGGATAGCAAACCTGTCGTCTGTCGGCTGTGCCATGGCGGGGGATGGCAGAGGAGATATTGCGTCGTCGGATGATGATGAGCATGGTGGTCCCCCGCATTTGATAGTTGGCGAGCCTGGTAAAAGCGGCGACAAGGCTGGCGGCTTGGCAGTGACCCGACGCCATTGCGAGCTGAAAATCCACGTCTCTGTTATTGGCCTTTGCACTGTTCCATCACCCCGTCACCTGGCAAAGCTGCCACCTCTGCCACCTCTGCCACCTGGGCCACCTGGAAAAACCAAGCAGCAACACCTGACTAAGAAGCATCGCTACTACACTTCTTAATACGATCGCTTAAAGTTCCTGCAGCCGCAAACCCCAAACCCACCCTTGGTGCCCTTGCTCGTGGCGAACTCCCACCTTCCCGTCCGCATGATCGGAACTCTCTTTTTCCCATCTCTTCAGTCGTCATCGACGGGGCAAAATGCCATTTTTTGATCCTCATGGCTGGAGATTCGCAACAGAGCAATGGAAAATCCTCCCGGTCGTTTCGCAAGGGCTACCATAGAAGGGCACCACGCGCCTGTGACGAGTGTCGCCTGAGGAAGATCAAATGCGACGGATCCCTGCCTTGCGGCCCCTGCAGCGTCTCTGATGATGGTGAGAGGGAGATCGCTCCTATCGCCCCTTGAGGTGAGACCACGGCGCTAACGGTGTCAGTCTGTTCTTATGATCCTGGGACTAGACCGCGGGAGACCCCGACCCAGAGAATTCGAAAGCTGGAGGCATGTCTACGAGCAGCACGCACGTCCCTTGTGCGGCTCAAGGCCCAAAATCAAATCCTCGCCAATACCGATATCGACTCGGTGCTCAACACGCTGGACAACTCGTACCCGGAACCATCAGAGGATGGTGACTCCAGTGCCGACGAAGACAATGCCAGACAAACTCGCCTAGGCAGTATGATGGGTAGAGCCGGTCGCATTGTTCCCCACTCGCCCACCCAAACCACCTTCTATGGCTCGTATTCCGGATATTCTTTTGTCCTGAAGACTCTGGAGCTGTTCCGGAGAATGCCCGACAGCCCGGGCTTGACGAGCGAGACCCAGAACATCACGACAGCCTTGTTCAATGCACCGGTGCCGGATGCTGAAGCCGGCACGCAATATTCCTCGCAGTTTCAAAGTCTTCCGAGTTTATCTATTACTCTTGGTCTTCTGGAGGTCGTCTTCACCAGATGTAATCCGTTGATTCAATTCATCCATGAGGCCGATTTTCGAGACATGGTAAATCGGCTTTATAGCGAATCTGCCCTTCAATTTGGTGCATCAAGTCATAACTTTATGCCACTGTTCCACGGGGTCCTTGCAATCGCATTATTGTCTGACGTGCGCTCTCGCAAAAAGCATGGCTGCGAAGACATTGTCAATGAAGCGTATGTTTGCACCTCCCCCGAATCATGCCAGTGGCTGACTCTCAGATCAAAGTACGAGGCATTTCCTTCTAGCTCGGAGGGAACTTGACGTTGCTCAGTGTGCTGATCTCATATCAATGCAGACAATACTATGTCTCATCTATTTTCTGGTTACAACCTCTCGTCTGACTTCCGCATACACATACCTTGGCATAGCTTGTACTTCGGCTTTGAGGCTTGGCTTGCATAAAGATATTGGCAAGGATATCCCGGTCACCGAAGTTCAGCAAGACGCCAGGCTCAGAATAATGCTTGCCGTCCTGCAATTCGACACCTTGGTCAGCATAGTACTGGATTTACCCACTCGCATCAATCCTGATTGCATCGACCCCGGTGTCATGACCTCTTTGAAGACAGACTTTGCCAAGAGATCGGTCAATGCCCGTGATGGTGTCTCTGAGACTCACGCGAAGCTTCTGGCTTCAGGGAAGCACCTGGAAATGTTGAGCCTAACAGCCACAGGCGTTCGAAGCATATTTAGCCATGGCAATCACAAGGGGAAGCGCACAAAAGACCTAATCTTTGACAATGTTGACTCCGTTAATATGAGAGGGGCGGAGGATGCATTCCGGAAATGGGCCAGAGCCTTGTCTTGCTTGCCTCTTCTTCCCGAAAAGCTTGAGATGTCGGCAATGTATGCATCATGCTCGAACTCCCGCGCTCTTTCTCTCTTTTTCAATTTCCCGAGCTTGACTGACAATGCCATAGCATGAAATTCGAACTGGAAATGGCATTCTATTTCGGTCAATTCGTCCTATATCAGCCATTCCTGCATTACCTCATACAGATGGCCGACGGCGTACCCATCTCGAGAACTCAATCGCAGCACGCACTAGCTTGCATCAAAATCGCAGCTACAACAATCACTCGCTCCGAGGTGATGCATCAACGTGGCCTGCTGGCTCCCGCTTCTTGGAGTGTCATCTACACGCTTTTTCTAGCAGTCATGTGCCTCCTATTTCTGATCGCGACGCACAATGGCACATCCAGACCTAGCGAAGCGTGGAAGAAGGGAGAATTGGGCATCAAGCTTCTGGCGACTATGCGTTGTTACGACAATGGTGCAGTAAGGTGTCTGTGGGTTATCAAGGTAATAGGCTCGATTTACGCTCCATAAATAACCGTGAAGCTAAACTGTCCAAAGATGGTCATCAAGCAGCTCTCTCACACCGTGCAATTCGACGTTGACCGCATTGTCGCGAGCACCGAATGCCTGTGCCCCTGTACAAGGTCCAATTTGATACCAACAGAAACGCTGGATCGCCGGCTATCACGGGATCGTTCAGACCTCAACGCCGGAGCAAGTGGATATGCGACGCCAGAAACACCGCACGATGCACGATCGTATCCGTCGGTTTGGAATCGACCGGGAATGGAGCAACTTCTGGCCCCAAATCAGGACTCCCCGCGACACGATGCGGATTTCATTCTCGCCGAGGCTCAGGCTATCTCGTTGACGTTGCCGATCGACAATCTTGAGCTATTCGGTTCCGTGGAGATCTAATTGGAGATAGAAGCGCCACGCGTAGCGCCCGGCTTCTGCATTGACTCAGAACGCTATAGCCGTCAAAAATTCTACCAATTTGCCAAGCAATCAAAGTTTAGTTGATTGCTGATGGACGGAAAGTTCGACTTTACCCAGCGGCAGCTGGTCCACTTTCTTCTTTTTCGACGGCCACCTCGACTTCTGACCCGTGGATGGCCCAGGAATAGAGTTCAACGTGGAACGCGACTCAAGCCGCAACTGGGCTGTTTACGACGGACTCTTGGATTGAGGTCTTCTTTGCAGAGGTCAAACTTGGATTCCAGTTGGCTCTGGTCACGGAGCAGCCCAGTCGCAAGTGCGACGATGCTCGCTAAGTGGGGCATAGCCTCTCAAGCACGCCTAAATCTATTGCTCTTCGGCCACTTGATCCTCCAGTTTTATTTTGGAAGCAGGTGGTTTGTTAACTATTTGTTTTGGGGCTCCCGGAGGGGGGGTTAAGGGAATACATCTGTCTGGGTTATTTCCACCACGGAGATAGTGCTGTTGCGATAGTTTGCTTGTACAGCTGAATGGCGTTGGGCTGGGATTTTAGGAAAGTTAACAGGGCGGGCGCGCAGAACGCGAGGCTGACGAGCCCCTGAAAGGGGCACTATTGCACCAGACCAGCCCAGCCTGGATGAACATGATGCGGAGTCCGGAGTACCTTGGGTGCCGTTACGGTGTTATTACGGCATTGGAGTTAGCATGCCATTTATTTTTCTTGAATAATGACAATTCACGATACCACAAGCTATGCCTGGTTTGGCCCGAGACTTTGGATCTGACTGATTTTCATTGCGGCAACGGCCCTACAGTACCTGTCCAACCAAGCATAGACCATGGAGTACCTCCTCCGTACCTCTCGTGATATTCTATCCAGGACCAGCTGTATCATGCGTTGATTCGTTCTAGCTCGTAGCCCGTAATAGCTCGTCCGTCTATATACATCTCGTGGGGACGCAACGTAAGAATGAATAATGACAATAGCAAAAGTAACAACAAAAAGAAGAAGATTCGTGAACACACCTTCGTCGCTGAACCCCGTCGTCGTCAAGATCTAGTGAAATTGTTGTCACCAGCCATCCGAACCAAACCATGTATGATGTCGGGTAGGTCGAGCTTTTTTTGTGTCCCCCCCTTCGCCGAAAATCCTCTTTCCTTACCTTACCTCCTCCCCCGGTGTTTTATCCAGCTCTTCTCGCTGTACATATGTGGACAATTCCCCATCGGGAGAGGGGCGAGGTCGTACGGGGTTCCAAGTGCACGGTCTTCCTTCCTTTTCCCTCCCATTCTCTTTGTTTCGCTTCACCTTTCTATATCTCTTTCAAAAAGCCGACCTCGATGAGCTTCTCCGTCGGCACCGCCAAGTTGGACATCTTGGTCCTCGTGTTGTCCTTCATCCACAGAAACAAAGACAGCAGTGTCCTTCGGAAGTAGTTTGTGCCGTTTTTGATGGTCAACTGCTCCTTGCCCATTATGTACATTACTTTGTATCCAAATGCGCGGTCCAGACGCGCAAGAAGGGCTTCCGTGCGCTTTTCGAGGTCGTGATCCTGTTGTAGGCGGACTTTTCGTGAGAATTGAAATTTTTCGTCCGTCTCAGTGCCTGTGCCCGTCTCACTGCATGTAGTGGCAGCGTCTTCTACAGCGCATTCGTCGCTGACGAGCGCAGGATCGGCATTCATTTGCGACTTCACCTTTTGTTCGGAAAGGATGTACGCTCGGATCTGCTCGTAGATGACAAACGACAGGTCGGGGGTCATGACTTCGTCGTTATAGCCGTATCTCACGACTAAACGGTAGCAGTGCGGGATAGCCAGTTTCGACACAGTGTGCCGGTCAGATGGTGGTACGGAAGGCGTCTCCAGTGGGCGAAGATGGAAGAATACTGACACCTCGGGCATCGCGGTGAGTTTTATAGCGAATTGGCTAAACACGATTGGTGTAGTCTCACCACCCTTGTCAAAGAAGATGCCAAACCCGTTGATGGTGCTAAGGGCTGTGCCGTGGAATCTTTCGGTGAGATGCAGACCATCGGGCCCTTTCTTGATGAAATGGGAAGTCGGGAATCGGTCCTCGGCTTCAACAACCCATTGCTGCTCCTTGCCAAAGCGCCAGAGCATAAAGACCATGCCCAGAACGAACGCGAGCGTAAGAGTAAACCAGGCTCCATCCGGCACTTTGGTGAGGGCCGAGGAGAGGAACGTGCCGTCCAAGCAAGCGATCGTAAGCCAAGGTAGAAAAACGAGGAACGGACTGAAACGCCACACGAAGATAGCTGTCAACGACACCATACATGTGTCGAAGAACGTGACGAACATAACGCAAACACCGTAGGCGTTTCCGAGCGAGGTCGTGTTATTGTAAATTGAGGCCACGAGGATTGTGCCGATCATGAGAAGCCAATTCGCGAGAGGAATGTACAACTGGCCATGGAAGATCTTCGAGGTGTGTTTGACCGTTAGTTGTGGAAAATATGACAATTTCATGACTTGGTGGAGGAGCTGAGGATGGTTAGCTAACGGCCCCCGCGCGTCGCAGTCGTGCAGTTGCTTACCTGGAATGTTGCAGTAATAATAGCTTGTGAAGCGACAATAGCCGCAAGAATGGCGATAATGAGGGACGGATAGATGGTGCCCGGAGGCGCAGCCTCAAAAAATGGATTTGAGTATGCTTCTGGATGAACGCTGATATAGGCTGCTTGGCCGATGTATGCCAGAAGGAGACATGGAAATGTGTAGCACAGCCAACTGAGCTGAATTGCCCTGCGGCTGAATGCCCCTAGGTCGGCAAATAACGCCTCGACCCCCGTGAAGGCCAGCAAAACACCCCCGAGCATTCTCCATCCATGCTCACCGTGATGGATCAAGAACTCAAACGCGTAGCCGGGATTGAAAGCTCGAAAGACCGAAGCGTCATATTTTGCTAGATTATAGATTCCGAAAACGGCGTTGAACCCAAGCCAGATGATAACGATGGGAGAAAATGCGAAAGTAATCTTGGTGATACCGAAAGGCTGGATGAGGAACAGAAGGACGAGAATGGCGTCGGTAATGCCGATAATAGCACCTTTGGAGATGCTAGGATTCACCACCCGGGCACCTTGAACGGCACCAAGAACGGACTGCGCAGGTGTGAGGACGCCATCGGACAGGACCATAGAGACAGCCAAAACGCCCACGGTCTTGAGGAGGCCGCGTGCCAGACGACTTGATTCGAGGCCCTTGCGCATGACACGCCCGGCGTTTTCGAGATCGCCCGAGGCGTGTCTCTTTATCCTTATCAGAGAGGCTTCTCTTGGGTCGCGATTCGTGATGTTCATGTAGCGGCTTAGGAGGGAGTACGTGCTGAATGTGCCTCCTTCACCCTCATTATCTGCATGCAGAACGATTATGATGTATTTGACGGTCACCATCATGATAAGAGACCAAATAATGAGGGACAAGACACCTATCAGATCTTCATTTGATGGCGCAGAGGTGAAGGTTGACGAGTAGACGTAAAGAGGACTGGTACCGATGTCTCCATAAATGACTCCAATTGATTGATAGGCAAGCCAGAGAAGCATCTTGCCACTGAAGACCTATGTTCGGATCAGTCGATTTAACGCAGGGCATGATAAGTGAACCGTACCTGCTTCTCCTTAAAGTCGCCCTCTTTTCGCAGGCCGGGGTCCTCATCTTGCTGCAGAGACCTTGAGCGGTACAGCGTCAGGTCATGGGAGGACCTCCTCGAGCGCATGTTGTAAATGCCATCATCGTGTGTGTAGATCGAAGTTGAGTCCGCGGGCCGCCCTTCCTTGCTTTGGAGCTCATTTTTGGGATGAATCTCGTCCGCAATGCGAATCGTAGCCATTGCGACGAGCAGGATTGATTTTCAAACCGGACAAGAAAGCAAAAGAGGGAGTGAAAGAAGAAGCGTGGAAGACTGAGCACGCGAGAAATGGAAAGTGGGCAGGTCTGCGAACTTTTTAAAGCGGGGGACACTCGTATCATTGATGGTGGGACATGGCACCATGGCATCACAGGCACATCAACGCCCGGCCAGACCGGCGCGGCCAACAAAATCAGGGATCCAGTGAATGGGACATAGTCCAGCATGTGCTGAAGAACACATGGGCTGCGGCCGAGCTTGGCTCTTTCAGGTCAAGGACATGCCAGTTGCGAAAAGACCTTGCGGTGTGGCCATCTCAGCGGTATGCATGGGTCATGTAACCAGGTTAGTCATGTCTTGATGGGAGATATAGCTTTGCCGTCCACAGGAAATGCAGAGTTGGCATGCAGCCCAGGGGAGCCAGGCACTGGGCAACGCCCAAATTGGAATGCAGATGCATTGTTTTTGCCATCGTCTGGGGGCAGGCAGCACGATCTGTGTGTGCGAGCGCAGGGTTTCCGTCTGGAATGAAGAGCTAGATAGCTGGGTAGCTGGGTAGCTGGGGACGGGATGAGGCGGCCTTGTTTGTGTTGTTGGAGCATGCGTAGGAGTGGGAGCTCGAAGAGTGAGAGAGTGAGAGAGAGTGGACAGTGTGAGGAATCCCTGCGCAGTCTTGGCATCTAGCTGCGTTGTTCCGTCTAAGCAGATGCAAAGGATTGGCCGCCCACACAGCTTGCCCGCTCCATTTGTATGAGAGATTTTCTATCGAGTGGAGTTTCAGTCCACCTCATTCTTGCCGGCGAGACGGAACAGGCAATGGAAAGCTTATGTCGACTCTCTTGTCTGCATCAGGATACAGTCTGGATCAATCTCACCCATCTCGATCAGCTCCCTCCCCACGACCCTGAACCTGAAGCCCAGCCAGGTCACCCAGGAAGAAAGCCAGAGCACCCGTGTGGACATCTCCACTGTTGTTGTTATGTAAAAAGACCTTTATCCATGTCTGTGAGCATGAGCCATTTCTCTCGATCTGACCTTAGGATGCAGCGAGGAGGCATACAAGTACAAGAAGATACTTGTAGCAATATGAGGGAGCCATCGTCCGCTAGCTGCCTTTTCTCACTGTTTCAGCCTGTCTCTCTTCAAATTCGCTCTTCGGGTTCTCTTCCATGGCGACAGCGCCACAGCCTGTCTCTCCTGCCAACTCGGGTGGACACAGGACCGTGATCACCGTTGCCGTTATCGTGGCAATTATTGGTCTCATCATCTTCTCGGCCATCTGGGTGAGGCGTCACAGCCCGATCCGAAGGCTCGACGAGTTACGGTTGCAAGCCGAACTGCAACGCTCTGGACTTCGGCGGCGTCGACGTCAACAAGAACAACGAGAAAAGGGCATTGGCATCTCTTTGCTCCAAAGCATCCCAATAGTCAAATATGATGGCGGCCCTAGCAAAATACGACGCACTAAGAGCTTGGATTTGGAGAAGGGACACCAGAACCGGGGCGCTCACAACTGGTCTTTAGAGCAAAGCCAACATAACATCAAAGAAATGCACGCCGAAATGACCGAAATCGACAAATCCCCTCACAAAAAGGAAAAGGATGGGAATCAAAAGAAATCTGACCTTGAACCAGAGGAGCCAGAGTGTCCTATCTGCACACAGCCGTTTGTGAAGAACGACTTTCTTCGAGTCCTTCCTTGTGGCCATCGACACCACCAGAGATGTGTCGACCGGTGGCTGCTGGGCTTCGGCGGAACATGTCCTGTTTGGTAGGTGTCTACCCCAAGCACTTTTTTTTTGGTGCAGGTAGCTAACTTCTTTACAACAGCCGCGTGCACATGGACTCTTTCTACCTGCAGTCCCCGGAACCACCACTCGATCTTCCAATGAAGCCAGAGCCCGTTGTAGTGACCGGTGAAGATCTTGAAGATAGCCACCATCACCGACCAGATCTATAATCAATGTCATACTGTCTATAAAGGTATGACGAGCTCGTGTCCAACTGGAGGAATTATATCGCTGCCTTTCAAGTAATATCTCGCTGGGCTCGTCTCACCACTGGGCAGGGTGCCGCTTGGTGGTAGTCCTCGTCAGGCACCTCTCATACCACATAATCGTAGGAAACGACAATCCCCTTCGCTGTTGTCCATTAGTGTTATTAAGCTGCAGCGCTTACCAAGTCACCTGCCTTTCCGATCCACGGGTGTTTCTTTTTCCTCTCTTCGGGGAAGCCGCGGATGCTGACAGGTTATTTCAATATCTCGTTACGTGGCTTGCTGCTCTCTCGAGCGCTCGCTAGACTTCTGTTAATAATGGCCTTGCCTCTACCTAGTAGGTTCAAGGATAAAAAATCCCAAGAGACAGCCAAAATAACGGTCCACGACTAAAGCAAGACGAGATTTCATGGAGCGATCAAGATATTTCCTAACGATGCCTGCCTAAATGTCCAACCCCGATGGTCCAATGACTTCGCTGTGGTAGCGTCCTCGCCTCCTCGCCTCTTGTCTGCACAGATCCATTTTCGTCCATACCAGGCCTTTGTTCTTCGACTTATACGCTTAGGCCTAGCTTTTCGAGCCGTATCTAACGCCGAGAAATGCCTCCGCTCCCTTTCTTCCCGCGGGGTACCCGGGCAATATCTTCGAACCATGCAGTTCTTGACGTTGAAAAGAAGAGAAAATTTGGTGGCTGTTACGTACTATGCTGCAACGCCAGAACAGAAGTGTCTTAATGCTGCGATATAGGTACAAAGGCAGAGAGCAAGCGACAGGACCTTCCTTGAGATATGTCACTTGACCTGAAATAGGCTTGACTCGGATATCAACCAGGGAGCGCCACAAGCCTGAGGAGACAAGGCTGAGGCGTGGCTGCAGATGTCGAGCCGGCAGAAAACTGTTCCCCAAATCAACCAAGGCCATCTTTGCAACCTCTGCCTTTGGTTCATTTATGAAGGCACCCTGATGTTGGAGTGACCCTACGACTCTAAACCTTCTACGAGATAGTCAGACCACGTTCTGAGGGCTTGGTTCGTGCTTGAGCTCATCCGGCGCCTCAGAAACACATTTGTCGCAATTCTCCATCTGTGGAACTTCACCCTGCTGGAAAGTCGCAATTGTTTGAGGAGCTTGGACATTGTACAACAACGGCCAAAACCGACCGAATCTTTTGAACGCCTCCATTTCGCTCCGTTTACGAGATGCGCTACTTAACGATCTAATTATCCCAAGGGGGTTGAAACGAACCCATTTAATTCGGACCCTGCCAATCCGGACGTCCCTCCGCTGTCGCGACGGGGTCCATTCTTTCAGCGGCCCCCAAATTCGGATCTCCCAAAGGCTGGTTTAATAATTCGACGTGGCTAATGGCAGCGATTTCGCAGATCGTGCGGCATTCGGGTCTCAACCAGTGCCGAAAATAGCTGGCCGCCTTAAAGCTCGACTCCTTTTATTGCCTTTCTGCCTTGCACCACCCGCGACAAGTTTGGCCCGTGTCAATGGAAGGTCCCAACGAGAAGGACATGTGATTTCTACATTTTGGAAATGGAACGGTAAGTGCAAGAACTCTGTCGCACATGGCAAAGGCTAGCCTCGCATCTCGTCAACCAAGATATCTGTCTTTTCCCCTGGCAAGATTGTCCTTCAATGCTTCTGCGGTTAGGCAAAAGTTGGGCGCCCTTTCCTTTCCCTGGGGTTTCAATGAACACTCTCTGGTCTATATCCCTTGAACGAAAAATACACCATTTACGCGTCTAACAAGCCACATTTGTGCCGCTGCTGGCAAAATGTCGCACAGAAATGTGCCGGGGGCCATCTATTCCTCTGATGCAGCCCGCGATTCCACGACAACTTCGAGTGCGACGACAGAAAAATATCCAGCAAACACCTCGACGTATCAACCGTTTCCTGAGGTCGTGACCCAGCCATCCCCTCAACCTCTGCAGTCTCACCAGCAGCCAGGGCCTGTCTACCATCAACAACAATATCCATATACAAATGGCTACGCAACAGAAGCAAGCCAACCACCGACACGTCCTCTCAAGCCCAATCCCTGGGGCTTGTCGCCGCTTGCATTCGGACTATTGATCGCAGCAATTACCGCTCTGGTGGTAGGCGGAGTGGTGGGTGGTGGTGTTGCGGGAGCGTTATCGGGACACGACTCGAGTTCGTCAAGGTAAGAACAATCTCTACCGTGCAGATAATCAATATGCTGAATATATCCAAGTACGCCAGTGTCAACGGCGACTGTCACTTCAGGCGCAACAATAACAGCAACAGCAACACAATCATTATCATTAACTACCACCTCCTCGGGCCTCCCCTCCCCATCATCGCTAGAAAATTTCGTCGTCCCTGAGCCCTACTACGTCGACACGTTGCAGAACCCCGGCTGTGCAGACAGCAACTCGCGTATCGACGTTCAACACGACACCTCTTTCGATATCTTTTGCGGTCTTGACATGATAAACCATGTTGCCGATGAAAACAATCCTGACTTGCAGGTCGCTGACGTTGTGGGGCTGTTCGCTTATAGCCTCACCGATTGTCTGTACGCTTGCTCGAACGCGATATATTTCAGACAGCTGTACGGTCAAGATAACGCAAGCGGAAACATGCAGACGTGTGCCGGGGTTACCTGGGATTATCAGATGGCATCGAGCAACTCGTCGAATTTTGCCAATTGCTGGTTGAAAAATGGGACATCGAGTGGGGTTCAATGCAATACATGCATCAGCGCAAAGCTGGCTTCGTGATTCTGAACGAGAAGGGCATGGCACGGCCATCGCACTGCTTTTGCATGGAATGGAAATGCTTGAATCTTTCTGACATGTTGAAATACTTGAAAATATGTTTATTGAACCGAATCTGCCGGTTCATTTCCTGTGGGACTGGAAAGTAGGACTGTAGGATGCTGTCTCTGTTTGCTAACTATACTACATGTAGAGCCTTGACATCTTGTGCCCTTGTTTCTTGACTATAGTGGGATCCGTGGGTAGCAATTACTTGGTATGATACCTTTGTATGATATGACTAATACCATCAAACTATCTCAGCCAGCCCTCTCGAACAGCATCAGTTCTACAAAGTTATATCAGGTGCTCGAGTTCCAACTCCGGATCTAGCCAATAGGAGGCCAGAAACATCGCGTTGGTAACCCATTCCAAGCCCATTCTTGCCCATTCATGTCGACCGAGTCAGGCGAAATCACGTGTAGGAACATCATGACTCGCGCTCTTGGCATCCGACGACATTCCTTCACTGGCAAGTTGTCCCCTTGCCGCTATCGCCATCTATTTGTCTTGGAATTTATAAATTCTGGACTGAGTTTGATGATCATATTAGGCTTCTCTCTACCTAATTTGGCAAGTGTTTGTCCTGCTGCGATCCCAAAACTGTAACCGAACAAAACTCTACCAAACGTGTCCTATCCTCAGGTAGTGCTGCAATCATGAGTGACTACGGAGAGGAAGCACCACCCCCCGACGCCGAGGGCCTTGACCGACCGGACGAACACGAAGACGAGCTGGACGACCTGCATGATGAATTTCAAGATCCTCAGCCAGAACACGATGCCGATACTCGTCCAAACCCAGCCGACGATTCTGACGATGAATCGCTCCTCTCTGAGGTCGATGAGGCCCAATTCGCAGATTTCGACCCCAAGGCTGTCGAAGTTGCCCCCGACTTCGACACGCTGAACAAATCCATCAAGGTGAAGAAGAGAAAAAGAGCCGAAGGTGAGGAACTTGCACCGAAGAAGAAGAAGGAGCGCAGAAGGGAGAAGAAACCACGACGAGCAGAGAGTGAGGCCTTTTCTGGTGGCGATGAGGTTGAGGGCAAGAGATCGCGCAGATTGAAGGCGGCGGATGGCGAAAGTCAACGGCGCGAGCGTGTGGAAATCAATGAAGAGGACCTGACACCTGAGGAGCGCAGAAGACGGGCGTTGGATCGAGCAATGGACGCTGCGGTCAAGAGGTCATCAGGCAAGAGAATGAGAAAGGGCGAAATCGTGAGTTTCCGAGAAAAATTTCCCAACATCCAGAACTAATAGAGTCCAGGACCTCGAGCAAGCCGCAGACGCAGAGATCGAGGACTTGCGTAATAGGATGATAACAGCGGCGGAAATGGACGGAGAACTAGTTCGACAAGGGTTGCCAGCCTCTCAGAAACTCAAGATGTTACCCGAGGTGGTGAGCCTGCTGAACCGGAACACCTATGTGCAATCTATTCTCGACCCGGAGATGAACCTGCTGGAGGCAGTACGATTCTTTTTGGAACCTTTGACCGACGGCAGTCTACCGGCCTACAACATCCAGCGTGAGCTGTTCGCAGCTCTTGCCAAGTTGCAGATGAACAAAGAGACCTTGATCTCTTCCGGCATCGGCAAAGTTATCCTGTTTTATCGCAAATCCAAGAGGGCTGAACCAGCAATCAAGCGACAGGCCACCAAGCTCATGGAGGAGTGGTCGCGGCCCATCCTCGGTAAAAGCGACGACCACACAAAGAAAGTCTGGCAAACCGCCAATTATGATCCACATAAGAAACGGGAAGCCCTTCCGGCTGCTATTCCCAAGGCGAAAACAAATGTTGCTCCTGGCGAGAGAGTCAGCAACAGGGCAAGGGTTCAGACAGGTCACTTGAGATTTAACATTGTACCGCAGGTCTCATCCACTATTGCCCATCGCTAGGGGAAGGGCGCTGGAGGAACTGGCAGTCGCAGCTTTCAGGTTCAGGTGCGTGGTGGTGATTTGCGCAGACATCACACATCCACTCATCTTGTATCCAATTTACCCGTCTCAGGCTTGTCTGTGGTCAACAGCGATGAAGATGGACGGAGACTTTGCCCAGCACCGTCTGATCATAGTGGTCTGCTCACAGTGACGTTTATACTGCTAAGTCACTGAATGCAATGTTATTTGGAACCTTATCCTCATTATTGCGCCTTGCGTATTGTGAATTCATGGTCTTCTCTAGGGCAGCATATCATATCACATCATGACATATCATCACTCTCCTCCCTCTGCTGCCGAAAAGGCCATTCGGTGTCAGAGACACCGGCGTTTAGTTCAGATTGCGACGGCTGTCTCTTATAGATTGGTTGTCCGCGCCATGCTCCATTGCGTACGGACCCTGCGCGCCGTTCAGGGGCGCTGCGAGTTTGCCTTGATTCTTGATCTTTGTCCTCATCGGCGCGACATAATGCTGACGCTTCTTCACACGACGACTAAGCGCCTACCTTGGCGATTCATTCGACAGCGTTGCGATGATGTGACCGTAACCGTAACGCTTGCAAATTCGACGTCGCTGTCTAGCCTCCCACTCAGTGATTTGGCGTATATCTCAGCGTCCACTTACTCTCAAATTCCACTGATCACGTGTGGCATTACCCCGTGAGTCGCGACAAGATCCCCAAGGCAAGATGTTACCAAGAACTCCCCTGAAGATACCTGCTGTGCGTGTCAAGCTGCTCAAAAATCACCATGACAAACAGTCACCTACCTCATCATCCTCTCTGCCATCACCAGCCAGCAACGTACAACCAACTTCTTCCTCTCCGAGCAGACCTGGCCACGAGGTGCAAATCGCCGGCCCCAAAAACAACAAACTCGAATCTGGGTCCGTGGGAGCAAGATCCTTGTTGTCAATTCCTTTCGCAAGCTCGGTTCGTCCATCTGACCTGCTTAACCCTGTTACACCCTCGGCAACCGCGACAACTGTCCCAGCCAAGCGCTTCGAACTCGGCCAAGAAGTGTTCATCCTCGACCGCGATGGTAATAGCGTTCTCTGTAGTCGGGCCATTTCACCTACCACTGTTGCAAACACGGTTAAATTCGACGCAGCCGCACTTGAAGAAATGGAGTCGATCAGCCCTGTTCATTACGACGGCCCAAACATCTTCCTCGTCTTACGGTGCATCGCAAAGCGTTGCACACCAAAGAAGGCAGACAACTACACCAGCGGGGAAAACACCATGTACCACCTCGTCCCAAAGGACGGCAACGGCCGTCAAAGGCTGTCCCCTTCTGGCAAGATGATGGTCGAGGTTCGCTTCCGGCCGGGCGACTGGGCTTGGTACTTGCATCGACGGAGCGGCATCGATGGAACAATAATCAAGCTGAAAGCGCTCGTCATCGGGGCCGAGGTTCTTCACATGAAGAGGGTCTACCATATCAGCGTTGTGCACCACGGTTGCGACAGGATCCTGGTCTCCGATGAGCGGTTGGAAGAGGTCGTCAGTGGCATTGACGCCTGACGAAACTTGGGAGTTTGCGGGTGCACTGGTCAGTCCATCGGTGGGTGTTTGCCGGGTCCTATCTCTATCCAGCAGACTAGATAATAGGACAGAAGAGTACCTCTGTTGCAAACGGAAGAATGTCTAACGCTGCTGGAGGCCACATATCCCCCGTACGATTCTCTATTCCGAGGCAACCTTGAGCGTATCGATGTACAAGTAGACTCCTGTGGCAATAGTCTCAGTGGTCGCCGAAGACGCGGTTCCAAGTCTCCTGACATTATATGGTCAGGGACATTATTTTCTCCCCAAGGGATCTAACGATCGCCCCTAGTGTGGGATAGTCGCCGAAAAGAAAGAAGCTTCTGTTTCTGGAATAATCAAGGGCAGCGAGTCACGCCATATTTGCAGCAAAGAAAAACCCAGCGAGGTCTGGGCAGAAGGGGCTTTACACACAAGTACAGGTACAAGTACTTGGACAAGGAGTCCCGAAGGTATCCCGACTCTTCCGTGGAGATGCTAAAACAGCGCATTTCTTGCAATTTATGACAGCTGGCCCCCTTTTGCCCGGTAAAACGTTGGTCTCGCGTTCGTCATACTTGTACATCATATCTTGTAGGAGGAGGACATGGGCGGCGAGTTCCGGGCGAGTTGACCAGCAATTCGTTTTAGACGAGATGGACTGGCCGAGGACTGACATGATTATTCCGGCGAGAAGAGACAGGGGCGTGGATGGCACCAGTGGCTGGTGAGGAAAGTAACAAGGATTGCGCCAGTCGTGATTCGTGGTGAGGGCAGCCCCAAAGGGGCAGGGGCATGAACGGGTGGGAAAGGGAGAAGTGAGAAGTGAGAATTGAGGAGTGAGGAGTGAAGAGGTGCAGAGCGAGGACTGGCCGTGGAAACAACCGGCATCCACAGACCACAGACCACAGACCACAGACCGCAGACCACAGACCGCAGCCCGCAGCCCGCAGCCCGCAGCCCGCAGCCCACAGAACAATCGCGTGATGTCATCGGGGTCCAGACAAGTGTAGGAAGAGGCGTTGAAGCCCGTTTTGTCCATTTTGCTGCTCTAGGCAAGTCGCTCCGTGCGGTACATATTCAGCAACTGCGCTTCATCCGGAGTAGATTGTCTCATTTTTGCTTCATTTACCTCTTCCTCTTCTTCCTCACACTGAGAGGAAGCGAAAAACAAACGCAATATCCGAGACAACTCCTTAACAGAGCTTTTCGCTGCCACCTACTGTGTCCAGCAATAGGACGAGTTTCCAGAAGAAATTGGCTCAACGCAGGCTGACTGATGCCGCACCGGTAGCCTGCTTATTCATTTACCAGACCCAAGAGCTGCTGTGGGCGAATCACCCATCGGTAAATCACTTCCGGCTTCTTTTGCTGCTCAGTGGGTTTTTGCTAGCTTCACCACACGAAACTGAACTTGTGCAGGTATATAGCATTGACCTTTTGGCCACCTCAGTCGCACCTGCGTTCTCGTTTTTTGCCATCGCAACCACATAACATATAAAGGTCCCGCCGCCGCCGCCGCCGCCGCCGCTGCACCGTTCCCCTCACCTATCTATACACTATACCCACCTCGATATTTTGACATCATACCACCACCACCAACACCACCACCACCACCATCATGAAGCTCCTCACCAAGGAACAAGAAGCTGAACATTACCGCCAGACCCTCATCGGTGGCACCATCGGCGGTCTCGCAGGTCTTGCCGTAGGTTTCGTCGGTGTGGCCTTCGCTCATCGACGTTACCACTTCTTCCGGAACCTCACGCTCCCTCTCAAAGCATTTCTTGTTACATCGGCCGGCACCTTCGCCGGCATCGTCAATGCAGACCACTACTCCCGTGCCTACGAGGCCTCTCAGAACCCCCAAGAGGTCGCATACCGCCAGCGCCAATCCGAACAGGCGACCTTGGAAAAAGCAAACAAGACATGGACCGAGCGAGCAATGGACTTTGGTCGAAAAGAACGGTACAAGATTGTTTTCGGATCATGGGTTGGCTCCATGTTTGCCGCCTTTGCCCTGGTTAACAGAAACAAATTCCTCACCGGACAGCAAAAGATTGTACAGGCAAGAGTTTACGCCCAATTCCTCACCGTTGGTGTCTTGATCGCAACCGCCGCATTCGAGATCGCCGATCAAAGAAGCGGACAGAACAGGTGGGAGACAGTCAGATATATCGATCCCACTGATCCTGAACACAAGCGCATGTTGGAGAAACAGGTCGAGAGAGACACTTCAAACCAGGGAACCGGCAGTGGAGACGATGATCTGTGGAAGGAGATGGTCGAGCAGGAAGAACAACGATTGAAGGCCAGGGAGGAGTATGAGAAAGAGCATCACAAGAGGCACAAGAACGGCAACGGCAAGAAGAAGCAAGAGCAAGAGCACAAGGAATAGATCGAGGAAGCCACCCAACTTTCAGCAACCTCCACCAAGAGAAAGCGACTTTCCACGGAAACACCAGCTTTCGAGCCTGCTGAAGTTCCAAAAAGCCGATCACGTCTGCCAGCCAGCCAATCAGCCGTGATCTCGCAACACCTGACAAACAGTCCCATTTGTGTACATTACTACAATCCTACCGACATCAACCACTCCGACGACGATGATGGATTCTCACAGTTATGGATCTTTCAATCTTTAACCCCCCCCCCCCTCCCCCCCCCCCCCCATACATGGAGCTCACGAGGTCCTCTACGTCGCGCACCTACATCCCATTTGATGAGAGAATTTTGGCATTTGACGGAGTAAATGGAATACGAAAGAACGGCGTCAAAAAGGAGGAGCCGGCGGCGAGATGTGAGTGGATCAGGGTCTATCACCACAGGGCGAAAACGACGTTGTTCTTGTTTCCCAAGTCTTCCGACTATGTCTCGGAGAGCGAGCCAAAAATTCCCCCTATATTATATACAATAGCGCACATACTATACTACTTGCTCTAATGCAGAAAAAAAAAAGTAGACCGAAATGTCTATGGTTCATTAAAATCATGATTGGCACGCGCAAAGCCTTGCAGGACCGGGTAATAATATAAATATATACAGATATTAGATATTTACATCTAACAGTAGCGCCTGGGACGCCGTCACTTTGCCATGATGCATGCCTGAAAACGTGCTTGGTCTAGCCTCGCCTCTACCCCAAATGGATACGCCTTCTAACACATCTATACGTACGTACTTGTACAGTGTCGAATCGTCAATGTCGCACAGGCCCGCAAAGAGCTCCAGGTCCAGACCTAGACCTGGACCCAACCACGGACCGGGGCCACGACCCAGATCGTGAAGGAGACAGACCCAGTCCCCAGAAATCTGACAGTCAGTCAGCCATTCAACCTGCCAGTCGGTCTAGTTCCAGCCTGTCAAGCCCAGCCAAGTGCCGGCCAGTCCAGGCAAAACAAGTCACATCCGGGGACTTTTGGATTCCGCACGATCCTCACCTCGTCCGCAACATGGCCGCACAGTCCGGGGCAGTGCTGTGCAAAGTTGTCGGATCTTGGGTTCAATCAATCAATGCCCCAACTTTCAAAGTCTCCGGCCCAGCCTCGAAACATGAACCCGCCGGCGCTGAGAGGATGAGGATGCTATCCCTTGACGAACTCGTGCATCAGCTCCTTGTCCAACGACAGCCAGTTCTGCGCGACCTGCAGCCCGCGGATCCGCTCCATCTCGATCCGGTGCCAATCCCACTCGTCGCCGCCAGCGCGGGCCGTGAGCGGTGCGAGGGGCTCCAAGGAGGACGAGATGGCCGCCGCGCCGGTCATTGCCGCGGCCGTCTCGAGCTTTGCCACGATGTTGTCCGTGTTTTGCAGCGTTGTGGATGCTGGGATCGGGGCTGCAAAAGAGCCTTCTTGAGGCGTGGGTATTAGCGATGGTTCAGAGGATGGGTTGGTTGTGGTTGTGGTGGTCGTGTTTTCGGTGTCGGTGGGAGGAAGGTCCTGTGGCGGTGTCGTTGCAGGCTCCGACTCTTCTGATGATGACTCCCTCGTCCCGGGATTGTCTTGTTGGTCTGCGCCGACGTTGCAGTTCGCCGGCCTGCGCGGCAGCCATCCCGCAGTGACAAAGCATCTTTCTGGAGAAACGGTAAATTTGCCCTTCTTCACCACGTACTTACTCAGCGCCGAAGCCAAGATGACTTCGTGTTGCCCCCTCCGCGACGCAGGCCGGATGAACCAACTCCCCACCACAATCCACTTATTATCCCACGCAAGTATCCTCGAGCGGACCTCGTAACGCTCGTACGGCTTGATCTCCTTGTGGAAGGACGTGTGGACGCTGCCCAAGATGACGCTCAGGGGACCCCGGTGGCCTTCGCGCTCGAGGTTCTTATTCCCTTGTTTCAAGCCCGGGATCAGGAGCTTCGTCATGAGCACCGTCCGACTCTCGTCCAGGTCGATGAAGTAGGTGCTGTTCGATTTGTGCAGGTTGTAGTCTGTCTCGAGGAGCGGGGAGCGGGTGAATATGGACACAGGCTGAAAAAGAGGGTGCACCGAGAAAGAGGAGTTCGACTGCGATTCCAAGCTGCGCTGCACCCGCGCATGTGTGTACCAGTTCGTGAACGTGCGGTAGAACAGGCGCGCGTGCCAGGCTAAAGGCAGCGATTTGAGATTAACCAGGGCGAAGAGGACCGCGAGAGTGCGCCATGAGAGCAGAGACGAAAGAGGCGGCGTGGCTATTGAAGGCATGATGGAAACGGAAAATTCGTGAGAGCGAGGGTAAAGAAGGACTGTGGTGTACGCTTATATCCCTATATTGACATTATGAACCAAGACAAATCTTGTGCAACGGTCTAAAAGGAAGAATGTCTCCTTGTATACCGTGTATGTGTTCCATAGTACGAGGTAATGAGGGTAGATTTGGACTTGCAGGAAGAGGTATACTAGATCCATGCGGTGTTGACGGAAAAACTATATTCCGGGAACTCCGCTCTGGATTCCGGTGATGAGATCGACTATGTCCCTCGTATGTCAAGAAGAGATGCTTAACGTGTACGAGGGTACCCATGCTCGGTGAACAAAAAGTTGATCATGCCAATGGTAGATGATACCTGTTGCCACGAGTGACAGGGCCGAGCTCACTGACGTACTTGGAATCCATGCGCAATGTCCCGCTCGTTGAATAAATGACAACTTGGATCTTCACTGAAGGACAGTATCACCATCCCACAGGACATGACAGGTGATACAGTTTGCCACTCAACTCCTCGACTTTTTGCCTTGTGGTCGATGTTGCTGCCTTGTGGGAGCGGCCTTTGCTCAGAGCGTAATCACTCCTGAACAAATCCCCGTCGTCGTCCTAGGTAGGATGTGAGAACTCGAATGCATGGTCAAAGTCGGATTTGACTCGTACCATGAAGAGGGTGCCTCACGCTGTCTTTCTGCCTTCACTAGATGTCCAAAGCCCTGGGCTGCTCTACTGAGTACCGCAAACCAATTCATTAATTCAACCTCGTCTCATGGCGACTGAACACGGGCACTCCCCAATTTGGCCGTGACCTGGTTGTCATTTCCATGGTTTTTGGTTTCTTGGTTCTCCATCTTTCAAAATTTGCCCTTGGCAGTGGCGCGTCCTGAAGCTTAGAATCAGGTTGGCAAAGGGGCGACGACGTTTGCGGGTCGCCGTCAAGGTGAGGAACTCTGCTTAGTCTTTGCCTAGGCCCGCTCGAAAGGACAGGTCATCCTTGACAAGCTGAAGGCACTTCTCAAGGCTGCATGCGCAGAAGCCTGGATGGTTGCACAGACTAGAGGTGGCGACACATACCTATGGATCCCTTGATCTGACCACGTCCAAGACAAACAACATTCCACCCAGAATGTCTCATACAAGACACTCTACTTGTAGACAGGACTCCCGCTCAAGAGACCGCACCCGAGACCTTTCGTGGTTATGTCAAAGGCGAAGCTCCATCGAAGCAAAAGCTGGTCGGACATGCCCTGTGCGGCAACTGCGCCTCTGGACCTGGGACAAAGCCCTGCCAGCGACAGCGTTTGACCCCGAGCCACCTGACGCAACATTCCGAGGTGGTGGGGAGGTATTTTAGGGAAGGTTGGGAGGGCGAGAACCCAGGCGCTCCTTTGCTTGTTCCGAGAATGGAGCTGGCGGTGACGAAGCTGGTGGTTGCTAGCAGCCTTCTCGCCTTTAATGGGTGTTTCAAGCTGCTCGCCATGGAGAAGCCCCTGGCCAATCAACTCGATGGAGTATCGGATCTATGCAGAAGGCGCTAACCATTTCCGGCCTAGGTGCTCACCATTACGCGGCTAACGATTGGCTGCAGTCGACCGCACATTTTCACCCCCTGATCATTCCATCCTTTCTGTCCTTTCTTCTCCCTTTGACCTCTTGACCTTTCCACAGCCGCCGCAATGGGCAGCTTCAGCCTCCTCCGATCTGCTCAGGGGATCCATCCGAAATGGACGGATTGAATTCTCCTGCGTTATCCCGAGCTACTTACGATCAAACCTTGTTCGTTCTCCTATTATCGCACCCCACCCATCTATGGGGTACCTCGGACCAATCTCCTATTCTGCAGCTTGTGCTCCCCGAACTCTGGTCCCGTAGGGATTCATTGAGCTCTCCATGCTCTTACTACCTCTACCTCTCAGTTTTGCAGCAAATCATGTATGTATATCAGAGCTCTCTTTCAACGAGCTGTAAAACCAGTCCAGAAATCTCCGTTTTCTGGCCGGAGCGGCCGGGGCTCTGACTGGGCTCTGTGCTTTGCGTACGAGCTTGCACTTCCGAACGATCAGCTTGGGCGTCAGTTTGCCACACGCGAAGGATAGAATGCATACGTGCCAATAGAATGCGATGTTTCACGTACCCCTTGCTAACCACTAACCCAACCAGCATGGCCAGCATGACCGGGGTACAGCTTTGCCATCCAGGGGCATTTGCCGACCTCCATTGTTCAAAATCTATATAGAAGCCTGCCAAGTCACTTCATCCCATCTCGCCTTGCTCCAGAGCTTCTTCTCATCCCGTTCATTTTGTCAACTGTGGCAGGCCAGTCCTACATTCCTTTGTTGACCTTCCTCTCTTTATTCTGCCTGGCGCAGACCATACATTCTTTTGCCTATCAGTTGACTTAGCAAGTCAGCGGCCATTCCTTTGTCAGTGACAAAAGGTATGGCACTTCTATTCACTTCTTTTGCTCATTAGATGCTTTGTTTTCAGCATGGCATTGTCACATGCAGACAGTGGTCACCATTGCCGGCTGGATTGCTTTATTCGGGGTCACAGGCTGTTGCAGATTATTGTCGAGAATCACTGCCTTTGTGTGTGCTGCATTGTTGGAAGTCTCCTATTGTCCGACTGCTTTGCCAAACCCTTTTGATATTTAAACCTCCAAATTATTGTTCTCACCTTCAAGTTCACCATCACACCGCAAACAACGACTGACAAGTGTATCAGTGCGATCCGGCTATTTGCTCTGCCCAACACATTCATTTCTATCTCCAAATTCAACCCAAAAAATTCATCCCGACATCCAATATGGTGGTCTTTTCTAAATCCGCGGCACTGGCTGCACTTGCCTTCCTGGCTGCAGCGGGAGATGCTCACATGATTATGAAGACTCCTGTCCCATACGGCAAATCAACCCTCAACAACTCACCACTCGTTGCCGACGGATCTGATTTCCCCTGCAAGCAGCGTTCTGGTGTCTATGATGCTGAGGGAGCTAGCAATGTCGCAGCTATCGGTGTACCACAGACTCTGAGCTTCATCGGCAGCGCTACTCATGGTGGCGGATCCTGTCAAGTCAGCCTTACAACCGATCTCCAGCCTTCGAAGAACTCCAAGTGGATGGTCATCAAGTCTATTGAAGGCGGCTGCCCAGCTTCGGCGCCTGGCAATATTGGAGACGATCCTAATGGCTCTGGCGCTTCGACATTCCAGTTCACGGTTCCTGAAGGCATCACTCCTGGCGAGTACACCATGGCGTGGACTTGGTTCAACAAGGTCGGGAATCGCGAAATGTACATGAACTGCGCCCCCTTCACTGTCACTGCTGCCAAGAAAAAGCGATATATGCCAGCTCCAAAGGCTTCCAAGCGACAGACGTCATTCCCGGACATGTTTGTGGCCAATTTGGCAGCCATAAACACATGCACCACCCCCGAGAGCTTCGACTATGTCTTCCCCAATCCAGGCGCTGATGTCCAATCTGCGGGTTCGGGGCCGTACACCACTCTGTCTTGCGGTTCCAATGGTAATAACACCCCTCAACAACCCACCGGATCTATTCCTGCCGCCTCTGGCACTGCCACTGCAGCTCCTACCAGCTATGCTGCTGGTCCGCCATCTTCTGCACCCGCATTCGCTAGTGGCAATGCTGGGCAATATACGGCGAGCCCTCCGGCCAGCGCGGTTCCTGGAAACTTTGCTAGTGGTGCATCTTCGGTACCTACCTCCTCCGTCGTCCCGTCTTCAACTGTCACTGACCTTCCTCAGGTCGTCCCCACCACAATCCCCGCAGGTGCCGCCTACAGCACCGTAAGTGCTTCCACCACTTCATCACCCTCGACTATTACTAACGCTCAACAGGCTCCTTCCAACACCGCTGCGGCAACTGCTCCCACAACGACTCCAACTGGCGGCTCTTCTGCAGCATCGAACAGCTCTGCTGCCGGTGCGCTAACCGGTCCATGCCCTAACGAAGGGTTCTGGAATTGTATCAACGGCAACAGCTTCCAGCGCTGCGCCTCCGGAAGCTGGAGCGCCGTCATCCCCATGAACGGCATGAAGTGCTCCCCAGGAATATCCTCTGATTTCTCCATGACTGCAGCCAATGCGAAGCGCTGGGAAGCCTGAATCCATCATTCACCTGCTCGCTTGTAATCCACGCATTTTCACCATTGCTTTCGGTTTCTGTACAACAGCGGATTGATCAAACCGATTGTCGGCGGCATGTCTCGGGAACCAGAATTGGTTTGGGAGGGGCGGGGCGGCTTTTTTTGAGTGACGGGTCTCTCAGGATATTCAACTTGCCCTAGCCATCACTCAATTTTTACACGACTTCATGAAATTTCTTCAGCATCTTCACTTCTATGATACGAGATGACACATCACCAACGCAGACCAATCTAACGGCAAACTTTGCATCAGCGAAAAGGCGTTTGATTGGGTTGTCACGCTTTCTTCACTAGGTTGTCGGACCTAAAAATATCCTAGAAACTAGAAAATAAGAGGTTGCAAAACCGAATTGAAGTTCCGGAATTCCCCCATATTGAATTCTGTGCCGTACAAAAATAAAATGTCTTGCTGTCAGAACACGGAAACGAGGTGTTCGACTGCTGACGAATTCACCACGGTTCATTGAGCGTTTCAGTAGACAATTCTATGCCAGAAACTCGGTCCATATACACTGCCTTTCATGAGAAGCATGCCCAATGTCGTTGTTGTTATTCTCTTTGCTGAGACTCGGAAGTTTTAGGACCGCATTTACCAGCGAGGCTGGCTGGCTCAGGGGTGAGGCTAGTGATGGTGGTGAGGCTCTGGTGGCTGAGCCATCGCATGAGGCCAATAATGGTAGCTTATCTTGGGTTTTCGAGGAGCTGACCGTAAGTATCAACTGAATCCGCTCCCTTTCCTTGTGGACGTCCAAGTCGTTAAACGATCGCAGTGCCCTGCTGTCTACCTCACGTCTATCTCCGCCCATCTGGATCAAGACTCGAAGAGAGGACACGCACGTGGGCTTCGCCAGCTCGCCTATTGCCGTGAAGAATATTAGCACCACATCGGCACGGCTTCCGAACACAATGGACGAAGGACGCTTGCCGCCGTCCTCACTGTCCTTATGCACATTATTGTGCTGGGAGATTGGGGGAGCTCTCTGCTCTTGCCGATGTGCGCACCAACAAAACTTTTCACCAAATATCGGCTTCCTCCCAAAGTCTCGATGGCCAATGATCTCTTCCTCGATTCTCACGTGTGTGTTCTAGTCTGTGAAGCAGCTCTGGACAAGAAGTCCCTTTACAAGCTCGCAGTGTCGGGCTGAAGCTCATGCGAAGCTTTCTAGCGATCTGAGCCGAGGGATGCTTCGAGCTTATTGCTTTTGCATCCATCATGAAGCCTTTCTTATCTCTCTATATTAATCTTTGTCCCTTTCCCCCGAGCAAAAGGTGGGTCTTTCAACTCTTTTCCTCGTCGTTGGTACCTATCAGCTATGGCTATGCTCAAGGTTGTACTCACCACGGTTGTTGGAGCCGTTGGGGCTCTCGCAGCTTCGCGACCTTACTCATCGGCCTACCTCGAGAAACAGTTTTCCCAAACCTTCGCTGACTCCTACAACATTCTCAAATATGTCGGCGGTATTGGTCCTTACTCAGACCGCACGGGCTACGGGATCGACCCCAATCCTCCTCCGGGTTGTGCTGTTGATCAGGTCATTATGCTAATGCGTCACGGGGAGCGGTACCCCGACGCCACGACATATGGGAGACTTGAAGCCGTGCTCAGAAAGCTATACTCGTCGGGTATTTCCCAATGGTCGGGAGACCTCGCTTTCCTGAACGACTGGACCTTCTATATCAGCGACCCAGGTTACCTGGAACAGGAAACATTCTCCGGTCCGTATTCAGGACTCTTACATGCCTTGAGACAAGGGTCCGAGTATCGAGCTCGCTATGGCCACCTCTGGGACGGAGACTCGGTTGTCCCCATTTTTGCTAGTGACTACGAGCGTGTCATCGAGACGGCGAGATATTTCGGTATGGGATTCTTCGGATACAACTACTCTACCAATGCCGCAATCAACGTAATTTCCGAAAATGCAACGCGGGGAGCAAACAGTTTGACTCCTAGCTGCCCTGCCGATACAAGCTTACTCGCGTGCTTTTATGCCTCGAGAAGCCTGCCTCAATTCAACGTGGCTGCGGCGAGATTGAATTCTCAGAATCCAGGCCTGAATCTGAACTCCAGCGACATCGCGACGCTGATGAGTGAGAACCCTCCTTTTCGACTAGCAGGACATGTCTACATGGACGGACAAGCTGCTAACTTGGCATCCTCTGACTATAGGCGTGGCCCCCTACGAGCTTCAAGCTCGTCCATATTCGCCTTGGGTGGACGCATTCACGCTTGACGAATGGGTGGCATTCGGTTATATTCAAGACTTGACTTACTATTATTGCTCAGGGTACGTCCAAGAATCCAGTGGAAACTTACCATCCTCTTCGAGAACTGCACTGACTTTTAAATCCCCCCTTAGTCCTGGGGATCCATACGAGGTCGCTGTAGGCCAAGTCTTTGCAAATGCGTCCCTTGCACTTCTTGAAGCCGGTCCGAGCCACGGAACCATGTGGTGGAATTTGTCAGTACAGACCCCATTGTCCTGTGCGGAGCTCCAATTTAACGCCTTCTTCTTTGACTTTCACAGCGCCCACGATGCCAACATCACTCCCGTCGTCGCGGCATTGGGTCTGGACGTGCCCTCATCACCTTTGCCAAACGATACGATCCCGTTCCCGAACCCCTACAGATCGACCGACATCGTCCCCATGGGCGGCCATCTCGTCCTGGAACGCCTGTCGTGCAATGCTACCTCGGCTCCGACCCCACCCGGCGTCTACGTCCGAGCCCTGATCAACGAGGCCGTGGTGCCCTGGCCGACATGTCAATCCGGGCCCGGCTTCTCGTGTCCGCTGGGCGATTACAGTGCTATGATCGCTCGCGGGCCAAATTTTGCGCAGATGTGCAACGTCTCCGCGCTGGGCTATCCCGAGTATCTGGACTTCTGGTGGGATTTCAACACCACGACAGAGCTGAATTTCCAAAACGGCAGCATTCCCTGGCAGCAGACGTATACGCGTGTCAACGGATGATGGTGGTGGTGGTGGTGGTGATGATGGAGGATCAAGGTCGGCCCTGGGAGTGGTCCAGTAAACGGGGTATTGTATACAGATACTCTTGAGATATAGGTATCCGGAGCAATGTTTAAAGAAAAGAACGCCATCTCATCTGGCACAGTCTTCTAAAATGGAGATCATTCACCCATCCATCCATCCATCCATCCATCCACCAGCTTCCCTCCCCTCCTTTGGATATCTAAACAGCTAAGGCTACTAACAAGGTCCGAACATGGCTTGCACAGGGAACAGCGTGCAGCGCACAGACGCCGAAACGCCCGTAAATATACGTATCTATCTACATACGTAGCGCGGCGCACGGGAACGTTGAAAGGGATCGTCAGGGCGTTTAATGTATACATGCATATATCCAGACGTACGCACGGGGATGTGTACGTATCAAATTGTATATATAGTAATGTCAGCGACGATTTTAAGGCCAAGATCTTGACAAAGTCAACTTCAACGCGAGGGCAAAATATAAATCCTAAAATGTAAAATGTACGCTAATTCCAGCCCCGTTTTCAAAATGTCCTGAACTGTGTAGGAAGCCATCCGATCCGGCATCGGTCGCTCACTTACTACAAGGCCTTTATACAAGGAGTCTTCGTACAAGGGGCCTTCTCTGGTGGGTAGGTTGTAATCGGCATATCACATCCCAACATAGATTGCACTCTGGCACTCATGACGCACACGCTGGACAGCAGCGAGGCTAGACCGGCTAGAGCTGTTTCTTCATGGACTTTCATGGATCTGAATTTCCTCCTATCACCATCTGTGGCCGACAGACGACAGACGACAGACAACACTTCCGATCGAGAAAGGCCTTCCTTTCAGCGACATGATCAACGATTTGAAGTTACTTCTCCTCAACGGCTCGCTATACCACAATACCAAGATCAAGGCTTCTCTATCGAGCTCTTCCACGCCCGTTCAAACAGCCCCTTTATCTTCCCGACCTCATCGGGCGACCGTATCCTCTGCTCCAGAAACCTTTGCAAGTCATCCCAAAACTCCCTTGACTCCAGGACGCTCGTCGTTGACGTTTCCACACCTTCCATTGGCGTTCCTTGCGCTCCCGTTTGATTGGTCTCAGTCTGCAGACCTGCCTTCGCCGCCGTCACCAAAGCCGCCGTTATCGTGTGGTGGAGAGACGCCGTTATATGGGTCTGAGGCGGGTCAGGAGCGCCGCCCATGACCATCACTCCAAGCTCGACATCTGACCCCGTGGTGATACCAGATCCCTCCAGAGCCTCTGCAACGGTTCGTTTACTTGGGGGGACGGGCTTCTTATTTAAGAGCAACTTGATCTTGTCTAGATTTACCACGCTCGGTCCACCTAGGCATGATTGGATCTGTTCTTTTAGCACTTGGATTGTCGTCGTTGCAGGCGGTATGGACTGAAGGATGAGGGTCATATTTGGGTTGCGCGGGGATTTCAATAGCAGGGTGATGGTGGGCGTGGAGGGTTCGGAGCCTGGTGCTGGTTCGGTCGCGGGGATGGATTTGGGCGGCGGCGGGTGTGGCGGTGTTGAGAGCTTGGGCAAGGTATACTGCTCGTGATAAACGTGGCCTCGTTAGCAAGTGTAGATACTATCTCATCTTTTCGAGCGACTGCGTCCTGTCGGATTCACAACATGCCCTTTGGGCTTGGGGCACTCTTGGTACAGGCCAGCCCGCCCGCCCATTGGGTGGCCGCGGGGTCGAAGTGGTGCAAAGACTTACCGGTAACCGCATTTGAAATGTTTGCGGATCAAAGACATGGTCAGGTTGGTACTTGCTCGGTTTGTTGTCTAGAGACGAAAGGAATTGCTTCGCGAATTGGAGGTCGCCCATGTTGCCTGCTCGGGCTTGTCGCTCTTCCTCCAGACGGCGGAGGGCGTGTTGGAGAGCGAATGCTGCCAGCTTGACCTTGAACTCAGTCAGAGAGCGTGGGCAGATATATCCAGATATCGAGGATCGCAGGTGAAGAATGATTGGTCGTCGAGAGAGTTGGCCGTCAATCCACGAGTAGAGTACCCGCTGCGGTGGAAGTGCGCAAATGGGGTTGGAAAGCTACACTGACATCACCCCGCGAGGCTCCACGAGGCTGCACAAGGCCGCAGAAGGCCGAATTGGTCATCTCCTAGTCACCAAGAGCTGGCTATGTAATGTAGCACAACATAATCGACAGACTTGCAATCGATTTTTAAAATCCAAAGCTTGGAATACGGGATACCGAATTAATTCTAAATAAGGAGAAAGATCAAGTGTGCGAGCTCAAATGGTATCATCTCAGAAATCATAAATCCCTTCCCATCATGAATACAATACCAACCCAAAACATATTTCCCCGAGGCCAACTCTAGAAGACAGGAACAATGTTTTCGTTATTACCATCAGTCCCCTCAACGTACCAAGCATGGTGCACAGTCTTCAAACTGCCCAGTCTCTTCAAGCTTGTCGAGCGGCTGACGCTGCCCATTCTTGACACGCCCTGTCTCAAGCTCTTGAATCGTGTGATGGGGGGTCTGTTTTCTGCGCCATTCACCGACAAGTGCTGATCTCTCTGTGCCTCGACTGACCTGGATCGGGGAATGACATCAATGTGGTCTGGGACACCAGTTTGATACTCGCTGTCTGATTGTGTCACACTGATCTGAGGTCCCAGCACTTCTTTCATGCTATCCTGGCTGGCGTGGCTGGAAACCGATGTCCGGTCACGGAGGTCAACCATCTCAAAAGCATCTTGCTCGTCCTTGCCGCCGACGAACGAAAACGGAGTCTGAGGACGATCTGCTGGTTCACCGCCGGCCGTCAGTTTGCAGTATTGGGGGTCTCGCTCATTGCCAGGTCCCTGCATGGCAGTGCTGATCATGTTGATCAGAGTGCCTGCACTTTGTTCGCCACTTTGGCGTGCGAGTTGTTGACTTGGAAGAGGGGCTGCTGCCGCTGAAGCGGGGGTCTTGTCCTTCTTGCTGAGGCGACGAGACAGGGAGCGCGCAAGGGAAGAATTACGGAATAATTTGAACTCTTGCTTGGTTGCCTTGCTTACAAGAGGAGAGTCATCTCCATAGTTTGAGAAGGGAGAGTTGACCGCTTTGTAGGTCGAGGCCGAGGGAGGAATCACGTCGATCTTGGGATACGCTGGGTTGTTTCCTGGCGCATTTGGCTGGATGGAGAGACCTGGTCTCATGGCGGGGTGGTTCGCCATGGGCATTGGAGCGGTTGCAGGACCTGAACCATTTGGACGGAGCTGGTCGAATGGGTTAGGGACTGGGGCTGGTCGCTTGTACCTTCCACATTTCGTGCAACACCGCGTTCCAGTTGATGAGCTTGGTGAACCAGAAAGCCCCGCGGTGCTTTCTGACAGTCTGGACGACGAGCCGTGAGACGCCTGCCCTTCGGAAAAAGTCCGAGCATGAGTCGCCGCAGTCGGCATTGGAACGGGTGCAAAAGCGGGAGGAGTCGATTCTGGCGCATTGGACTTGCGTTTCCCACATTGATTGCAACTGTGTCCGTGGCCATTACTCTGACCATGTTTCTTTCCACAATTCCCACACTTGTGCGTATTTGACAGAGCACTTGCGACCTCGGAGGGGTTGATGGGATCGGACGCTTGACGTTTGTATACTGGTGGCAGCGCACCATCGTGCATATCCTTCGCGACCTTGACTATCTTTGGCTTCTCTTTCTCGGGAGCAGGGTTGGATCCAGGGTATGGCTTTCCATCGAGGCGGCGCAGGTCGACCGATTTTCTTTGATCGGCATTGGGTCTCTGAGGCTTCGGCGCTTGGACTGGTGCTTGCGCGGAGCGCTCAATCGGCTCTGATTCAGCAATCGGCGAGACGGGGGAGAATAGCATTGGTTGCTGAGAAGCGTTTGATACTGGGCCCGGGTTGAAGTTTGGGGAGAAAGGGTTCGTGTCAGGCAGAGGATCATTGTAGGAACTGGGTAACACAGCCGTGGTGACGGGCACGGGCGGCTGCGTGCCCTGTGGCAGATTCTCATATGGCACAGCGTTCTGAAGAGAGCCGGGGGAATTGGAGTTGGATTTGCCTGGGTAGGCGGGTGGAGGATTCTTTGTTAATTTGGTCATGGTGTCTTTCGTAAGGCGTATGGCGTTTACAATTTCACACGGGTGCAATAGAATATAAGGACCCAGATTATGGTAGGACTGGAGTCAAGTGAAAGGCACCCAAAGAGTCCGAGGGAGAGGTTGGGTTGTGGGTTTGTGGTATCGGAGTAAGTGACGGTGAGTCCCAAGTTACTCATGAAGGCACCGGAGGAGATCGACAGCGTCAACACTCCCCGGAAAAGGGACGGTCAATGAACGAACGGAAATGCTGGCGCAAGATTGCAGATGCAGAAGCCGGTGCAGGTGCAGAAGTGGATGTGAGGAAAAGCAAAAGTGGGAGTGTGTCGACAGGAATGGAGACGATGTGGGTGGACGACAGGCAGATATGGACAGAGATGGACACCAATGGCGGATGGTTGGCTGCAGCCGATGCCTTGGTATTGCTTTGTTTGCGAGCCGAGCTATACTGACATGACCTAAATCACCTACAGGCTATGCAGGCACAAGGTTAGGCTTGGTCAGGGCAGGGTTAGAATCAGGATAGTGGACGGTAGCAGTCCGGCACTGCACATGTCTGGCTAAAAAGAGGCGGTAGGCACCTGGGCATCGAGGGGCACCAACTGGGCACCTAAGGCATCATGGCTTCGAGGCTGCTAAAACCGGTCAACCGTGGCGGAAGGACACAAAAGCCCTCCTCCATCAATTCCCCCAAACCAAGATCCGATCATGCCAACAGTTGTCCAGGGAAGCAAAGTTCACCAGTTTGGGTCAAGCTGAGGCAATGCGTTTCATGCTTCTGTTACAGAGCTGCATCGAGTGTTGTGTGACGTCGAGGTGAAGAGCAAGGTACCTCGCTTTGGCACGCGGCCGTAACCAATTCCTAGGTACCTTGTACCTCACACTTCAGACAGCTACTCTTCGTACTCGGTATTTGGGAAAAATGGCCCCCCTTGGGGCCTTCCCCTAGTCGATGCCTGGGGCCCGAGGAGCAGCGCTGCCCAATGCCCAAGAGGCTGCGCCACCCCAGAAAAGGGGGAGGAGCTCGTCTGCAATTCCCCGTGCAGTCTAGTGCTGCCGTGTGGCTTATCCGTTGCTATCTTGGGCACTCTCCAAACAAATCGAGCCTTGGCAAGAAGCGGGTAGGGGGAGGGTCTTTTCTTCTGCAGCGAGAAACAAGGCTTTTCTAGCTGCCCGCCACGAGATTGGACTATGTACCTACATACCCAGTACAGTACCACCGTCTTGATATACGGTGCTGCATAAACCCTGGTCCGTACTGAGAGCTGTGCTCCCCTTCGGAGCTTAGCTGGATGGTTTGGTCCGCGAGAACAAAATGCCATGTACCAACAACCACCATTTTCAAATAAATGCTATGCGCAGAGCGCAGAGGAACAGAAGGATTAGGATTATCGCTGAGCTCCATCAATTCGCCCGAGTAAGCAATAGGTGGTTGGACACGAGATATTCCTGGCAGGAAGGGCGATCTCATGCACATGGTTTGCTACATGAAGCCCGAGCACAATGGACAGTGTACCAAGTAGAGCCTGATAGGCTATACACGTTCCCTGAATGTACATGTCGGGGGAAAATATCAGCATCACTGCAGGAAGGAAGCATGACGGTCGCATGATCACAAGATCCGCTCCTGCAGTTGTATCGCTCAAGCACGGTACTGTTTCCAGATCAATGAACAGGATTTTGCTAGCCGTCTTGCCACTGCATGTACGAAGGATGAACAGACCTCCATCCTTCACTCCATTTTCGTCAGCTCCTCTGAGGGATATATGTATGGGGATACGTTGCTCAAGAATGTATAAATAACAACGGCATGAAAACGGTTGGTTCGATCGTGGCTCCATTCGCGCGCTGATGCCGTCACGATGGTCCTGGGTTTGACAGCCTCTCTGGAAATGTGGGAGCTCCTGTTGCTCAGGCCTGTAGCTCGCTTCATAATCTGTCCAACCTTCCCGCCGTGTCGGACCTTCATTGCGGGTTTGAAAGAAGAATGTAATTGGGTTAAAGATCCGATGATGCAAATAGACACTTGCCAACAGTGCATTGACAAAGTCGTTCCTGCGCAGAAGTCTAAGCGGGAAAATCAAGTCGTATATGTCCAACCTCTGAATGCTGGTATAATTTTCGGCCCTGCAACCGTGTCCGTGCGACAGGCCTACCTGTGACGTTTACCGATCCCTCGGATATGAGAGCCGTCTAAGTAGGTGCCTATCATGCGGCCTTCCATTGAATTGGTGCCAAGTAAGGACCCGAGACTGGCTGGCAAATAGCCTGTTGTTTAGATGCCCACACGCTCTCTTTGCGACTGAAAGGCCGAGACCGATTGACAGTCGCACGCCTAAAACGGCTGGCATATAGAGCGATGTTCCAGACAGATCAACGTTTGCCAGATGACAGCCATGAATGTTGTCGAACCGTGATCGCACAAGAGTCTTGTCCATCCTCGGATGAACCCCTTCGTATGTAGGTATTTGCTTGATGTGCTCATAGTAGACTAAGATAATATCATACTGGTCGATGCTCCAGGATGGTGCTACATACCACAGACGCATGCATGGAGACCGCCAGCCTGTCGACAGTCTGGTTCGAAACAAGGTACGCATTTGTACTTCCCAAGGTGCATAGTCAGAGTACCTGGGGAGATGCTGGAAGCACCTGGCCCCACGAGGGCAGACTTGCTTTGTATAGTATCTCAACAGTCAGAAGAGGTTCATTGTAGGACGGGGTACCTGGACCTGGTCAGCAAGCCGAGGCAGGACAACGATTGTACGAGGTAAAGCTCCGAACACTATGGCACTTGGTAAGGCCTGGATTGCATAGTTTGCTGACAAGCACTAGAGACTGTGAGCTTTTCTTTTTCAGTCTGTGCAACACTTGGCATTGCAAAAGCGTTGTATGAGCTGCTTCAAGATGGCCCGCAGCTTACTAGAATTCAGCGGTTTTCACGAGTCATCCACCGGCAAGCCTGATCTGATGGAGAAGGGCGGTGTGGCCGAAACGAGGCAGGGACGTCGACCAGATGGCATACGCCACACAATATGGAAGGTGTGAGAGATAAATTCATCATTTTCAGGAATCATCAGCAAGGACCAGCAAGGTTTTGGATCCCTGATATTCTTTGCTCTAGGTAGTTGATCGACACACAAAATAGAAATAATGATGGAGGAAGTCCTCTCTCGCTGCCATTCGAGAAAGGTTCCTCTCGATCCTGCAGGACCGGACTTGGATGCGAATCAGAATCCAGGCGGGCAGGTAAGCGAGCAAGCGCATCGTCAAGGTGCAGCAGCTGTATCTCCAGAAGCCTCGCACAAATGGCGGGGCGGCGGGCTTTGGCCAGTCTTCCTGATGGAGTCTCAAATCCGTTAGCAGACGCCAAATGGGGGATGTTTATAATATGATGACAGGGGATGAGCACGCTTTGGGAGGGTTGAAATAAGCTTGATCCAAGGGCAACGGCAGACGACCACATTTGTGTCAATAATGGCGCCCACGGTCTGCCAGATTCGACATTCCTGGCCGGATGGCCTTGCATTATCTAAAGTCCTCAAGAAAGGAGAAGGTTAATCGATAAGGAGAGCGGCCTCAAAGCTGTAGCGCATTTGCTACATGCTCCATCTCGTCGATTAGCAATATAATAGTGTCCTTGTCCCCTGGCTATTTATCGGATAAGGCGTTGAATGGTTCGGAGAGATTGCGAAACTCGTGGTGAACCCACGTCCCACAGGGCTCTTTTTACCTCGCTTCAAGGCTGAGGATTCGAGCGGAAACTTAGCGCCCTGATATGGATGGTCTTGGGTCTCCATATTATGAGACAAGATCTCCCGGCCGGACGCGGTGTGTTGAGTCTCCTGAGCCTCATTGCCGCCTATCGCAGTAGTACCGCCACTAGCTTCTCTATCCGGCAACGACAAGCCGAAAAGGGGGCAGTTCGATCCTCCTGAGTAGAGCGTGGCATGGGTTGGTAAAGAAAAGGAGAAAGAAGGGGGCTTGATCCACCCCCAAAGTTCGGTTCGAAGGCACAAAGAGATTGTTGCTGCGATTGTTATTCTACAGGGCACATGCGCTTTTTCCCTTGTGCCTTGTAATGCGAATCATTCAGATCCATTTTCCCGTGGATCAGTGGTAGGACCCCCTATCTTTACGTACTCGCACGAGTAGCCTAGAACAGTCAAGTCAAAGGACGGGAGGACTTGTAGATCCGATCCCTGACGCCACATGTCAACCAGGATTTTGCAACGATTTTGGTTGTGGTTGTGGGAGTGGTCTCATCGATCTGAGCTTGATGACCCGGACCAGCGCTTGCTTGGAGAGCCGCGGATGAACAAGCTGGTTTTGGGGTGTGCTTTGAAGCCGGATAGAAGCCGGAATGGAAATTCTTTCGCCAGACGGGTGGGTGTTGGTGTCACTTGGTTGCGAGAGACGATCCCCTGTCCCGACACCAATGCTCCACCAGACCCCAGAAGGCTTGTAGGGAGCAAGGGAGCTTGGCGGCAGGAAAGGGATAGTGTCAGGGCCTGACGCCAAATATAGAGTCTACTCTGGAGTCGATACACAAGGCTCGCTAGACCATGCAAGGTGTGGCGTCACGCTAGACGGAAGTTAGTTGAGGCAAACCTGAAGCATGTTTGATCCATCCTGGTCCATCCCCTGTCTCGCAGGGCCCAAGACCGGGATCCCCTTCCCCTATCACCCACATCCGAACTGACTTCATCCACCGCTCATTTGTCCCAAACTCCGCCATCAACAATCCACGCCGCCGGTGAAATTGCCTGGCACGCTTTGTGTCGAGGATCCGCATCGCTGTAGACAAATCATCGCCGCAGCGGCCACGCCGCATCAAAACACAAGTTTGTCAGCCCTTTCGGCCCAAGTAGGGCCAGAGGTACAGCAGAATCAGGATACTCCGTATGCTGGCCCATCTCATGCATTTGCAGTTCATTGATGGTAGGATTCGGATTTTGCGCGCGGATGTCCTGCCCTCACTCTCATACCTGTTGTTATTTTATGACTTTCCGCTTCGAATCTCCGAGGGCAACGGTGCGCAACAGATACTCCGTACCATCAATGTACTGGTCATCGATCGCACGATGGGCGTGCCCAGACCGAAGTTCCTCGAGGAATGAGAATGCGATAACCAAGCGAGGTTGAACGTCATGCAGTCATCATTTGGGAGGAGGCGGCGGATCCCAGGTCTGGAGGTGATTGCTGTCCTCCAATCTCTTTGCCGCCACCAGGTAACTTTGTTCAGCCTCAGCCCGTTAGACAGGGAGGGTGTGGTATGGGAAGACGAGAGGAGAACGAGTATTCTCACTGCCTCACGGGCTCGTCTTTACAACCTCAGCTATACGAGGGCGACCTTTTGATACGGCCAAGCCAGCTAGCGGCAGCCCCCTTTGCCGCCGAGGCAATACCTGTCCTCCGTATACACCAGCTATTCTAGACTCGACCGACACAATGTCACAATTCACGCTGCAACGTAGTATCCATCGATTGGCAGGAATTGATAGCGCTGGCGGGGAGTGGAGGACAGGACCGTGTCTGCGGTGCTCCTGGACCTGTTCCTGTTGCCCAGGACAAAGGGTTGAGCGATAGGCTGTGCAGTGCCAGTCGTCCGAGCAAGCAGCAAAACGATGGTTAGGGCGAACCAATACGACGTCGAGATATTTTAGAGGGGAGGTCCCAATCAGGCTAAGTGTCCGTACTACGAGGTACATTGCCCGTAGCCAAGGCCCGGAACAACGGCCTCAGCCAATGGTAGGGTGCCATTTAGAACCAAACCAAATCCTCCGTAAAATTGTAATGGCACGAAAATCTTGATCCCCAGCCCCCCCCTCTGCCCCCGATGCCTCTCCTTTTGCCGTCCAACATCGACAAGAGCACATTATGACTTTGGTACTAGACAAAGCTTTTGCAGACCGTTATTCTGCACATTGGTGCGGCTGAACATTGGCGAGAAAGTATTAGCAGCAGGTGATGACAGCGCTACGAGGTACTAGGTCCTAGGTCCTGAGTGCTAAGGGGTAACATCACCGCTGGGGGGCCTTGGAGTGCTAGCAGCTGGCTATGTATTGAGACGAAAGATTACGGCCCCTCGCTCAGCGCAGGACGTGTCTCATCTGGGTCCAGGCCGTGTAGACAGCCAGATTCGGGCGCCGAAAAAAAACCATGAAAAACAAGAACAATCTGACTAGGCTGGCGTTAGCCGCAGCCGTCAATACGCCCAGTGGAACCCCGTGCCAATTCCGAATCGCCAATGCACGACCCGTGGACGCCAACGCCAACAACTCGAACAGAACAGCCTCTCCAGATTTGGATTGCCTCGCCCTGCTCGCCCTGCAGGCCTGCTCGCCATGCTCTTGATTTCCAGCGCGCAGATCGCGGTGCATGCTTTGACCTCCCCTAGTGACCTAGTATGACCCTCACTCCCTCAGTCCCTCACACGACCCACCAGGGGGGCGCTGTTGTCAAATTCACTTTCGCTTTCGCTTTCACCACTCCCTTACTCATGCCTCGTATTGGTCGTTCGCTCTATTTTCACGCTCTCCCAACTCCTTTATATGATAGCTGATCCTCCCCCCATTTTTCCAATTCTTCTCCCTTGAAGCATCGCTCGTTGAAGCTCGTCGTCGCCTGTTTTCACGCCCATCATGGAGGAGGTCTACGTCTTCGGCGATCAGACTGCTGATTGCCGGGCGTTCTTCACCAAGGTCTTCTCACGGAAGGACGATGTTATCCTACAGAGCTTCCTCGAGAGAGCTGGTGAAGCCGTCAGAGTCGAAAACCGATCTCGCTCACATCCTTCCAAAGCAGTCCCTAATTTTTCTACCATCCAAGAACTAGTCGATCGTTACTACAGAGGCGAGGCAAAGGACGCCGCCATTGAGAGCGCCCTCGTTTGTATTTCACAGTTCACTCATTTCTTTGGGTACGATTCTGACTTCCCTACCTGTAAAGTGACCTTCAGATCAAACTGACCTGAGCTTCTTTAGTGCTTTCGAGGAGAGAACACCCTCATATATTCCGCATAATGCAGACGCACGGTTGGTCGGCCTATGTACCGGTTTAATTGCTGCCGCCGCGGTCGCTTCTTCAGATTCCCTTACCGCCCTTCTTCCGCTCGCAGTCGAAGCAGTACGAGTTGCCTTCCGGGCGGGTGCTCTTGTGGGCAAAGTGGCAGATCAGATTGAATGTGACTCTAAGCCTCAGTCATGGTCGACAATCGTGGCGGCGGACGAAAAGTCGGCGCAAGGAGCTTTGGACGCGTTCCACAAAGAGAAGGGCACGTCCCCAACAAACAAGCTGTGGATCAGCGCCTCTTCTGCGACTTCAGTCACCATCAGCGGCCCGCCATCGACAAAGAACTCGCTTTTCGAGGACTCGGAATTCTTCCGCACGCATAAAAACGCCCCAGTCTCCATCTTTGCGCCCTACCACGCGTCACACCTGCATTCACTGGCGGACCTGGACAAGATCCTCCGACCACAAACCAAAGCCATATTCGGCAACACCACAGTCAGATACCCTGTCTGCTCCAGTGTTACTGGCAAACCAATTCCCGCACAGAACGGGTTCGAGCTTCTCCAGGGAGCCCTGAGAGAAATTGTGATTGAGCCGCTCCGATGGGACAAGGTCTTGAAATACTGTGCCTCTGGCAAGGCTGAGGAAGCCAAAGTTTTTGCCGTCGGTCCGACCAACCTCGCCAGCAGCGTCGTTTCCGCCTTGAAAGCCAATACTCCCAAAGTCACTCTCGAGGATCAATCACACTGGGCCACTGTTGCCCCTGCTGGAACGAAACATTCCAAGAAAGAAGCTGATATTGCCATTATTGGATACTCAGGCCGATTCCCTGACGCTGCGGATGCAGAGCTCTTCTGGCAATTGCTCGAGAACGGTCTCGATGTCCACCGACCAGTTCCTCCGGACAGGTTCCCAGTCGATTCCCACACTGACCCGACATCGAAGAAGAAGAATACATCGCACACTCCCTTCGGGAACTTCATTGAGAAACCCGGCCTATTTGATGCTAGATTCTTCAATATGTCCCCGCGAGAGGCTGCACAGACCGATCCCATGCAAAGACTGATGCTGGCCACTGGCTACGAGGCGATGGAAATGGCTGGCATCGTGCCAGGTCGAACCCCGTCCACCAAACACGACCGAATCGGTACTTTCTACGGCCAAACCTCCGACGATTGGCGTGAAGTCAACGCCGCCCAGGACATTGATACATACTTCATTTCCGGGGGCGTACGTGCCTTTGGTCCAGGTCGTATCAACTACTTTTTTAAGTTCTCTGGACCTAGCTTTTCGGTTGATACCGCATGCTCTTCCAGCTTTGCTGCTATGAATGTTGCCATCACGTCGCTCCGAGCAAACGAGTGTGACACAGCATTCACCGGTGGTGCCAATGTGGTCACCAATTCCGACATTTTCTCCGGACTCAGCAGGGGTCACTTCCTGTCAAGGACAGGATCATGCAAAACTTGGGATAACGACGCCGATGGTTACTGCCGAGGTGATGGCGTCTGCACAGTCATTATGAAACGGCTGGAAGATGCTCTTGCCGACCGCGACCCGATCTTGGGTGTTATTCGCGGAATTGGCACAAACCACTCGGCAGAAGCCGTTTCGATCACGCATCCTTGTGCGGAGAACCAGGCCTTCTTGTTCGACAAGGTGCTCAAGGAATGCAACGTCCACTGCAATGATGTCAACTACGTGGAGATGCACGGAACTGGTACACAGGCGGGAGACGGTATCGAAATGGAATCGGTGTCCTCGGTGTTCGCACCCCGGCAAGGTCGCAGACGACCAGATCAGCCATTGTACGTCGGAGCTGTCAAATCCAACATTGGTCATGGTGAGGCCGTTTCGGGCGTCTCTGCGCTCATCAAGGTTCTTCTGATGCTCCAGAAGAGCAAGATCCCGCCTCACACCGGCATCAAGAAGCAAATGAACAAGAACTTCGCACCTGACCTGAAGGAGCGCAACGTCAACATCGCTTTCCAGACCACGCCATTCCTTCGACCTGCTGGTGGCAAGCGTACTGTGTTTATCAACAACTTTAGTGCGGCTGGTGGTAACACAGCTATGCTTTTGCAGGATGGTCCTGAAGTTCCCAAGGAGCCGACCTCGGATCCTCGATCCACTCAAGTGGTTACCGTCTCCGCGAAGTCCTTGGCTGCTTTCAAGAAAACAATTGCCAAATACGAAGAGTATCTGAACAAGAACTCCAATGTCGGTCTTACCGACCTGGCTTACACCGTGACTGCTCGCCGAGCACACTACAACTATCGTGCTGCCTTCCCTGTGCAGTCCATCGCCCAACTGCAGGCTGCCTTGAAAGCCACTCAAGATCAGACCCACAACCCCATCCCTCTCGCCTCACCTCAGATTGCAATGGCATTCACCGGTCAAGGTTCGCAGTACACCGGCATGGGTCAGAAGCTCTTTGAGACTTCCAAGCAATTCCGTGGCGACATTGAGGAATTCAACGACATCGCTCTGCGTCAGGGTCTGCCGTCGATCATGCCTCTCATCGACGGATCAACTGAGGTTCAGCATCTGCCACCCACAGTGGTTCAGCTCGGAATGTGTTGTATCCAAATGGCTCTCACACGTCTTTGGGCAACATGGGGTGTTACTCCAAGTGTTGTGATTGGTCACTCGTTGGGCGAGTATGCTGCCCTCCAAGCTGCCGGGGTTCTGTCTGTTGCCGACACCATCTATCTGGTCGGAAAGCGTGCCCAGCTCCTGGAGCAGAAATGCACTGCAGGCACTCATGCCATGCTGGCTGTCCGATCACCAGTGGCGGGTCTGCAAGATGTCGTCGCCAACAGCCAAGGAAAGATTGAGATTGCTTGCATTAACGGTGTCTCCGATACTGTGCTCTCTGGCACTATGGGCGACATCGACGCAGTTGCTCAAAAGTTGGCTGATGCTGGCCAGAAATGCACTAAGCTTAAGTTGCCGTTTGCATTCCACTCGTCTCAAGTCGATCCCATTCTCGCAGACTTTGAGAAGTTGGCATCGTCAATCAAATATCACCCGCCTCGGGTTCCAGTCATCTCCCCTCTATTGAGCGACATCGTCAACGTCGGCGGCGTGTTCGACGCCTTCTACCTCAGCAGACATTGCCGCAAGACCGTCGACTTTGTTGGTGGCCTCTCTGCTGGTATGTCCACTGCCACAATCAGTGACACCTCTCTGTGGCTCGAAGTTGGCGGTCATCCTCTGTGCGCTAGCATGATTAAATCCTGCCTGTCTGCACCAACACTGCCGACCATGCGCCGTGACGAAGATCCATGGAAGATCATCTCGACATCCATGGCTGGTCTGTACACTGCTGGTAAGGCTCTCAATTGGGATGCCTTTCACAAGGAGAACGAGGCTCTTCGCGTCCTGAACAATTTGCCATCCTACGGTTTTGATGAAAAGAATTATTGGCTCCAATACACTGGGGATTGGCTATTGTACAAGGGCGATTACCCCAAGGCCATTGCTCCTGCCGCCGCGGCTCCTGTGGCAGCTGGTCCAGCGAAGGCTAGGAAGTACCTCTCCACTGCTGTGCAAGGCATTGTCTCAGAAGAAGTTAAGGGCAAGGTTGCAACCATCATCGCTGAGTCCGACTTCTCGCATCCCAAATTGTTCCCTGTCGTTGCAGGCCATTTGGTTAATGGCAGTGGCCTATGCCCATCGACATTGTACGCTGATATGGCGTACACCTTGTGCAACTATGGTGTGAACCTGATCAAACCTGGTGAAAAAGTTGACATCAACATTGGCACCATGGACAATCCTGCCCCCCTGTTGCTCAAGAACATCAATGAACCAGAAAGCCAAATTGTGCGCATGACCATGAAGATTGATCTCGACTCCAGAAAGGCAGACTTCACTGTCACCACCAACAATGGTAAGAAGGATGTCATCCACGCCAAATGCGTTCTTCGTTTCGAAGATGCCGCTGCCTGGAAGGAAGAGTGGAACAAGGTATCTTACCTCGTACAATCCAGAATCGACATGCTCAAGCACAAGATGGAAAATGGCGAGGCGGACAAGGTCAGCCGCTCGATGGCCTACAAACTCTTTGGTGCTTTGGTCGACTACTCTGATGTCTTCCAGGGCATGCAGAGCGTAATCTTCGACGGTCCGGAGTTTGAGGCAACTAGCAACATTAAATTCCGCGCTGGTCCCAACGATGGTGACTTTTACTTCAGCCCGTACTTTATCGACAGCGCCTGCCATCTATCCGGTTTCACAGTCAACGCCACTGTCAACCGTATGGAGGAATGCTACATCTCACACGGGTGGGGCAGCCTTCGATTCCTTGCTCCGCTCGAGCACGACAAGCAGTACTTTGCCTACGTCAAGATGCAGCCTGTTGCGGGAAGCAAGATGCGAGCTGGCGATGTCTATGTCTTCAACTCAAGCAAGGAAATTGTTGGTGTCGCCGGAGCTGTTCGCTTCCAATGCATTCCTCGCAAGTTGATGGATGTCATGATGCCCAAGCCGAAGGCCGGTGCTAAGGCTGCTGCTTCTCCAGCCTCTGCTCCTGTCAAGGAGTCTCGTGCTGTCAAGGCTCCCACCCCGGTTGATTCTGCTGCTCCGTCTCGCATCGAACTGCCAGCTCCCAAGGTGAAGGCCAAGAAACCTGCCAAGACCCCTAAGGTCAAGGCTCCTGCACCTTCCAAGTCTGCACCTTCCTCTGGAAGCCTTGTCGTTCGCGCTTTCGACATCATCGCCAAGGAGATCGATGTTGATCAATCTGAACTGAATGATGACATCCAATGGGCCGATATGGGCGTGGACAGCCTTATGTCCTTGACCATCTCTGGTAAATTCCGTGAAGATCTTGACCTCGAGGTTGACAACACCCTCTTCACTGATCACGCCTCGGTTGGTGCTCTTCGCAAGCACCTGAGCGGCATGTCAGTACCAGAAGCAGCTACAGGTGGTGATGCTAGCTCCGTCGAATCGACCGACTCCGGCTCTGAAAGCGACGACGAAACTGTCGAGTCTGGCATCACGACCCCAGAGACAGAGGACTTCCCAGCCAAGCCACAAGATCAAGGCAAATCTGCTGCCGTCGAAGCTGTGGCCCAAGCACCGTCAGCTGCGGGTGGTGATATGATCGAAACCATTCGACAGGTTATTGCCCAGGAAATGGAGATGGATCTCGCCGAGATCACTGAGACAACTGATCTTAGTAACTTGGGTATGGACTCTTTGATGGCTCTCACCGTACTCGGAAAGCTCCGCGAGGATCACGACATCGATCTCGATCCCACGATTCTTGCTGACAACCCGTCTCTTGGTCATTTGCGAAAGGCCCTTGGTCTCGAAAAGCCCAAGGTTGCCCCTCCTACAGCTCAGAAGCACGAAGTCAGAACCAGCGTTGTTGTTGCCCCCGCTGCTCCTCCAGTCGAAGTGGTTGTTCAAATGCCTCCTGCTACCTCGGTGTTGCTCCAAGGTAACCCCAAGACAGCCACCAAGAACCTTTTCTTGTTCCCTGACGGCTCGGGCTCGGCCACCTCGTACGTCTCGATCCCGGCCATCGACAGCAAGAACTTGGCAGTCTACGGTCTCAACTGCCCCTTCATGAAGGATCCCACTAGCTACACTTGTGGTATTGAAGGTGTTTCCAAGCTGTACCTCGAGGAAGTGATGCGCCGACAGCCGATGGGCCCTTACATTCTCGGTGGTTGGTCAGCTGGAGGTGTTGTCGCCTACGAAGTCACCCGACAGCTCAGTGACTTGCAGAAGCTGCATCCGGACAGGAACTACACTGTAGAGAAGTTGATTCTGATCGACTCGCCCTGCCCCATCCGGCTCGAGCCCCTGCCAGCCCGTCTGCACCACTTCTTTGACGAGATCGGTCTTCTGGGAACTGGTACTGGCAAGACCCCTAACTGGCTGTTGCCTCACTTCGAGTACAGCATCAAGGCATTGACTGCCTACCGACCAGAATTGAAGTCGACTCACGATTTCAAGGCGCCTCCAACGTTGTTAATCTGGGCAACGGACGGTGTCTGTGGCAAGCCAGGCGACCCACGACCTCCGCCACAAGCGGATGATCCCAAGAGCATGAAGTGGCTCTTGGAGAACCGAACTGACTTCGGCCCCAACGGCTGGGACAAACTTTTGGGACTGGATGTCTGTAAGATGGTCACGGTGGTCGGGAACCACTTCACGATGATGAAGCCTCCAGTGGTAAGTGAAAGGCTTCCCCAGCACGAAGCACTGTACATGTTCTGACTATTCTACAGGCCAAGGGCGTTGGTCAATTCATCCGCGAGGCTCTCTTGTCTTAAGGGAGACATTCGATGCGTTCACTGTCACGACATGACTACATTTTTCAACAGCTTCTCACGCAAGGACAGATACCTGATAGAAAGAGCTAGGGGTGGGCTTTAATTGCTGGATAGACTTTGCTTTTTCCTTACGCGTGTGCTTCTTGCACCCTTGTTCCAAAAACCGTACATAGTTGGGGGGGTTTCTTCACAACACAGCGTTGATAACGTTGGTTTTGCTGGGCATTTTCAGATGCGTTGGGAGAATCGATCACGGGACTGTGATGGGACTGTTCACTTTGCGGGTTGTGATTTGGAAAGTCATGGGAGGCGTTCATGGCGGAATATGGGCGATGGTGATGGGTGATGGCGATGCGAGTGATTTTCCAGCGTGTCTTTTTTTCCTAGTTGTGTCCATGGGCTATTGTTACACCCGTGCCAAATGTTATTCCTAGCTTTTTCTCCATGCTGTTTCTTTGTAGTTTCAATGCGTATTACTTGTCGCAATGTTTGCTATGTGAGATGGCGACCTACCCACCCGTGAAAGTTGGTGCAGGCGCTGACCCATCATACTTGCATATACGAGACTTGGTTGATTCATGTGATCTGCAGCCTCGCCACGAGTTTGATATTATCTGAGATCGACTGTCTACATGATTCCGCAAGGCAAGCCTAGCCTTGTCCAATTACTCTTGCACTTACTCTTGCACTAACTCTTGGACTCTCCCCCTTTCTTTTTGCGGGTTGTTTGGCCCGTCCCTTGATCGTGTATGTGTGCGTGCGCGGCATGTGTGTGTTGTGGGTACGCGTGGCATGTGCGCGTGTGTGTAGGTGGCGAGGGCGTGTGCGGAAAGTAGGCGGTTCTCCAGACTCGGTCCCGCTGCACTCTACACCAGTGGTTAGTATTACCGCGGTGTGGAATACATACATACCGGCTACGTACCTGGAACGGAGTTGATGACGAAGGCGAATGGGGATGGAATGGGTTATTGATAGGCGATGACGTAGCGGTGCCGCGCTGGATATGGTACTGTATCTGCTTGGGCACCGGGGATGAGATAGGATGGCACAACAATGGGACAAGACGACAGGAGAGTAATAATGGCAATGCGGTGCGCCAAACTAAGAATAAGCACGCTACGAGTTCCTGGGAGGAGTACCTTTGTCCGTAAGGCAAGAATCTCATTATGCCCGGTAATTTACGTGCCGTTAGCATTTCCACTTATGCTTCTGTCGTCCATCGTCTCGGTCTCCCCTTGTCGAACTATCATTTCACATTGTCTCATCATCCGTTGGATCGTCACGCCGGTACGAGTACATACATACATGCATACATACATACATACACACACACATATATATATAGAATCAATCAATCAATCAATGACGCGAAGACAAGCAGAACCAGGACTAGGAGTCTAGGACTAGGACTAGAGAACAAGGGCAAGGGTTTAATGGAATGGCATCTCAATCATTCGATGGAATTGGACACGGGGGTGGGCATTCCATGTCGACGTTGTCCAAGCTCTCCCCGTTCAAGATCTAAATGTGAGACATGCATGCATTAGCTAGTGTGTGGGTGAGTACCTACAAACAAGGACAAATAGGTGGGTGAGCGAGTATGTGAGGGACCAAGGTACTTCTTCCCTTGCTTAGACTCGCAAGTACTCCATCACATGTTACACACCTAATCGTTGACGACAATAACCTCCCTTTCGCTCCAACCGTTGTTGTTCCGTGAGATCCATCGCCATGTGGAAAAGAGTACGAGCATGTGGAGGAACACCTAAGGTAGGTAGATGCCTCAGCCCACGGGCAGATTGGCAGGTACCTTGTACCATCGCATGTCCACCTGCTATTTGCTATCAGCATCACATCCCCTCGGCAAGACGGCTAGACGGCTATTCGGCAACTAATACGTCTTGCGAGCCAACTGGCCAGGAATTGTATACCAACATGACAGACGGTAGTGAGTGACTACAATAGTCCGGACCGTTCCTCGTTGGCAAATGGGTGCTAAAATAGATAGCCCCGTACAATTTGGTCGGTTGACTATACCTCCCGCAACTCCCGAGACGGACTTTCAGCCCGACATCTTGAAATATATGCCGCTTGCACGACCATGAGTACATGCACGATGCTCAATTAGAGGCTCAGTTTGTGCTTGATTGAACTACCCTTCTGCTCGGCTGCCCCTCCAACATGTGCATATCCTCGGCGGCCCCTCTTGATGACACCGTTGCTGCGTGTCTTTATGCTTTGCCGAGACAAGGACAATGTTGATGCCCATTGCCTTTCGCAAAGTGTTGAGAGGTTTTGATGAGAAAGTCGAGACCGTGGAGCAGAGCATCACAACTCAAATCCCCCCAAATAAGGTCGCGAGGGACCTGATGAGGTGTGTCTCGGGGGGAGGGCTTGCTTGACAAGTGCTGTGTGCCTCATCTCCTTGAAACGATGGTTGGCGTATTTCCGACCAACCCACTTTGTGTTATCATCCAAACAAAAAGCCATATTCAGCGCTTGGCGGGTATATCTCTGTCCAAGGCACCCAGGACCTGTCGACTTCAACCTCTGCCTTGCCGAGCATCGCCATGTCATTCCTAGCCCAAACACCTCTCATGAACTCTAAGCCCGAATCAAAGATCCAGATCCCTGTTTTCTGCTTCCACCGCTCAGAGTACTCGATGGCGATTTTTCTGAGCGCCCACTCGGCACTTGACATTTCGCACCCAGCCAGGACAATGGGCATCAGGCACTGCTTCTGAAAGTTGCTGTGTGAGGGAATGTTTGCCACCATGGTGAGAATCTGAACAGCCACCGAGCGTGGCTCAAGGCCCCACTCGGCACCATCGTCGAGCAACGTGAACGTGTCTATGTCAGTGAGGTGATCTGTTGCCGCCACATCGTAAATATGGAATTGCGGAAACACCCGGGCCAAATATAACAGCAGGCCCAACCGCCAGACTTCGGACATAAGGGCCTGATATTTCCCTTGCTTCATGCTGATCTCTGTACTGAGAATATTCTTCCGAAACACTTCAAGTGCTTCTGGGTCTGCAGATTCAATATGGGCGGCTGCAACAGCGAGACCGTGCATATCGAGGAACATGCCGTCTGGAAGCCCGTTGAGACCCAGAATGCTCCACTCGCCATCGTCTTGCCACGCCATGAGGGCCTCGATATAACTCCTCGGAAACGTAGGTCCGCACCTGGAAATCAACGCGGCATTGACATCGTACCAGATCAACATGGCGATCTGACTTCGAAGGTTGGGCCGTGATTCCGCCAGGCGGATGCCGCCATGAGATTCAAGGATGCGGTATGCGCCGCGCAAGTGGATGTTCCAGTTAGACACACCTGTTTCGGCATAATCGAGGCCGATAAGCAGAAGCACAGTACTTAGGCCACACTCGAAAGAGAGATCGTTCAGGTGCGACGCGAAGATAGACAACGCTTGAGATTTGAGGCGCAAGATCGAAGAACTCTCGGGTTTTCTGTCAAAGTGCGCTTGTTGACGCTTTGCGAGAGCTGCCGCGGCATAGCGCACCGAAGGGAAGTCGTCGTGGATTGAAGGAAGGCAGGCTCGCCAAGGGTTGACATTCACCGGGAAGGTGAGCGTGGTGTTGGCAAAACAGGAATGGAAGAATGACAACGCATACTCGATATCTCCCGGGTGGCGGCTCACTTGCGGGCAGAGAATGAGTTCATGGTGATGGCCACTGTCAACCAGAGGAGGCGTGCTGGGACTTATGGCCGACCAGGTTGAGGATGGAGAGGCAGACGAAACAGATTCTCCGCCACTCGAGACAGTCGTGCCGACCAAGGATTCTGCTGTGTTGGAAACCGCAATGCTTATCTCGCTTGATCTCGAGTTGTTCCTCGATCTTTGTCTCGATCGCGTCTGTGACACTGTTTGGTCGACAAAGGTGTAGGACGAAGGCCGAGGGAGTGGCATGGCCGGCTCCTCCGGTTGGACTTCTTTTGCACTTTCGGGCAACTCCTTGGGTCGCCGTTTCCCAACTCTCAAGGTGCCTCTCTCCCAGTTCAGTTGTTGTACATATCCGGCACATATCACGCCGTCAGCAAGACAGGCACTGCACCGAGGCCGCCGCCGATCACAAGAACGGCGGAGCGAGGAGCACGTGTGGCAGTCGGACTTTGCCCATCCTAACGAGTTGGTCCTCTTACCGGTCAAGTGATTCAAGCGCGTCGCCGTGGTCGAACAGGTGGTTACAGACATGATTGCCGTGGTAACACTCGAGGCTGGGGAGGACGAGAAGAAGTATGGCGTCGTCAGTCCGGAGTGAGTGGTTGATAGGTACCAAGGCGTATCAAGTAGGTTGATAAGAGCAGCCCCGCACGCAGAGATTAGGTTAGATCCAGACCCTATCAGGCCGACCAATCAGATAGCTGCATATCCTGAGTCGTGTATCAGATCATGTGATCCGGATATGACTCGCGTCTTCCACTTCCGCTCTTCACCTCAACTTCCTTGCTCAATCTTAGAGTTACCCTCTGCCATGCTATTACATAGTTACCCTTTGCGAATGCAACAATGCGGTGCATACACCATCTCTCCGCTCATGTCCCGCGTCCATCATGCTGTCGATCTTGACATCTGGACCATTCGCCCCTCTAATGACACCGGCTTCTCTCTTAGGCATCCTGCACAATGTAATCGTTTTGCCGTTTTTGGGTTGGCCGTTACCACCCAAAACTCAGTCTCGACAAACTGCAGAGTCACAGATCCATTTCAGTAAGCTCGCTTCAGATCATTAATCGTGAGCTTACACCCGCCACTCAATCCGCTTGGTGTAATATGCATCCGTCATGGGGCAAGGTAAGTGGATGCAGGCGATCGGCGTACTGAGCCATCTCTCGCATATAAGGAAGCCTTGTCTCCCAGAAGATTGCTTTCTCAGTACTTCCTCTTAAAAGACATATCTTGTTTCGAGGTACGCTCATTACCGTCCGTTGTTCCAACTTCCAACATGGCTGCATCCCATGTTTGGGTCTCCGAGCTCCAGGCACTCGTGGAGGGTGATGAGCTAGCACTACCAAGCTCTCAACTGTATATTGAAGAATCCAAAACATGGGCGGCACAAAGAAATCTGAATCCGAAAGTCCTTGTTCGCCCCAAATCGGTGGAGCGACTCTCACAGGTCCTGGCATATTTAAACGACTCTTCGTTGGACTTTGCAGTCAGGTCAGGGGGCGTTGGCTCAAGCTCTGCGAAGGATGTATTGATCAGTCTTGCCGCGTTCAACGGGTTCGAATTCGACTCTCATACAGAGACTATCACCGTCGGCGCTGGCCAGACATGGGGAGAGGCGGATCAGAAGCTTGAGAAAGATGGCCCGGGCTACGCAGGTGAGAAACTTTCGTTGAATCTCGGAAATTGTGTTTCTCATATCCATCAGCTTTGAGCGCAAGATGCACCTTTGTCGGGGTTGGCGGCAGCACTATAGCAGGCGGTATCTCTTGGGCGTCTTCGGAATTCGGGCTTGCTTCTGATCCGCAAAATCTGCTCGACGCACAGGTCGTCACCAATGATGGGCGAGTATTGTGGGCTTCGAAAGAACCGGAATTGCTGTGGGCTATTCGTGGCGGAGGAGGCGGCTTTGCCGGCAGGTTCACCCACACTGTGCCTCTCAATCTGATATATCTAACACCCTCGAGCAGTCGTCGTTGCGTTGAAGTTGCGAGTGCACAAATACACTAGTTCAATCTACACGGGAAGTATTATCTTCCCGAACGACTCGCTCGCGGAACTGGCCAAAGCTGTGTCGGATTTCACACGCCGAACACGAGATCCGAAGATGGCCATGCATGTCTTTTGTCTAGATCTAGCCCATGCGGCTCTTACCGGTCAAAATCCTGCTGCGGGCATCATGATCGTAGTCTACGATGCCAACGGCGAAGCCCATGGCCGCAGCGACGAAGGCTTCGGCTGGGCATTGGGAGTTAAGGGTGCAGTGGATAAGACACGGACCATGACTTTCGCTAAAGCGAATCGGCAGCAAGGTAAGGGGCCCTCGGTCTGTTATACTCAACACTGACAGTTCTCCGTGCCAGACAACCTCAGAGTGGCTATGGGCATGACGAACAGCTGGATGTCCGGCGCAACGATTCCCAACCTGGACGAAGAGATCATTTTTCGCTCTTGGAAGTGGTTCAACGAACTACTTGCTAAAGATCCCCGACAGAGCGCTGGGGCATTCGTATTGATCGAGGTCATGCAGACTGTACGTATTATCGAGCCTCTCTCTATATCTCTGTTGTTTTCCAACATCATTCTGAATATGCAACAATCAAAAAGCCCGCATTCTCCTCCATTTCCTCTCGCCAAGACACCGCCTGGCCGCACACGGCCAACAGACACATCCTCCAGCTCGGCACCGGCTCGTTTCCGGGCTCCCCCGAGTCCGATGCTCTGTCGCTCAAGGCCCTCGCGGAAGCGCCTTTCGAGATCAGCCCGACCCACACCAAGGCGGACTATATCCCAAATTTCATCAATTCTTTCAATGACATTGAAGCAGTATGTCTCGCCCCTTAGTTGCATTCTTCACACAACCATATATGTGTGCGCACGATTACTGACCCGGACTGACTAACCGACTCGGTTGTGGAACAGATATTTGGGGAGAATTACCCCCTCTTAAAGGAGATCAAGAAGAAGTATGATCCGCACGGGAGGCTCGGGGGCCACTTTGCTTGAGAATGGGATGGCAAGGGCCACTTTCATGGAATAAAGGCGCAGACCACCCAGCTTTACTGGCGATGGTAATAGGACATCTCGATCCTTGCTCCTTGCCCGGGGACTACCTCTCCACCGCGTTTCCATGGGTGCCCAGCCATAACGGCCTTGCTTAGTCGTCTAGTTATAGATCTAGGATGGTCCCTTTGAATCTATATAATCCAGTCATTCTCCTCAGTCCAGCTGTCGAGCCAACCAGCCAGCGCGCCATTGTGACGAGACCAGCCAACCGACCCGTGACTGATTTACGGCATGATGCCCTTTTCAATGACCTCGCCGACCGTCTTGGCATCGACGGCGACGCCCTTCTGCGCGATCATCTCCTTCTGGTGCTCGCGCTCGATCTGCTCGTCGGCGACGAGACCCTCGATGCGGGCGCGCTCCTCCCACCGGTGTGGCACGATGACGTTCTCCTCGAGGAAGTAGTTTGTGTCCTTGACGCAGAACCAGATGATGCCCAGCAGGAACACCAGCCCCACGGCGTACAGCGTGAACTGTACGATCAACTGGTCGATGTACGACACGTTTTTCGAGTCCAGCACGAACGAGATGCACATGCCCAGCGAGGTCGTGCCCTTGAACAGCCCCGCCAGCCGCGAGCACTGCACCGGGTCGTTGGTCAGCGCGCCCAACGTCCACTGGACCACAATTTGGTAGGTCGCGTAGATGATTCCTAGAGTTTTTTGAGGTTTGGTGTTAGTGGGTCACTCGGAAGTTTTGTGTTTTGTGACAAGAGAGGAGAAATGATGGGACTCTTGTGGAACCTATCGTTGGCGGTGGCTTGATATCAAAGAGGCTTACCGGATAGCAGGTACAGAACAAACCCGGCGCCAAACCCGCTGTCAGACCAGTCGACCCCCGGGGGGGTGTTGGTCTGCCGGTTGATGTCGTTGTGCGTGATCCACGCAGCCAGCCCAGCATTGGTGGCAAGGCAAATCGTGCCGACGATGATGGCGCCGATCATGCCACGAGTCCGGCGCGACTTGATATAGTTCGTGTCCATGACGTACGCTAGGAGCAGCGGACACGGCATCATGATGAACTGGAACATGACATTGTTGAGCGATCGCGTCCGCAGGTTGAAGTAGTATCCGTTGATGCTGGAGAGGAGAGCCTGGATTTTTATTCCCTTGTGAGCGAGAGAGAGTCTTGCCCGCCATGTTCTTGTGCCCAAGAAGGGGAAATGGGAAGAGAATTGGTAAGAAGGAGGGGAAAGACTCACGAGGTTCATCTCAGCAACAAAGATGCCTGGAATCAAGGCGAGGATCTTGAAATCGGTGAACCACAGGATGAGACCCTTGACTTCGTCCATGACTCGTGGCTGCGTAAAGATGGCGATGTGGGTGCCGTCATCGCGGACAACCTTCCTGGGCGAAATGATGAAGACCAGTGCAATCACAATGGCCATGCACATGATGACGATGCTGTCCCCATGAGCTGGTAAGAAGAAAAGTCTCTCTCTGAGCAAGAAAGGCCACGTGAGACTCACAAGACAGTATAGACTGCGTTGGACACACCCGTGGACTCGGTCTGGTGGAAGTTGACCCCGAAGGCGATCAGACTGCCGATAGTGCCGCCAAAGGATGTAAAGACCCATTGCCAGGTTATAAACTGTGAGGAGTCAGGATTGAATCGCAACCGGGCACAATTTGGGCATGAGTTCAAACTTACCAGAGCCTTCTGGTCTTCTTCAGCGTAGGCAAATTGTACAAACCCGGCCGCCGTCCAGAGACAGCCGGCGGTCACACCGAGCGATGCGCCAGCAAAGTACGGGAACCAAGAGTGACCCTGTCGGTCAAAGTACCAGAGGCCACCCACATACAGAGGGTAGCCAAGAGCTCCAAAGGCCATGGTCAACTTTGGTCCGACTAAGTTGAGAATGGCACCTCCGATCCAGCCGAAGAGGCAGAAAAGTCCATACAGCACCGCATTGGTTGTAGAGGCCACTGTCTGCGACGAAGGACGTCCACCACCGGCACCGAGACCTGTCAACGCCAGGTAGATACCAGGGAGGCAGAAGAGGATGGCACCGACCACGAAATTTTGGTTGATCGGTTTGTTCAGTCGAAACTTGCCCTTCCCTAGGGAAGGCTCTATGAACTTCATGGCGGGCGGTCGGTTGGTTTTGGGACTCAGTTACGACTTGATGCTTGTCGCTCCGGCAAAGGAGGAGACCTTGGGTTTTTGCTCGATGTCGCGTACTGTGCGGACTTGGAGAAGAAATTCGGATTCAGGCGTCAACGCGGAAGGAAAGGAGCAACATTCACGGCCTTATATCTCCCATTCGCCTTGCACAGAGGTTCCGGCTTGTCGCAGTCATCCTTCCGGGTCAGTCGTTGCCGGGAAGGCTATGAACGCAAGGATATCAAATGTTGATTATCTCGCTCGCGGCCACTGGTGATAGCGGAAGGTTGCAAGCATACTCTTATCGGCTTCGTTCGTCCATCGACCGTAGTCTAGTCCCCTTGTTCATGCCGCTGATGTGCGTCTCGAAATCCGTGATCCGGCCTCATCATGCGGAGCGGAACGATTTGATACAAGGTAGTAGGCCTCACCAGCCGGGAGATCGACGTTGTAAGACGCAGCCACCCAGCAGCGGGTGCCAATGACTGTAAAAGAGCGGCAACCGGCGCCAGGGGTTTGGGAACTGAATACGATAAAGATGAGCCAATGGTGCGGTGACAGGGTCCACTCGAGGGATAACGCTGCATCGAGGGATCAGCCCTCATCTCTCTTTCCTAACCTGGCGTTTCCCTTGAGGCAGTTCTCTGATCGACATCAGCGAAAAAACAACACGTTCCCGTCCCTGAATATTTGTGAATGCCTCTGATCTGCATCTCGGAGGCGCCATTGGTGATGACAGTGCAAAAGATCCAGATACCAAGGCGCGGCCTTTTGCCGGTCGCGATACTCCGCTTCTTGTCTATCTCGGTCTCTGTACAGATTGAGATGTTATCTTAGCATTGCGCGTTGCACAAGAGAGGGGCCAGCTCAGCGGCAGGAGGCTTCGTCAGCTGGAAATATGGTAGATATCCAGGCATTGTGCTGGGAACTCCTTTCGCTCTGTTGCCAACAGAAGACATACTGGTCAAGTCAGTTACATCTTGCCAACCGGAGTACTCAGGCTCCTTGAACGTAGGACAGACCATCACTTCACTCCCGTTCCGCTCGCAACAATGATTTCAAAACCGTGGGTTGAAAAAGCCAAAAGCGCGCGCGACTATCGCGACGAGACTCTGAGCAAAGTTGATCCTCCGCTTGAGCCTCTCCCAGATCCTCTACCACTTTCCTCTCAAGATTTACCCAAGAAGTATCTCACGCCACGTGAATATGAACTCACCCAGAATTATGACGCGATTGAGCTCCTCGAGATGCTGCGGAGCAAGAAGCTCACGTCGGAAGAGCTGACCAGGGCATTCTTGCGGAGGGCTGCTCTGGCTCAGTACGCGGTATGCAATATTTTCCTGCGCTGGAGTTGCTGACCCATCGATACTGAGTGACGGTGCCTGTTGCAGGTCAATTGCGTGACTGAATTGATGTGGGACGAGGCTGTTGAGAGGGCCAAGTATCTCGACTCCCTCCCTGAACCTATCGGTCCGCTTCATGGGCTCCCCATCTCAGTAAGTGAAAGACCAGTGCTGCGTCGGCAGGGTAGACACTGACCTGTGCTCATAGGTCAAAGAGCATCATGGGATGAATGGGAAGACCAACCACGCTTCCTATGTGGCGTGGATTGGCCAGCCTTGCGACCGAAATCCGCTGAACGATTACTTGTATGATGCTGGTTGCGTCTTTTACGTTCGGACCACCGGCCCTCAGACATTGATGGCTCTTGAATGCGAAAACAATATTTATGGACGAACTGTCAATCCCTGGAACCGAAACTTGACACCAGGCGGTAGTAGCGGCGGAGAAGGTGCGCTTGTTGGATTCCGTGGTAGCGTTTGGGTAAGTTGTATTGTTTGCTCGATGCATCCCCTTTCCGCAGCCGGCGTTCTGTTCTCGGGGAACACCTTTGCAATTAATCCCGTATCTCGGCGGAGCGGATCTTGCTAAACATCTGGCAGGGACTTGGCGGAGACATTGGAGGCAGTGTAAGAGCACCAGCCAGCAATTGTGGTGTCTATGGTTTCAAGCCAACCTCGAAACGCATCCCGTTGAAAGGGATGAAGCACACCATGGACGGAAAAGACTCCATCCTCGCAACTTTTGGCCCACTTACCCAGAGCCGGGAGACAATCAATTTGTTCATGAAAGTCATCTTGGACAACGAGCCATGGCGATATGATCCATCTCTCACAGTGAAAAAATGGACCCCGGAAACGCTCACTGAGCCTCTCAAGATTGCCATTGAATGGTCTGATGGAGTGGTCAAACCCCACCCTCCCATGATTCGGGCCTTGAAGGTGGTCGCCGACGCATGTAAAGCGGCAGGGATGGAAGTCGTCGACTGGGAGCCATATAAGCATGACAAGGCCTGGGATATCGTGTCGGGTCTGTATTTCCCAGACGGCGGCGAAATGATTCTGGCGCCGCTGAAAGAGATTGACGAACCCATTCTCCCGCTGATCAAGTTCATCACCGAGGAGCAGCCGAACGTCAAGAATCGGACCATGCACGAATACTGGGATCTGTGCGTTGAAAGAGACAACTACCGCGAGGAATATGCCGCTCACTGGAGTAAAACCGCCGACTCCGGTATGGAAGTTGACGTTATCATCTGTCCTGCAACGCCAGGTGCAGCGCCGCTACATGACACGGCAAGATATTGGCCGTATACCAGTCAATGGAACCTGCTGGACTTCCCAGCAGCTATATTTCCTGTTACGTTTGTGGACGTAGAGAAGGATAAAAAAGAGGAAGGATATGTTCCGATGAACGAGCAAGACAAGTATAACTACGACTTATATGAGCCAGAGAAATGGGTTGGTGCACCGGTAAGCTGTTGCATTGTCGGGAGGAGGAATATGGATGAGAAGGTCATGGCGGCGCTGGAGGCGGTGGAGAAGGCCATGGGGAGAAAATAGATGCTTGGAGCGGTTGCTGTTCAAATCTGGTTTAAGAGAAGAAGTCGGCGATGTCTTCTTCCTAGAGGACGCCATACAGTCGTCGTGTCTCAACCACACAGTTCCAATCTCCCCGTGGTCATCTGACATGAGCCTGGGCATGGAATCTTGAGTAGGTCTAGTCAGGGCCCAGACACACATGCACAGAGTCAAATTAAATCGACTGTACAAGATCGCGAGTCTCTCTTTCCTCTTTCAGCCCGACGACCAGACATGGTTCCCCAAGCTTCTTGGGAACCCCACATCGACCCTGCACCCTGATAAGAACTCTCTTTCCCGAATAGGCCGACGTGAAGACAGCTCGTCAGATTTCCTTGCGGAGAGTGTGTGATCCCCGACGAAACGTGGTGCGATGGGTGACTCTCGGGCCACACCTATGCGTTGCACCGAATTGGTAGGTAAGATTCGAATTCGTTGCGGGGTTCAGCGGACAATTGCTGCCTTCAATGTGTGCTGGTTGGGCAAATGTGGTTTCCTTCTCTTCCCAGCAATTCTTTGTCGATGGTTATATATTGACTTCATATTTTTTGCACCTCCCTGAGCTATCAAAGTTCTCTGTTGCTAGGAGTCTCGTGCATTTCAACAACTTACCGTCACAATGGCGCCCTCCGCCGTCGAAATTCCCATTCCCGTGCGAAAGGCTTTCTCAACGCCGACAAGCACGCCCCAACCGGCCCAGAATGGTGAACTGAAATCCCCATCTTCACCTCTTCCCGAAGTCAAGACCTTCAGTGGCTCAACATGTACGGTGGATGAATTAGTAGCTGCACTTCGAGTGGCTGGCGGCGTAGTCGTTCGCGGTCTGTTGAATGCAGAGGAATTGGCAAGCCTTGAGACGGATACTCGGCCTTGGTTGGACAAGGATACCGCTTGGGGTGAAGGTGGGGGTGCAGGTGAGTTTCACTCGCCGTCATCTAGCCTCGTCTGGTCTGGACATTATCTCGGAATGATCATGGATGGGGAAGCAGTTTTGCAGACGCGCCATTCGACGCTGGTCCAAGTAACACGAATTCTGATATCCCAACTTCTCTATAGGAGACTTCTTCCCCCAAGAAACCCGCCGTGCTTTTGGCATGGTGAGCAAATCCAAAACCTTTGCCGAACGCATAGTCGGCCATCCGCTCTGGATCGGCGTGACGAACGCGTTGTTGACCAGCACTCTGAATTGGAACTGGGTGAGTCGAATTAGTATTCATTTTGAGCTAGCCGAACGCTGACACCAAAGTAGATTGGCGACAAGAACGAGGTCTCTGTGTCTCCCCCTCAGTTGAACAACACTATTGTCTTTAGCATTGGTCCAGGAGCCCGCGATCAAGCGCTGTAAGTACATAATCATTTCGATCGCCGGCCATATCTACCGAGCCAGGCAGATTCATCCTGCTTGATTCGAAATCAGAATTGCTGACTAGAGCTGTGAGGAATCTCCAGGCATCGTGATGACGCAAGTAAGTTTCCCTGCCTGCCCGAAGCAACACTTCACATTCGGAGAGTCGTTGTCGTTAGACTCTGTCAATGTCTCTTGGCTAACAACTCATTTGCTTTGATAGTCCATCATGTCTACCACCCAGCTGCTGCGACACATGAGATAGGCCGTGACGCAGGGATCGGATTCTTCGTTGCAGGAAAGAAGACCACCAAGCGGAACGGAGCTACGCGCTTCATCCCTGGCTCTCATCTCTGGGACTATGCCGCAGGGCCCCCAAATGAGTCACAAACGTTTTATGCGGAGCTTGAACCAGGCGACGGTTTCATGATTCTGAGTGGATGTTTCCACGGTGGCAGCGCGAACGGGACAGATCAACCCAACGAGGCTGGCCAGGTCGTGCCGGAAGAGCGCCTGGTGTACAGCACGTTCATGACAAGGGGTTATTTGAGGCAAGAAGAGAATCAATACTTGGTGAATCCGGTAGAGAAAGTTCGGGAACTGCCGGAATCTCTCCAAGAGCTTGTCGGGTATGGTCTCTCCAAGCCGTTCTTGGGATGGGTGGACCTCAAGGATCCGATGTTGTGGTTGCATCCTGAGAGGCCGAAGAAATCGGGAGATTTGTTTTAATAGTGTCTTTATCCAAGAGTCAGCTGAGGCGGGTAGTAAAGACAATACAGAGCAGCAGTTGACGGAAGCAACGTGCTGAACGGAGCAGGGCGACGGAAAACACAGCCTGCTCGTCAATTGCCCCGACTAGTTACAGCAAGGAGGCGGTGGTAGCTGAAAGCCATATCTCATGTAGAGAAGTACGAGTGGAGATATCTCCTAAGCTCGAATCGCAAAGTATGCCTAGATCGGGCCCAGTTCAAAGAGTCGGAAAAAGGCTAAACAGAAGTCTATGAACGGTGAAGTCGAAGTGCAAGTGCAAAGGAGCAAGTGACCCAAAGTGGCCAAATACAAGCTGATGAGTCAGGGGACGATCACGTGCACTAAGATATGACTCGCCCCAACGCGACTTTTCAAGTCATGGACTACATCTTGTTCCAGTGTCTCAAAAATAACCTGCGAGTTTTGTCTTCTGAAGTGGAAGAACATTCATCTTGGTACCCATTGGCATTGACGGTCTTTCTTGCCGAATACCACAAGCCCCTGTGTGGTCTATCTGCAATATGTGGTACATAGGTTTCTTGTCCCCTCTCCAGCGAACTGTGGGAGACTAACCGCCGCCGAAGTAAACATGTCTTGAACGCTCAAGTGTCCATCCGTTCGCCATGCTGTATGCATGCTTCACGTCGTCTGGATATTCATTTGACTGAGCAATATACTTCAGGCCGAAAATGGTTCGACTGTGCAGAATGCCATGCTGAACAAGAAGACCACCCCCTGTTGCAGAGCTTTGATATGGTAAGTCATCAATCTGTCCCATAAACCATCCTGCTGTGCCTTTTCTGCCATTCCCTAACAAATAGGGATAATTAGACTTTTATATGCAAGAAATGTAAAAAAGCCTTTCGGAAAAACACGAAAGAATGGGAGGAGAGGTGAGTTGCAACGGGCTTTTGTAGCGAAGGACGGCTTGGGGACAGCGCTGATCGTTCCAGTGATGAGTACTGTCCAAACTGCGACAATCATTTTGTCATTGATGCGGTTACCCCGAAGGCGGCTTTGAAGGTCGAGAGCGAGGATACGAGGGTGGATGCGAGGTAAGTGGCTTGCATCTACACATGGGAAACATGTCAAGTTGATGTTGGTGATAGAATGATCAAAGACGAGAGAGTGAGACAGTCGAACCAGCAATCAATATTTGACATCAATGCAGGAACGGAGCGGTTGGGCTGACACCCGACGGAGGAGGACAAGAGCGGAACAGGACTCTCTTCTTCGAAGCAGAGTTGGCCGCAGTAAGGAAAGTGCACTCCGGCTGACGTCTGATGGTGAGCTCAAAACCCCTGATAGCGTTACGCAGGCATCAGGCACCCAGTAAAAGCAACTTGCATTCGAACAAGCTGCAAGTTGGTTACATTTGACTGATTTGATTCATTGCCACAACGCCAGTCGCTCATGCAAAGAACGATTGAAGGGTATTGCCCTGTCTCTTTATTCGTCTCCTCCACCCTCACCCTCAGCTAGCGGCCGAGTCGGGAGAGACGAGGTGGCCGAGCCAGCCGCCCTCGTTCCGGGTTTCTTTTTTGCCTGCTCTTCTTGCTTCTCCGCCTCGATAGTCTTAACATACTGTTCGATCTGTTCAGATGGAAGCATCTCGATCGTCTTTCCAGGGGCCATGATGGCAATTTCAATGTTCTTTGCGCCTGTTTGGACAACTTCAAGAAGGGACTTGACAGTCAGAGAGATGGTCGCCTCGCGGTCCATGTCGTCTTTGTGGTTTCGCTCGAGGAATTCTCGTACGGTTTTGCTTGACCGACCAATGGCGTTCGCTTTCCTGCTCAGAGTCAGGCGGCGATCCTTGGAATCCGAGAGGACGACTTACCAAGCAGAATAGATGCCAGAGGGCTCTGTTTGATACAACTTAGGTTCTTTTTCACCCTTGTCGAACCCGATGATCAGCGTACTGATGCCGAACGGTCTGACACCACCACTCTGAGTAAATCTTTGTTGCACACCAGCCACATATTTCGTAATGTATTCAATAGTAACGGGATCCTCCACTGTAAGTCTGTGTGACTGCGCCTCGACTCTGGCTTTGTCGATTAATATCCGGGCGTCGGCGTTGAGGCCGGCAAAAGCAAGGCAGACATGGGTGTCGATGAGGCCAATCTTGGAGGGTGTGATTCGTGTGTCTTGCAGCTTCATAGCTGATCTCTTTTCGCAGCCTAGCACGACGATGTCTTTGCCTTTGACTCCAACTGCGCAGGTTCCTCGCTTGACTGCTTCCAGAGCATATTCGACTTGAAACACATGACCATCAGGGCTATATTTATTAGCAACAGTAGTGCATAGGAATAGCTGTAGTACCTGAAGACTGCGTTTGTTAGCTATAGGATTCAATGCACCGGAGCGACTTACCGGAAAGAGCACGATCGTAGCCTGAAGCCATGTTGTCTAGACGTGGTTATTATCGCCGTCACAAATTCTCCAGAGACGTCTCCTGGTATTGTTCTTGTCTTGAGATGGTTCGCTGACGACGTATTGCAACGGGATGTTGGAGGTGCTATAAATTCACAGACAGTACGCGGCGCGACCGTTGCCTTGAAAAGTGAAGACCTAGTGCTCCACCCTATTTCTACGGTGAAGTTTCTATCACTATTGCGGAGCATGAAGCTCTCCGATTGGTCGATGATCGAGCTTCGACCATCTCCGGCTCGACGTCAATAACTTCAATCATAGAAACAGTGACCAACCTCTCAGTGCTCTTGTGACCATGGCTTCCATCGCGCCGGCCATGAGGTGGCAAATCCATCGAACTGTGGCTCAGACAGTCCGGGTACCTTTGAGGCAAATTGCGACGACCGCACGACTCCTGCGCCAAGGACCTGGAACTGGCGAGAACTTCGAACAAGCCAACGACCCTACCGCCCGAAAACTGACTCCCAATGTGTCCCAGACAAATGAGACACCGGTTGACGCGAGGGGTAACCAAGATGCCCGCCTTCAAGAGATGGTGCCAGAGGGAGAGAAAGCCAGAATTATGCAGGCCCCGAACAGGGAAAAGCCGTGGTCAAGGAGTCAGCTGCCCAGAGAGCTGGCGATGACGGGTCCAAGATTCGAACAGACGATCATGGAGACGCAGGTAACTTGATGCTATGTATCTTTAGCGCAAGCGCATACTAAGACCAACATCTCTAGCCTCGCCCCTTCGCTGCAATTGAGCTCATCCACAAGCAACCTGTCCGTTGGGTCAAGGGCAAGAGCGTGGCCTGTGACGGTGGTGGTGGCCCTCTAGGGCATCCACGAATTTTTATTAACTTGGACAAACCCCAAGTTTGCTGGTGCACGTATTGCGGTCTACCATATGTAAGGCAATAGGCACGAGATGCTTCCAGGAACATAGGAAAGCTGACCCAGTTAATACACAGGCCAAGGAAGAACACAAGCAACATCTTGAATCATTACCCTCAACGTCTTATCCACTTGCACCCACGGGCGACCCAGCACAAGTCCAAATGCCAGCTACACTCAGTCAAAAGGGCGAGATTCAAGGCCATTATCCATTATTGAAGGGCGAGCATGAGGCAGAGAGTGTAGGTAAAGAGTCATTCGAGCAGAGATGAGTGCTGCATCGGGATCATATGGAGAGGAACCGTGATTGTACATACCGTTGGCTCGAGGGGAACAGAGTGTACGTGGATTTCCCCCGGGAAACTCATTTAACACTCGGATTGGTCTGCATCATGTGGGCAGGATACAAGGCGAAATCTGAAAACCACTAAACACCGTCATTCAGCCTGATTTCCGAGTCGTTGTCAATTGGTTTATGTTGATCTGCTCTTGATGCTGCTTGACTCCTCGGTTGGGAGAATTATCTGCCAGACATGGACGCAATAGGCACCGTGCAATCCAGATCTTTCTGCCTGACAAACACGACGGCGGCTTCCTTGTGGTATCATCTACATAATATCATACGTCCGATGTCGAAGACCCAATAAGCTATGACTGGGCACGTGATAGTCACGTGGCAGTGGTCGGCCTAAGGATGCGCCGCGCTTTGTCAAGAACTCGGTGCCATCGAGTTCCAGATCCGAGTATTCGATCAACAACCCCTTTGAAACTCCTGGATTTCGTCCGAACGGGGCGCTTTAGTGAAGGCTCCCATTCACCTTTCCCCCTTCTGGTTCATCTAACGGCTCATTCTTGAACCCTTGAGTGTGCCGCGTTTGTCAAAGCGCTCGGCTCTTTTGGCCCCGGCCCAGTAACAGTCGCCCAAATGTTAATCCCAACCCCCCACCTTCGTATCCGAAGATGAACTGGATACGCGAAAGTTTTCCAAATTGACTAGTACTCATATATACCACAGATGCCTCATGGACATACGGGCTTCCTTAGATATTTGATCGACTCACATGCTAAAGCTTTAGTTTTTGGGTTGTCTACGTGAGACGCAATGGGTATCCCAGAGAACCAACAGCCGCCAACAACAACAATGCCGCCAGACACCTCGGGCCAGGGGAAGCCTCCCCAAAACAATACGAGCGCGTCCGTATCAGGCTCGTCGACCCCGTCTATCGACATGGCTGAGAAGGCGCCTTTCGAGAAAGAAACAAGCTTGACTATTGACCCTTTGGCCAAAGAAATGGGAAAGGAGGAACAACAAGTGGAAGCTGAAGTTGAGGCTGAAGATACCAGCAACTATCCCCACGGACTGAAGCTCGTAACTCTGATCGTCGCCCTGTGCCTGGCCGTCTTCCTCGTGGCGCTGGATCAAACTATCATCGCCACGGCAATCCCCAAAATCACCGATCGCTTCAACAGCGTCAACGACATTGGCTGGTATGGCAGCGCATACTTCCTGACCAGCACCGCGCTACAGCCGAGCTTTGGCCGCATTTACAAGGTCTTCCAGATCAAATGGGTCTTTCTCTCCGCCATCAGCGTCTTTGAATTGGGTTCCTTAATCTGTGCTGTTGCGCCGTCCAGTACTGCCCTAATTGTCGGGAGGGCAATTGCGGGCATTGGCGTCGGTGGAATCTTCTCAGGATCCTTGGTGATCATTGCTCATTCTCGTAAGCAAATCAAGACAGCTGATGTCAATTTTTCAAGCACTGACGACGGTCGGTACAGTCCCTTTGATCCGCAGGCCTATGGTTTTTGGACTCTTTGGTGCCATGTGGGGATTGGCTAGTGTCGCAGGGCCTTTGCTCGGAGGTGTCTTCACTGACAAAATCTCCTGGCGATGGTGCTTCTATATCAAGTGAGCCAGGAGTTTTCTGAATTTTGCTACTTTCCATGTGTGCTAATGACCTGGTTCAGCCTCCCGATCGGCGGCTTTTCTATACTCGTTGTCCTGCTAGTCCTCCACATCCCTCAAGACCCAAATCTTTCCGAGAAGCCAATCTTCAAGCGGATTCTCGAACTCGACCTCGTTGGCGCGGGGATCCTCATTCCAGGCATCATCTGTCTGTTGTTGGCAGTCCAGTGGGGAGGCTCAACTTACGCATGGAGCAATTCTCGGATCATTGGCCTTTTCGTCGGTGCAGGCTGCCTTCTAGTCCTCTTTGGCATCTCTCAATGGCGTCTGGGTGAAGCGGCCACCATTCCTCCCCGCCTCTTGACCCAACGTACTCTGATGGCCGCCTGTGGGTTCGTTTTCTTTTTCGGGGCCGGCGTCTTTGTACTCATGTACTACCTGCCTCTTTACCTCCAAAGCGTCAAAGGGTCCTCGCCTACACGCTCCGGTATCCAGATCTTGCCCTTGATGCTCTCCACCGTTTTTACTTCCATCCTTGCAGGAATCCTGGTGACCATCATTGGCTATTACACCCCTTTGCTCATCGGCGCTAGTGCGCTCATGACTGTCGGTTACGGCCTGATCAGTACCTTCACGATCGACTCGCCCTTCCGCGAGTGGTTCGGGTATCAGATCTGCGCGGGCCTTGGGGCAGGCTTCGGATTCAATCTCCCTCTTGTGGCGGTCCAGACTGCCTTACCGATGAAGGACATCCCTCAGGGCACCGTTCTGCTCATGTTCTGTCAATCGCTGGGTGGCGCACTTTTCATCGCCGTCGCCCAGTCCGTGTTCTCCAACGGTTTGGTCAGCGGCGTCGCCAAATACGCGCCAGATATTGACTCGCAGCTCCTCATCAACACGGGTGCAACTGCTATCCGCGGCGTGCTGGCTAAGATCGGGATGGAGGATCACCTTCGCCAAGTTATTGAGGCGTATGTATACGCCTTGAAGGATTGCTATCGCGTAACTGTTGCTGTGTCCGGCATTTCGTTCATCGCGGCATGCTTCCTGGAGTGGAAGAGCGTGAAGAAGGCTAAACAGGCAGGCGCAGAGGCCATGCCAGCAATGGGATAGATGTCAGAAAAAGTGTTTGGGACTTCACTGCAATCTCAACTCTGTCATTGATGCATTGTTAGCGGGTCTGGAAATCGCATTGGTAGCGTCACAACGGCTTTCAAGTCTTTCTGATCCCGCTCTCGAGAGCTGTGCCTCTTCTTCCCTGTAGCCCTGGGTTGGGCTGCTTGAATCCACCTACGCGTCAAGAAGCCCATCAGATGTGCCTAAGCGCCTAGAGACCTTCGTTAAGCGGGTAGACGGAACAACGGGAGGTAGATTCCGCGCGGTATTGGTGGCCTGAGTCCAAGAGAACAGCCCAGCCTCTAGACCAACTCTAGAAGTGGTTATCGACCTCTCTTTTCACCTCCACCATCAACAACAACCGAAAGTGCCTTTGCAGCCGACCCTCTGAGCTCTCGGTTTTGGGCTTGGAGATTCGGGACAAAAGTACATACCCACTGCAACATGGCCACCTCCTGAGTGCGCGAAATGTAACGATCTATATACCTCTGGGGCTTGTGGCGTCGCCTCGCGCGGCACTTAGAGTCTCAACCTTGTCACCACCGCCCCAGCACCGATTGTGTATCCAGAACCAAAAAGAAAGGTCTTTGGCTCGATAATCGAACTGTTTCTACGAATGGCCCCGAAATACACTCACGGGCTCTTGAATCACTCAATGGAGTTTTGTGGTTCTAGGGGCTTGGGGGATATATCTCACTCAGGCGGCAAGCTGCTCTTGGTCTAACCTCTTGCACAGCCCATTGTTCTCAATCGGACAGCTTGCATTAGCCGCGCCAACGAGCTTACGACTACCCATCTGGCCCATGTTGGTTTTGCGACTCTTTCTGTGGCTGTGACTCTCTTCTACTCTGTTCTACTCTCTGTCTATCGGGGTAAGCCTTGGCCATTCCTCCCCTCTGGGCTCTCAAGTTGGGGTCTGAACAGAAGTGCAATGGTGTTGTACCCGGGACTGCTCAGGCCCAAGAGTTTTTCTCATCAATATCCACCCTAATCACAGACCCAAAAGGCAACCTGGGGAAACGTTGAAATGCGTTTCTTTATCCGTCCAGAAGCCTCGATCTCGGGGAAGGAACTAAATCCAGAACTGCAAAAGAAGCTGGTCTCTCTGCTCCAACAGACAGAGGCTAGCCATCCCACGCATCTTCGGTCCCATGACTCCCCCACCCCCAAGGAATGGTGGCCTGCTTTAAGCCAAGGCCTGAGCTGCCTGAATCTTCCTCGCAGGCCTGGATTCTGCGTGATTTGCGGCAAACCAGCCACCCTGTTGCTTCCCTGTGCTTCTGCGCATACGTCACAGTCCACACCACAGACTAGGCCCCAGGACTGGAGCCATATAAGTTCCTCAGAAGCTCAAGCCGTGGATCGTTGTCACTCAGGCAACTGCAGCCGCTTCTGATCCCACCCCCTCTCTTGCGCTGATCATGCCCTCTCCACGACCCGAGTATCCACTGACCTTCTCAGACCTAAAGGATAGGAGAGGGAAATGTTGTTACCAACAAGGCAATGATCTGCTTTGTACACAGTGGGTCAACGAAGACGACGGCAAGGAAAGTGACAGACTCATCCAGGACATCGAATGTGGTCGTTTCAAAGATGGAGAACTTGATGATGCCCTATTGAGAACCTTCAACTTGAAATGTTGCAGAAGATGGCACAGAGAGAACAAACAAGATACTGCATTGAAAGAGCAAATATGCCGCCAGTGGAAAGACCAACTCTTTGCGAGAGACTGCGGTGCCACCAACAGCGTGCCTGAGTCTCAAGTATCCTCCCAAACTTCCTCCACCGTCCCTGTGCCCACAACAGGCAACTCAGAGGGACCCGTTACTCGGGCCCGAGCAAGCGGAAAGGACAGCGGTCGCAGAACTTCGCCACAGATTCACACTCCAGAGGATGTTATCACCCGGGAAGGATCCCAATTCGTCCGATACAAGAGGGAACTAACGATGCATACATTGTTGACATCTCCGCTGCCGAAAAAATTTGTGGAATCTGGAATCTTGTACTGTTATACAGCATCAGGGCTTAGCAAAATCGGTGCTACGGGGCGTCAAGTCTCGGACAGAATGACAGAGAAGGAGAGAAAATGCGCCAAATATACGAGACCAGGATATCAGACTGAGACCGTTCCCCACGCCTTTCATCTCGAACGCCTCTCACATCTCGAACTCGAGATCAGAGGGTGCAGATTAAGGGAAATCTCCTGCAAATGCGGCGTAAAACATCGGGAATGGTTCGATGTTACCGACCGTGAGGCGGAAAGGGTCATTTGCGCGTGGGCGGAATGGGCACTACGCGCCCGACCCTACGACGCCGCCGGCCGCTTGTCATGGAAATGGACTGAAATCGTATTTCAGATGGAGCGAGCAGGCATTCCAATTACCGGTCAGGCGCTTATCGACCGGATTTCTCCTGTTGAAGGTGTTCGAGAACGTCGCATCAAGGAGGCCCCGGAGACTCCTGAAGACAGCTTTGGAGGTGATCGGACGCTCCTTAAGTCCTGGGCTGAAGTCGCGGCACCAAAGGCCGCCGAAACCTCGATCGCTGATGATTCTTTTACGCTGGTGGAAACCGAAAAAGCACCAGAGGCCGAAAGAGCAAGCAGCAAAGCAGTCGAGTCTGCAATCGCTGCTGGACCGGAACCAGCGACAACTGCCCAGACCGCTGGCGTGCCCATGGCCGTGGTTCTCACCGAAGACAGATTGGACCGGGTCGCGTTAGACCTGCAGAAGCATCTCGCATTACAACAACAGACCCTCAACAAGCTTGCCGAGTTACTGCAACAATTGCTCGCTGCGTCACGCGAGCGGATTCTTGTGGACACAGCTTCGACTACCGCTCCACTAACACACGTCTCTGTCTCCGATGTTGGGACCATTGCTGCATGAGCCATGTCCAAAGGAGGAAGTTTCCTGTTGATGATATCCATGTCTGAACAATTATGGCGTTATGACCACACCGGATTGAGGGATTGAGGATGTATAAATTCTTGGGACAGGCTTCAGGCGCTGGCGTTCTCAGGGTCGGTCAGCTAGTCTGTCAGCGGACGGCGTCTTTCCTTGTGTATAAGAAATCATCAGCCCAATCGTTTAACAGTGCTAGCTAACAACATGCATACCCACCCTTTACAAACGGGCTTAACCTTTTGATTGATTGATCGTGCTCGGCCGTCCTCCAAAGGCCACGTATATGGAGGTAGGTCCAGAGCACGGAGTCCATACGCACTCTGGACGGAGACGATACCCATGTAAGTGCCTGTGCAGACGGTATAAAGCTCATGCAATAAATACATAATGTACGGCGGATATAATCCCTCGGTCAATGAGTGAAATGGCTTCGAATCTAACTATGTACCTAGTCGGATCGGATACATACATATACATACGGAGTACATACAGCTTAGGCCTTGCCCTTCCTTCCTTCCCGCCGTGCTTCCTTCCACATGAAGTCACCAGACGAACGGGACCAAAAGAGGAATTGAATACCCCGTATGAGAAAGCAAGAAAAATCAAAAAAATCAAGACCAGAATCAAAATAAAGCCAGGACGAGGTCATATTTACGTTCTGCATGCCAGAAGAACCCGGACGAGGTCGTATTATGTGCTGCATGCCAGACAAGACGGACAGAAGAAACCAACCCTGTTTCCCTTCCCCCTTCCTCCTCCTCCTCCTCCTCCTCCTCCTCCTCCACTATTGTCGGTTGTCTAGCGCAGAAGACACAACCCTTTTCAAACCAAAACCAGACCAAGCAAACCCCTGGATGTGAGGACACTCCCCAAAAGCCTTTTGGGCAATGACGGCGATGGCCATATCCTGGTGTTCGTGCGGTCTCGTTCGCTTTGGGTGTTCTTGCTCCCCCCCCCGCCCCAAAGGTTCTGGTGCTCTTTCGCGGTGGTCTGTTCAAACCCCAACAAAAACATTACAACAAATAAAATACTGCTGACCTCCTCCCCTGGGTTGATGTTGCGCCTGTGTTTGTATGTGCATGTTGTGACCACAAATAGACAGGACAGACGCAACACAACGACAGAGACGTGGGAAAGATCTACATTACCCCACGCATTCCCTCCTCTTTTCACCTCAGCTTCCCGTTTAATGCATGCCGTGATGGAGTGCATATTTGTGCCTCTCCAAATCTCTCTTGATACCCGCCTCGTAACTGAGCCTGCCTTCGCCGCCGCCATCTGCGTACGTGGTGTAGGCGTTGCACTCGTCTTGGAAGCCCTGGCTGGACCAGTAGCCGTTGGCGTCGATGGCGTCAGGCTGCTCAATGTACTGCAGACCCATGCCGCCGTCGGCGTGCCAGATGATGTGGCAGTGCATGACCCACGCACCCGGGTTGTCGGTCTGGAAGCCGATGACGGTCCATCCACCCTGGGCGACGCCGCCGGGGCCCGCGAAGCCGAACAGCAGCGCCGTGTCGCGGCGGCACGGGTTAGCGAAGTTGAGCGACGAGACCTGAGCGGCTGTGAAGACGCCCTTGCCTTGGCCGAGGACCGAGAAGTCGTGGCCGTGCAAGTGGATCGGGTGCGACGTCTGGAAGTTGTTCTGGATCACAAAGTAAACCCAGTCGCCCGGAGGGCCGTCCAGGACCACCGCGTTGGAGTACCTGGAGCTGTTGAATGACAAGGTAGGCAGCTCGGCCATGGTCCTGAGCGTCGGGTTCTCAAAGTCTACGGTGATGGTCTGGTTGCCCAGGGCAGTGGCGCTGTTGCCAGCAAGGTCAAGGAGGCCGCCGAAGTACCATCGGATGATGGGGCCGTAGCCGGCGAAGGTCTGCGAGCCACCGTTGCCACCGGGGAGGAGCTTAGCAGTGTCGGTAAAGTCCTCAGCGCTGCCACCGTCCTTGCTGACGTAGGGAACAAGGCTGGCCAATGGTTCGTCCTTGCAGTCTGACGCCGGGGTAAGGCTGAGAGTCTCAGAAGTTGGGGTACCGCAGGTGCCCTTGTAGGTGAAGACAGGGTTGGCGATGCCGAGACCGTTGTTAACGTTCTGCGCGCCGCAGCCAGTCTGGGTGATGGCGCGCATGAAGTATGCTCCAGGAGTCTGGTTCATCTCGACAATGACGTTGTATCTCTGACCAGGGTTGACGTAGAGACTAGTGGTCTTGTATGGCACGATCGGGGTGTAGTCGGAGCTGATGACTGTCATCTCGTGGTAGTCAAAGTGCACGATGAAGGATGATTGAGCGGAGCTGTTGATAATGCGGAACAGATGCTTCTTCCCAGCCTCGACAGTCCATTGAGTTGCCTGTCCGGTGCTTCCATCTGGAGACTTGTTCTTGCCGTTGACCATGTAGTTGACGGCGGCAGGGAGCGGTCCTCGGAGCCTGGCAATGTTCCACGCCATCTGGAAGATGGTCTGGCTGAAGATCTCGTCAATCATGACATGGCCCATGTCGTAATCATAGTTGGCAGTCGCAGGTCCGTGGATGATGACGGGTCCTCGGATACCACCGCCGTACTGTGACAGGGCGTGAGAGTGGTACCAACCGGTTCCATAAGTCGACGCCAGCCACGTGTATGTTCGGCTGCCGCCAGGTGGGATGGCACACTCGGTGACACCAGGAACGCCGTCTTGATCGTTAGTGCCAATCTGTCGGATACCGTGCCAATGGATGGTAGTGGCGTTGTCGGTCAAAAGGTTGATAACTGTAATTTCGACAGTGTCACCCCAGTTGACTTCGATGAGGGGACCAGGAGTTCCACCGTTGATCGCAAACGACGGCCGAACAGTGCCATCAAAGTTGATGTTAGCGTCAGTGATGGTGAACGTGTAAGACTTAGTTTCTCCTGTCGTGTATGGCTCATCTGTGTCGTCGCCGACTGACTTGCCGCACCACTGGCTGCGGTCAGCTGCCGTATTGTCAGAGCAGGTGGTCTCGGCTAGAGCAGACACCGTCTGCGACGGAGCGCAGGAAGTAGTCGAAGTGGTGGTGGCGCTGCGGGTGGTGGTGCTCGTAACTATTGCAGCAGAGGTTGTTGGGGTGAGGCTGCTGCTCGTCGTGCTGACAGGGTCAGCGCTTGAGCTAGTAGTCGAAGCTGCGCCAGAGGTCGAGGAGCTGGTGGGATCGGCACCGCTGGAGGAGCTAGTAGTCGGCGAACTAGAGGATGAGCTGGTTGGCGGATCGACACTGCT